GTTACATAAGCAGTGATGTGTCTGCTGGACTTCCAACTTTCCGACTACATGTGTATCAACAACATCAACTCCCAACGTCAACGCTCGCGAGCATCAAGCAAGGAACCATCACATTCCATAAAATATAGAGCAAAAAAAAAAAAAAGAAAAAGAAAAAGAAAGGACAAGGAAAAAAAGAGAAGAAGGTGAAGAATAAGGCGTGCAGCACAAGACCGCAGAGTACACATAGCAGCGGTATACCGATCCGTGGAACAAATCGTCATGAGATAAGATCAAGATAATGACTGCCAGAAGCAGGTATATGCCGTTGTCTTCTCACCTGCCGCGACTTGATATTCTTGATATTTTGCATGACTCGGCACCAAGGTCGAAGGTGGTTTTACCTTTTCCCCCCTCTGAATACCAAGCTTCCGGGCTTTCAACCTCGCTCGCGATATCGAATACGCCGGAGGGTGGGGTGCTCTATTTTGCACTTGTAAATCGCGGGTTCAAAGGGTCTCTCGAAGGTTTGGCTGGTTCAGTTCCTGTTCATGGTATCTCGTCTCAGCTCCTGGAGGGGAAACAGCTGCCACCAAACGAGAGCTTTGTCCTATCGGTGCCGTGTCTGCTTAGCCGGGGATAGAGGTGACTGAACATCACCACTATCTCCACGGCCATGGCGGCTGGGGAATGAGGCAGAAGAAGATAATGGATGAAGGAATATATCACGTCCCACAGACCTATTCTTGGACCCGTTAGGTATACACACGAAGACAAAACGTACTGCACGCACACAACGAGGAAAACAGGATCGGCATTGCTCCAGCGGAGGGCTACAATTTCAGCTTCACTGGTCTAGTGATGCTCGCATTAGGATAACTTTCTTGCTTTCCAAGTGTATCAGAATTTTTCATGCTGTGGCCCGGTGTTCCTCGGTTGGATGCATACATGCATGCAGACTAGGCAGCATCTCACAAATCGGAGCATTTACACTGGCACACGCAGTCACATCACATCTGTTGTTAGTGTGTGTGCGAAAGAGAGAGAGAGAGATAGCAAGAGAGACTGAGAGAGAGAATGAAATATTGTCTTGCCCTGTGCGCGCGTTCAATCTGTGGTACGCACTACAACCACCTGCAGGGGTAAGATAACTACCAATTAGCGCATCCTGGCTGGACCCTTTTCCTCATATCGAAAACAGCAAGATGACTATCGAAGGTCAATGCATATGAAGGCGTAAAGACGGTTGTTGAACATCCGAGAACACATTCCACCCAGCATCACAACAACACTGGGTTAAACGTCGAACAAAGCTTCTAATCGGTCAGGACAGAAATTGTGGACGGAGCGAGCGCCTCTGCTTCCCCGGTCCATTCTAGAGGATAGAGTTTGGATCGCTGGAGCACAAGAGGGCAATAGTGCCGATTTCCTCTCATGTAATTGATGCATGGCTGCTCGAAACGAACTAGCTACAGAGTATTGGTGGTGCTATCACAGTTATCATGACAGATTGCCCCATGGCCAGGCCAGGGCAAACAAAGAAGGCATGGTGCATGCTTTGACAGTGCGGCTGGGGGATGGACCCGACAGCTGGGAAAACGAGAAACCTCGCTTCTTCCTGAGTTTTGATCTAGTAGGGAAGTACCTTGTTTGTCAAGCTCGACTTCGGGAATACCTCTGGGACTTGCTATCTGGCGATCATCGAATGTGATTGATACCGCTGAGAATGAATAATAATGAGAAAACAAAACCAAGTGTCGCGCAAAAATGACGAAGCTTCTTCCATTGCAATGCTTCAGAACGGTTCGTTCAACATCATGTATGTGCATCAACCATAACCTTTGCTTTTTAGCTGAAGAGAGCCAGAATGACAGTGACGAAGAGAGAGAGACCTTTAGACCATTTGAGGGCCTATCCTCTACGGAGTACCGTTGGGGAAAAAAAGGTGACAGACAATAATTAAGGGAGAGACAAAAAAAAGAAGGTTTATGATACTGCTGACTTATATGAACATATTTCTTATCTTGACTTTCCTTTTTCTTTTCTTCCCTTTTGCCCTTTTGGAGGTTCTTTTTATCTTTCTGCACGGTGTGTCAGAAAGTCTCTGACATCAAACCCGTGCATGATGATGGATCCTTCGTGGGCAATCACCTTCATCTTACTCGTTCTTTTTATAGTTGAATCAGTGGGCCGATATCACCGACAAGGCGGCACACGGAAGGCAGAGAAGAAGAAAAATTACACAGCAAAAAACGGACACACCACACGCAAAAAAACAAAAAGTCGACGGTCAACGACAGTCAAGCAGAGATTTCTTTTCTGGCGGCTTTTCCTTCAACGGCGCTTCAGCTGTAAATTGTCGTCGCTCGCATGGCAGCATGAATGGTTCTAGTTGGATGTTTCTACCAAGGCACACTTCTCCGTCTCTTATAAACAAAAAACAACAGTGCGTCCTGCGTATAATGTCCATATTCGGGTGTTTGAGCACGCTGCCTCTCCCGCCAGAACGGGTCGAACGTGAGCTAAATGCGCTAAGAGACAGGAACAACAGAGAGTTCGTTCTGCTTTAAGCCATCCTAGAGTAGTGTTTGGAGTGGTCACTTTTTTTTCAAGGGTCGAGCGCGCGTGCTCTTATCCTGCCCGTGTCAAGCAAGCGATCCCGAAAGACGCTTGAGCAGACAGGCCGGCAGACATGTAAGAAAAAAAAGGACGAGCACCAGCACCAGCAGCCATGTCCACGAATCGTATCTGCCGCTGTGAGCATCCTGGCGCCCGACTTCTCTAACCTCCGCATTTTTCCCGTCAAGTTTCATGTCCACAAAGTGGCTCTGGGCTGGTGGACCCTTGAATATACATTTACTCTCGACGGTACAGTGTACCAGCCAAAAGATTAGTTACAAGAGAGAGCATCAAGAGAGCCAAAAAGAAGAAAGAGGCTGATGTCCACAGGCATTGGTTTTTGGTAACTTTTTTGTTTTTTTTTTGGAGCAGGCATAGTATCAGCATATCCAACCACCCTTTCGCCTGTCCAATCTGGCTGCATGGAACAGATGCGCCTGTCACGGCCATCCGGCGTCGATGGCCTCTTCTCCAGCACTGAAATCGGCGGCCCACACACCGCCCTCAACTCTCACTACTCCGGACGCAATGTCACGATTTCACGGATGCTGGCTGCTCGCTCGGTCAGCGGCGATCCAATAGCAGCGCCAATCTGGCGTTCCTGAAGGTTAATGGCCCAGGGTGTGTGTGCACAGTGTGCAAAGGCACATATCGAGTCAGACAGCTAACTAATTGAGACATGGCGGGTGCCGCCACGTCCCAGAGCAGTACATACACAACATGCACAAGAATGAGTGAAGGTGTCGTTGTAATGTATGTCCTAATGAGCTGGATGAGATGCACCATCAGAAAGTGCATGACATTACGTATATGTCCCGTTCCTGGCTTCCACTCTTCGGAGCACAGGGTTGGTCTGAGAAAACCCACATCCCCTGTGATGCATTCTTGTTGGCTCGTTGGCCTTTCCACCGGAGTCCTACCTGGGGGTGCCTCGCTGACCGCAACCACAGGCACAGGCAGGGTCCCCAGGGCCAAGGGAGCGACAGAGAAAGTTGAACCAGCCTGTGTGAGCGTGCTGTGCTGTGCTGTGTGCTTCATGGGTGTCTGTCTGGCTTTCTGGGATCAGCAGCGCAATGGTGAGCCTTTCCTCGCGTTGGTCCCCTTTTTGCTTTTTCCATATACAGTGGAGTCGTAGGCTGCGCCATCCTCCGACCAGCGGCCCCAGACCAACTAACGAGGTTTGTTAGTTACACCCACAGGCATATCCATTCTTGTGCAATTACAATCGGCATGGCTACTGGGCCGTCGTCTTGGGCGAGTTCGCAAAAAAAAATAAAAAAAGAAAAAGAAAAAAGAAAAAAAGAAAAAGAAAAGAAAATAAACACAAAAAAAAAAGAATGAAAAAAGCAAAAAGCAGCAAGCAACACCACCAGCAGAGAGAGAATCCACCTGGCCACTGGGACCTCGCCCGCGCCCGCTCGACCGCTTACTGGATGGCGGCCGGCGTGTCTTAACGGTTCATGCTACTCGCCGGATTGGCAACCTAGCGTGCCCTGCACCTGCGCTGGGGGGAATGAGAGCGAGGGAGCGAGTGATTGACACGCTCTTATTCTGCCACTTCCACTCTTTCTCTCCCATCTCTCTCTTCTTCTTCATCGTCCTATCTTCATACTTTCTTTTTCCTTTCACTTCTACATCTTCCCACTGATATACGCTCATTGTCCTTTTTCTTTTCTTTTTCTCTTCTTCTTCGTCTCTCTTCTTGAGCCACACTCCCCGTCTCTCTTCTTGAGCCACACTCCCCGATTCCGCGTTAATTTGCCTGGCCTTCCCTCGTCGTTCGTTTCCACCCTCTGATTTGGACAAAACTGTCGTCCAGTCACTCTTTTTAGTTCACTAATTGTTTTTTCTCCCTTCTTTCGCCTTGCCCATCAAACTCGTCGTTTATATACTTATATCATCTTCTCCATATTCTTTTTTTCTTCGTTCTCTCTTCTTAATTCCTCTTGTTCTATTTTATATTTTACGCTGTTAGCCTGCCTACTTCCTCACACTCTCTTCTACATTATCCCAGAATTCTCAGGCTTCACCAGTCACTCCTTAATACCTATTACTCCCTCTCTATCCTCTCTCCGTCCCTCTCTCTTCCTCGACTCAAACAAGCCATTCTTTAGCAACGCTTCAGAGGAATATATATATACCATATGGGTGACGGACAAACGAAACTCGACTTATAGACTCGAAAGGAAAAGGGCAGATTCTGCTTCGCTGACAATCGAAATCCCACGAGTCGACACCTTGCTACAGTCGAATTTCAATATTCTATACACTCCTTTTGATACGCACGCTGTACTGGAACATTTCTAGGGAACACCATCAACCCAGTGTTATAATACTTTTTTTTCGTTTTGGTTGAATTTACATATTATTTAATTGGTAGGTTGAATTGGAATCCTGATCGTATGATCGAGGAAAAGGAGGGGATGTATGTTTCGGCCTCTAGTGACATAACTAACGAAATTTAGCCAGGCTATCCTATCAAACCTCCTTCTCACAATGGACCCAGCCTGTGTTGCCCAACAGGCTCAGCCTTCATTCTACTACTACAACCCAGAGCCAGAGTCACGCCACGGCCAGCATGCCTTCTTCACTCCTCACCCAAACGAGTATGCTCAGAACCAGATGATGATGGTACAGCCTCAGATGCCACAGCAGTTCACTCAGATGCAACCGCAGATGCATCTTCATCCGTCCGACCAGCACAACGGTGCTCAGTTCAGAACACTCGGTGCGAAGGATTATCTATCAACCCCCAATGCCGCAAACAGTCCATCGCCCTCTCCACAACCGATGCACATCAAGCCTAGTGTTTTCCTACACGGTTCGCCCGCGCTCCTGTCCTTGGACACAAACTGTGGTTGGGCCGATGCCAACGGATTTCCATCCACTCCTCCACTGTCAACCTCTGGTAGCAGCATCAGCAGCCCCCCATCAAGCTGTGGAATGACTAACACCCCCGTTGGCGGTGACTCTTTCCGCATGGAAGGCATTGAAGGCGTCAAAGAGGGCTGCGAGACAGACGTTGAACTCGAGCTCCTAGCCAACTCTCATTGGCACAGATCTGCTTCCCCTGAGATGACACCTTGTGAGTCCTTGTCGTATTCACCTTGTTTATCAGCTATCTTTAATCTACATCTTTTTGATTGTTATCGTCTGATGTCAAGATATGCTAACTCTTGGCACCTAAAAAAAGTGTATGTTCGTCCGTTTTCGGTGCATTCCAATGCCAGTTTACCGTCTGCCGAGGCCAGCCACCATAACGCCAATAGCGGCACTGAGAGAGGCTCTTCGCTTACATCATCATCTTCGCGCTCGCCTTCTCGCTCTCCCATCATGACTTCTTCCTCCTCCTCGTCGCTCCTCCACGAAACACCCACTACCTCGTTCTCTGCGCAGCAGCCCTCCAGCACCGATTTCTGCGACCCACGCCAGCTTACCGTCGATTGCCCAGTGCTTTCGCTACCCGTTCCTGACTACCCGCCACTTCCGCCACTCTCGACCGTGGATGAGGACAGGTCGCGGTCCACCCTTCTCGGCAGCTCGCTGAAAGTAGAGCAGAGCCTCACCGTTCCTGGGCTCAGCCACGACGATTCTCTTGAGAGCTTGTCGACCTTTGATGCCATCTCTGATCTTGACTCTGAAGACGAGTTCGTCAACGGTATAGTTAATTTCACGCCGACCGAGAACGGTTTTTTGCTTGGCGAAAAACGTCGACGCACGGTCAACAACGCCAACAACGGCACTGCGACAACCGTATCCCATGAAGACGACATTATAAGCGAACAGGGCTTGGAGGATTTAGAGGAAAGTGACTTGTTTGCCCGCTCTTGTATCCCACTTCCAGAGTTCGACACTGCTGAGCAGTGCAACATTGCCGAAGATATGAGGACGAAAAAGCGAGTATCAGCTGTTGGCCGGCGAATCAAGCAACTTCCCCTTGGGTCCGAGGAGAGTGATGCGGACAGCCTTGGTGCCATCATGCGAACTGCTCAGAGTAACGTGAACAACCGCGCCTCGCATACTGACTCATCTTCCACACAAGCTCAGCAGCAATCTGGAGCACCTAGCCATGAAAGCTCAGAGACCAACCCACAAAGCACCACGTCGTCAGAGACCCCGGCTCCCACGCCAATGGTCCCTGTTGGCCGTCGTGGTCGCAAACAGTCCCTGACCGAGGACCCATCCAAGACTTTTGTCTGCACCCTCTGCTCTCGTCGATTCCGTCGTCAGGAGCATCTCAAACGTCATTACCGTTCCCTGCACACCGAAGACAAGCCATTTGAGTGTCAGGACTGTGGCAAGAAATTCTCACGCAGTGACAACCTTGCTCAACACACTCGCACCCACGGTGGCTCTGGAATGCCCATGACCATGTCTGACCATCACCCTGAATCATCCCCTTTTGATGACCAAGATGCAGGAGCCCTCGGAGCCGTACTTTATGAGGTTGCCCAGGCTGCTGCTAACAAGTCGACAACCAGTGAATCGTCGGATAGCGGCCTCTCCACTCGAGACAACCAGTCTGCGCCTTTCACAAACCGGAAGCGTCCACTCAAGAAGCGCAAGCGTGAAGCATCTGAGTAAAGAAATTTAATTTTTCTCTTCGCTTTGCACTTCGTATGGATAATGAATTTCCTTTACAAAAATTATTCCTTCCGGGCTGAAAGCTCATTCGCCGGACATATACAAATTTCTATCCGTGGGCATTCGACATACTACTCATACAATCGGCGCGCGTCTCATTATAAAGGGGATTGGTGTTCCTGAGCATTGGCGTTTCCAGAGGTCTGACTTTTTACTTCCTTTTCTCACAAAAGGGTAGGGACGGTGGCTCTGGGTTATTTCTCGATATCTTTCATCACACAACGATGATTATTCCCGTCACCTGTGAGCTCCTTCTTACTCTGCCATGGGCTTTTCTTTTCTTTTTAGATATTCATGCATTACCTCCCTGTTACTTGAACTACATTAACCGTTTTAATACTCGCTTCCTCCAAGGTGTTGGCTTGCGGTTGAACATCTGCATCAACATCCTAACAGCCACGCTATTACCTTCGCAAATGCTTTGCTGGTCCTAGCATACTTTATTATATATCCTCGAGCCCTTTGGCCTTGCCTCCTCTCCCTCGCCACTCTCCATATACCACCTTACCTCCCGCCCATCCTTCATCCTTATAGCTTTGTACTTGATAAATATTATAATTGTTTGCCACCCCTTTATTTACCCTATTTTCTTTTATTTTACTTCGCCTATCTTTTCTTTTTAATTCATGGCCATCTTTTTCCCCATCTAGCATTTTCTTTTCTTTTCTTTTCTTCTCTTATGACCTTTATGCCAATACTGCTTTTGTGTTTGCCCACATGCGAATTCCGCGTGCTACCTAATTATATTATTACTTACTTCCTGCAAACGTATCACTATATCCTCTTTTCCTTCTTCGCCTTGACATATCTTCTTAACTGTCGCTACTGTATCATACTTTTATCTTAACCCTTTCCCATCCCTCCATCCTGACTCGGTCAAGCACACTTTACATCTCTTGTTCGGCAATACCTACTTCGCTCTGCTTCGAGCGAACGCACATAATCTTTTTTTTCTTTCCTTTTGTTGAGTGTAGCTAAGTCAAAAGAAAAGAAATAAAAAAAAAAAGTAATATATTTATTGGTATTGATTTTCTTTCTCTTCCAGACCTTGTCTCATCTATTTATAAATGCCCACTGTTATATTAGTGCTATTGAATCTGAATAAGTGCCTGGCATGCACTCCGTACTCCGTACACCGTTGGGTGAAAAACTATTAAATATTTGTTATCAAACCTGTGGGGCTGAAATGCATCGAGAGAACCTAATAATGCAAACATCCATCCCAGGTCATCTAACGTGTTTCGATAGCTGACGCTGGACTCCTGTCAAATACCCATCTATCGACTCCGTCCGTTTGGTTCGATTCAGCCTAAAAAAAAAAAGTCGACAAGCCAACAACTAACGCAGAGAGTGGCAGCCCACTCGCACAGCAGATACACCCACCATGCCCGAACAGCTGAACGTTATTGCTCTGATATCAGGCGGGAAGGACTCTCTATATACCATCTTGCATTGCATTAAAAATGGGCATAGAGTTGTAGCCCTCGCGAATTTATACCCTCCACCTCGCCTAGGACAAGAAAAAGGGAAGGGCAGCCTTGGTTCAGAGGAGGAAGACAAAGATCTGGACAGCTACATGTACCAAACGATTGGGTACAGCGTCATTCCACTTTACGAGGAAGCCTTGGATATCCCTTTATTTCGGCAGGAGATCCGTGGGCGTGCAGTAAATACGTCTCGAGACTATCACCATCAGGCTTCCACAGGTAGAACAGAGCAGGAACAAGACGAAACAGAGTCGATATATCAGCTGCTCCAGCGGGTTTTACAGGCCCACCCGGAAGCGAATGCTGTTTGTGCAGGCGCTGTTCTGTCCACGTATCAAAGAACCAGGATCGAAAATGTTGCGTTACGGTTGAACTTGACACCTCTTGCGTGGCTGTGGATGTACCCGTATCTTCCCGCACCATCACACTGCCGGAATGTGGCGATCACCGCGGCCAGAGTGCCGATTACAGGGCTGCTCGATGATATGGCTGCGTGTGGCTGTGAAGCGAGAATAATAAAGGTAGCAAGCGGTGGGCTGGATGAAAGTGATCTATGGGGAGACCTTGTAAGTCAAGATGGAACCGTTAGGAGGACTATTGTCAAAAGACTCGGACGATTCTTAGATGAAGGTGTTGAGGCCGCTGTGTTAGGCGAGGGAGGGGAATACGAGAGCCTTGCTTTGGACGGACCACAATTTCTATGGAAGAAAAGGATTCACGTTAGTTCCGTGGATAGAAGAGTTGGAGATGCCGGAGTGGCATTCTTATCCCTCAAGGGTGCCCGATGTGTTGAGAAAGAGGCCTTTGACAATGGCACAGAGTGTACGCTGGATGATGTAAGGGTACCTTGGATGTTTGATGATGATTTCAGGAAACTTCTTGATACCGTGAAGTTGAACGAGGTTAAGCATGCCGTTCCGATATATCAGAAAAAGGAAGATAAACGGTGTGGGAGATATATGCTGCAGTATAAGGAGTCCCGAGGGCAGTTGAACGTCTACAACCTCTCTGCCCCTGAAGCTGGGAGTGGAGCTTCAAAACAGATGCATGCAATCAAGGATAAGCTAGCAGTTCTCTTAGGTGTTCAAAAGAAGAAAGAAGGAGAAGGGTTAACTCCAGACGACGCAATCTTTAGCACGATTTTACTTCGATCAATGGAGGATTTTTCTGCTGTTAACGCCATATACTCAAGCCTCTTCACCCGGCCCAATCCCCCAGCCAGAGCCACTATCGCTTGTGGAGACAGTATGCCTACGGGAGTTGATATAATGATATCCTTTACCTTCTACCTAGGCCGGAACACGGTTTTGCAGGCTCTCCATGTCCAATCAAGGTCTTATTGGGCTCCAGCGAACATAGGACCCTATTCCCAGGCAGTGTACGCCCCGATGGAGTCATCTTCTGGTCAAATATTAGCAGCGGGATCTGTTTACATTGCTGGCCAAATACCACTTGACCCTAGCTCGATGCAAATATATTCCCCTACTGGAGAGTCAGACGGCGAGCCGTCGTTATTCCTCTCTCAGGCTGCTTTATCTCTGCAGCATCTATGGAGAATAGGCAGGGCAATGGAAGTGCGTTGGTGGATGGGAGCTGTGGTGTTTCTTTCGGCTCATCATGCTGGCGTACGGTCTAGAGCTGCTGTAGCGTGGGATATGTGGAAGTGGATGAACGAAGATCACCATACAGAGGACACAGAAGAGGGCGATGGTGACTCTTCCACGTTTGATGTCTGGCATATGAAGTATGGAGGACAATATAGTGAGCCTAAGGAGGTGACTATGCTGCCGATACCAGACTTCGATATTGTCCAGGGAACGTCCGTTATCCCGTCTTTTTTTGCCATTGAGGTTGATGAGCTTCCCCGAGGAAGCAGTATCGAATGGCAAGGACTTGGATTAAAGGGAAGCAATGTTACTCTATCTTACGGCCAAGTTGATGATTTGAGGGTCCTGCATGCGTCTGGATCTGAGTTTGGCTGCTATACATCCATATCTATTGTGGCGAAGCATGATGTTAATCTAGAAGCCTCGCTGCGAAAAGCAGTGCAAATTGCCACAGAAAATCTGCCTCACGGAGGTGTATTTTCCCATATGGCTCTCTATACCCCCCATGGAGCCGAATTTGATGCATGGGATGGCCAGGTGATACCGTGTAAGGCTGTGTATGGCTGTGCAGCAGAAGAGCTTATTGCCGCTCTTATATTTCAAACCAGCCCTCCATAAGGAAATTATTACTGAATTTGAACGTAAGAGATGTGATATTCACTCGATGTTTATATCGTAATGCAGCATAAATCCTTGTCTAACATACTCATATATCACAGACACCTTCGTTCCATGACTGTGATAATTGGAGGATGACTCACCTCAAGCCACCTAGAGCTATTTTCAATGTAGCACCGAGTCTTACATTGATTGGATGTGATGGATAAGCTTGAGAGCCACCAGCTTGCGGGTGTGATGCTAATTCTTTGCCTGTGCATGATATGTTAGACGGTCTGTCACATTTACCTAGATAGGGAAATAGCCCTCGCTTCTTAACGGTTACTCTAGATCTGGCATGGAAGTGTCCTTCCCGGGATATTAGCCGTCAGCTTTAGAGCACGGTTTATAGAGTAACCACTAAAAGGCCTCCTTTCCGACCTACAACCGGCTCCAGTGTCTTTTGCAGCACTGGATTCCTTGACAAGGAGAGCCTCGGTGCGTTCAGCCAAATCGGCAACCTTGTGATACTTGTTATGCCAACATTTGTGGATAATGTCGTCAATCAAAGGATCTCCTTTGACTTCTGGGAATATCATATTTTGCAGTAAACCGACCATCTTGAAGCCTGCTCCCTAGGATTATCAGGATCAAGACATCGATCTCCATAAACCTCGAAGCTGTAGTTGATAAGATAGTACAAAGAGCCCAGGGCGAACTGCTCTGTTCGAGGGCCTAAGTTTCTGGCTGATCTATTGTTTGTTTCTTCGCCTGGTTCGGTACCGTTAAGGAACCTCCCCATATGGAGTTCCGCAGCCTTCAAGAGGCGTCCCAATTTCCGCTGTACGGTCAAAGTCTGTGACTTTTAGCTTAATCACAGTCAAGAAGGATATTTCTGGCCGTAGGTTCCATGAGCGAGGTTGAGGGATTCGAGAAAAGCGGCGGCTTGGGCAAGGTCATTCATCCATCTCTTTCGTGAAGCTATAGGCTCCAGCTTTCTATCTTTGTAACTACTTCTGTGGACTCGTCACGAACTTAGTTGCGCTGGATTCTACCAGACAAAGTTGAGTCAGGATGGGGGCTAAAGACGGATTCAACCTTTTCAACCTCGGACTTGGAGATCCTAGTAGTAACGGTGAGGGTAGGTAAAAGTTGTGCCTATTCAGTTTTCTCGAATTTGACCCGAGCAATCAGTATGTATAACACATATCCGGCTAGTACTTTGCTCGACACTAGACCGCTATCTGACTTGAGATGCTCGACGAGGTTATTCTCCCTGTCGACAATATTGCAAGATCGGCCTTCGAATGACATTATCATGTCCTCCTTAATTTCAAGGCGTCTATTTGAAATTCTTTCCCATTCTCCGGACAAAGCTTTGGTGTCAACATCAGACATTACTGCGTATAAAGCGACCTGAGAAAGTGACGTTCAGCCTAGCAGATAGGGGAAACTGTGGATTTGTTGTTGGAGTTAATTGGCTGTGGTCGAGCGGGCATCAGGACGGTTCCTTGCACTCGATAGGCGGGATTCAAAGATGTACAGATTATGCTTATAAGGGGTATATGTCAGTTCTGCTCATGCTGTCTCGTAGCGGGTATTGATGATTATATGGCGACGGGTTTATTAAAGCTGTTCATATTTTGAGGTCGAACGATTTGTTGTAGCAGAGTTGATGTTTGAAAGGCTTATATAAGCGTTTTCTTGGGTTTTGGGGTGGGGTCGCGGGTCGCCAAGAGAAATTAACTTTAGCACTATTCGCTGATTAAGATGGAGTTAAAGTTTTAATTTCCAAAATAAAACACTACCATTGGGTAAAGGGGATAATAATATGGTAATAATAGCATACATAGACCAATGATAGTAAAGAAGCATAGCGAGGGCATGACATGTTGACCAATAAAAACTTCGGTTTACTTGAATTAAGTCGGTACTTCGACACACGGGCCAAAGTTGATGCGAGCTGCCTGTCTCACCCTGCAGACGTAGTAAATAAGAATAAATAATCGGCCTGCATTACGAATGCAGCAGGCATTTGACGAGCTGAAGCTCCTATCTGACAAATACTCACCTGGATACCTACCTTATGCCAACTACACCTGACGGCTGGGCCGAGGATAGCTGCCCGTCAGTTGCGTGAGCAAAAGGATGGAAGGAAGCCGACCACAGCCGGCCCATTACTCGACAACTACTTTGAGCGCAATCTATACTATGATGGGATGGCAGCCCATGAACTCACGAACGAGGGTGAGCTAAAAAGCCCACTGGATATAGAGCTCCAGCAGGAAGAAAAGAGTGCGCAGCATTATGGCCTCCCTCAACGATCGCCACACCTCTACCGCCGTCCTGACCAAGACAACGCAACCACTACTACACCAACGACAGATTCAGGGGAGAGTCTCTATGCATGGAGGAAACCATTCAAGACACCCAGCGATAGTGGCACAGAAGCTGACGATGAGGCGAATGGGGCGCTAAGACGCCTGCCTATACCCCTGGTAAGCAGGAGGATAGAATACCAGTTCAAACGGGGTGACGATGAAGTAACTACCAAGGAGCGAAAGAAACGAGGGCCCCCGGTTGGTTCCAGACGCTCTAGGAGGCGTATTGTTGACTCTCCGGACTCAGGGGAATTGGAATTTCATATAACTATTGGGGCAAGGCTTCGTATTGAGGTATTGCGCCGAATTTGTGAGACTGGGCTTGTGCTTGGAGTAGCATTTGCTGTGGTGCTAAGACGTAGTGTTCGCTCGGTGGTAAAAACCTGGTTCATAGGTGAGTCGAAACGAAAACAGACAATAAAGATTACTTGATAGTCAGGACTAATTATGTGCTTTAATATAGAGTTATCTGTCTTTATTCTCCTTATCTTGGGCCTTTATGCTATATTTCCTCTCCGGAAATGTCCTTACGGCAGTTATCGCACGAAACTAAAGAGGATCATAGCCTTTCCATTTTCCAAAGACATAGATCCAGCTCCCTTGATATACCCCATATTAATACCTGTTTTGACGGCTCTGTCTCTAGGGCCATCCTGTGACTCGCTCGTTTTACTGAACGTAATCCTAAGCCTGTCGTCTCTGCCAGCAGCAACTATTCCATTGCACGATTCTGGAACTTATAGTGTGGTGCATTGGATGATTACCGCCATCCCCCTCCTCATTTCTGAGAATCTACCACTTTCCCGGAGCCCCAAAGAGGCTATGGCCGAACTCGGACTTGAACCAGAGCTTCTAGTCCTTATATTCCCACTCCAAAAGTCAACTATCTCGATTATTGAATATCTTGTTACTTCAAGTCTACTGCCATCGGAGGTGCAACTCCTGGGAACCGCCTTGGTCAACGTACTTCTGGTCTCAGAGTCTCCTCAGGCTCAGATCCTCAAAGCTTTGATCTGGCTAGGCTCACTGTGCATATTCATTGCGTGCAAGCGCGTCCTTCTCTGGGAAGCAACCTTGGCTAAAATCCCATCGTGGAAATTCCGCCGAGCTTCGAGTCAGACAAGTGATGATGATCATATTCTGGGTGCGCTAGACCGTCAAGTTTGCCATACTCTGAATCATCCCTTTTCCGAGGACCAAGCTTCAGAGAGCGAGGTGCAGGTGGATGTGGATAGATCCAGAAGCCGCCGGACTAGTGTACTGTATAACAACTTCACGAAACTTCTGGCAACAGAAGTCGATCTTGACAAGGGGTTGTTCAAACGGGGCGGATTGAGCCACCAGCCCCTTTCAGCCATGGAAAACGTGTCTAGAATTGAGGCAGGTCTAGACAAGCTAGATGACCAGACACAGCCTTCTAGATCAGATAGTCAGCGTGTTTTGTCTTCCAAAGCGGGAGAAATGGTGCCTGCTCGCAGAACCACTACCAAGGGAGGCAGACGGAAACGGCAACTTCCACCCAGTATGAGAGCGTTTCTCTCCCTTACCATGGAGCAGGCCACTATCCGAAAATGGGCGTATGCTTTGTACGTCTATGCAATGATTCTTGCTATCATACTGGTTCCGGTGAGGTGGTACGTTGGCGAATACGCCCTTGGGGGAAGGGAGCCGTTTGGATGGGCGATAGGGTATCTCTTCGGGAACATACCGTCTGTCAGGTTCACGCTGTTACTCTGGAGCCTTGAGGCCTGGGCCTGCATTCCACCCCGGATATACGATATCTCAGCATCCTGTCACCTAGGCTGGGTTGAACATCTCCGCCGCGACACACTTGGAGAAGCCAACACCCGGCTGTTTCTATGCGGCTACTGCATCCTGATCTTAATACTAGGACTATCACTAGTCCACCGGCTTTCGCGTGTGGTGGAAGTGGACACACGCCGGAAGATCTTCCACGGAATGATGGTTGCCATGTTCTTCCCGACCGTCTTTATCGACCCAGCGTTTGTCGCTCTATCCTGCACACTGGTCCTCGCCATCTTCCTGCTCCTCGAGCTCTTCCGTGCATCCCAAGTGCCGCCGCTAGCTCGCTGGCTGTCTTACTTCCTCGCACCTTACGTGGACGGCCGTGACCATCGTGGACCCGTGGTAGTGTCTCATATTTTCCTCATGCTCGGCTGCGCCCTGCCACTCTTACTAAGCCTGGCCGGCACCCTCCATCAAGGCACAGCTCCATGGGAAGGATGGGATATCGATGGTCGGGATGTCAGCATGGTGAGCGGCATAGTCTGCGTTGGAATGGGCGATGCCGCTGCGTCGCTTGTCGGTCGACGCTATGGTCGACGCCGATGGTTCTGGGGCGGCGACAAGAGCATCGAAGGGAGTGCTTCCTTCGCTGCAGCAGTCTTCATTGGCCTTGTGACTGCCCGTGTCTGGCTGGTTGGTGGAGGATGGGAGGCCCGGGTTGACTGGATCCTGACGATAGTCAAGTCTGCGTTCGCGGCTGTCGCATCAAGTTTCATGGAAGCTGTGCTGACTGGCGGTAACGACAATGTAGTTGTCCCCCTGGTTCTGTGGCTGCTGGTGCGTGGTTTGCGGCTATGACGGCCTGCACTATCTATCTCCCGGATCTACAGGATATAAAGGGAGGAGAATTAAAATAATAATGCTCTTTTTGATGATAAGTACATAAATGTATGACTAGCAGCTCAGCAGTAACTGTAATGAATATGCATCTCCTTGCCACGTCGACCACGGTCTGCGCGGGCAGCCAGTAGCCTCTCCGGCGGAAGAAAGGCCAGGCATTACTGGCCAGGGAGCATGTCCCAAGGCGAGGTACATCAAGGCCCCGGCGGCCTATGCCTGAATTCCACATAGCAACGGGCGCATCCCAAGTACAAAGCAAGCACACCAGTGTGCGCGCCGCATCTGCCAGCCATGCATGGTCCGGGGAAGCCCATCCCTGCATCTCGGGACACAGAAAGCAGTCCAGGCCAGCGAGCCATCCACGTTCACCATGCAGAGCTGTTTCCCTGTACGCCGTCACCCTCCCTCGCGGCGAGCATCAGACGCCTTCGTTCTTCGTCCAGGCCGGCAGACTTGCCCCTGGGAGCGTCAACAACAGTCCCAGCAGCAGCGGCAGCAGCAGCAGCAGCAGCAGCAGCCGTCATCACACGGCGGGCGCCCTGACTAAAGCCGATCATCCAGCACAGGAGAGCTCCACCTTGGGCCTCCAGCGCCGTCGAGGACGAGGCGAGTACCTGGCGCCGTGCGAGCCTGGGAGGTACATGATCTCGCCGTGTGATTTGGCGCTGCGGCTGAAGTATCTCCATCTGTCTCCATCCCATCTCCATCCCATCTCCAGTGCTGTTCCAGGCGTTGCTGTGGTTAGCTATGTGACTGACTAAGGACGAGGTCCCGAAGGTTCCCCATGGGTCCCGTGGCCGGCCGATAAGATAAGGTCACTCCTCGCCCTTCTAGCGTCAACTGCGCCAGAACCGCCCGAGCCAGCGACCTCGAACAGCAACCTCGCAACGTCCAACGCCCGCCGCACCGCCAAACGCCAGCTTCGCCAGCTTCGCCTGCACCAGCCATCCGTCCGTCTGCCTCCTCTGGACGTCTCGCTGCTCTCGTCGCCGTCTCACAGTCAAGGGACGGCTCTCCAACGACTCCGTCGCACCGGGGTTGCTTGATCGACTCTTCTGTGGAACATCCCTGCCCTGGCTGCTCCCTGTCCTCCTAGCCCTTCGGTCTTCTCTCTCTCTTATATATATATATATATATATTTGTATTTCTGCATATACACCCTGATCCCTCACACAGCTGGCTGCTATATAACCTGTCATATATAATCAACAACCCGGGAGGCGCGTCAGAGCGATACGATCTCGCTGCCTACACCCAAACACATACGACCGCCGAACAAAGTGGCCTGGATAGCTCCGGTTCGCCAGCTGGCTTGGGAATCGACTCGATTAGCATAGTAAGGGCATCTGCCGTCCTTTTGCCTCTGCTTTCTATCCCCATCTCTCTTACTCCTCCCTGCTCTGTTCTACTCACCGGCCCTCGCTTCCTTTTGCTGCTGCCTTCTTCTGGGCATGGCATCATCCTGGTCATGGGTTGCATGTTCCAGGTGCCTGACTGCTAGTGATGATTTATATAGTGCCTTGCAGAGAGCGCTGGCTGACCTCTCTATTCTTCTCCTCATTCACAGGTTGCATTATCTTGGGCTTTGTCTGACACTACAGCTCTCTGTTTACCTTCCTGTGAATATCACTCTTTCGTCTGGACCTTCTCTTTCACTCCTTGATCCGTCTTGCATAAAACACCCTCGATCTCGACCGCGACCTTAACTCTCGACCAACAAGCGTATCCTTGCGCAATCTTCCACTTCTGGCTTTTGAAGCTCCCTTACTACATCAAACCCCGGCGATAGCTTGGTCGAATAGCTGCCTCAGATGGGCGTGAGACCATACCTTTGACTGAGTAAGGATATTGAATAACGAACCCTTGGTTGGCCGCTTAAACCGATGTGCTATCAGATTTGGGGACTCCATAAATCATGGCTACACCATCGGCAGAGAGCTCGAGACGGGCTAAAGCAGTCGTGGATGATGAGCAGATGAATTTGAGAATAGGGCACTACACACGGCTGAATGAGATCGGTCGTGGTAGCTTTGCTACAGTCTATCGTGGTACCCACAATGTAAGGCCCCTCCTCTTCTATATAAAAATATGCCTGGAACATGTTTGAAGAGTCTGAAAGAGAGTAAGCTGACCTAGTTCTTTCATAATAGGAATACAACACCTTTGTAGCGGTCAAATCGGTCACTCTGCTTCGCATGACCCAGAAGCTAAGAGATAACCTAAAGTTGGAGATCGATATTCTTAAGAGCCTTCAGCACCCACACATCGTTGCCCTGATAGATTGCTATGAGACGTCATCGCACATACATATAATTATGGAGTTCTGCATGCTCGGCGATCTCTCCCGCTTTATCAGGAAACGGAACTCCATGGCCAAGCACGAGCTGCTACGAGATATGATGACCAAGTACCCCAACCCACCAGGAGAGGGCCTCCATGATGCAGTTGTCCGCCATTTCTTAAAGCAACTTGCCAGTGCACTTCAGTTCCTCAGAGCGAAGGACTTGATACATCGTGACGTCAAGCCGCAGAATCTACTCCTCCATCCTTCTCCCACCATCTGCTCGAAAACCCTAATCCAGTCTGTTTCTTACAAGGGAAGCGAAAACTCGTTCACTCCCATCGCGGGAGTTTCGTCATTCCCTATGCTTAAAATAGCAGACTTTGGATTTGCCCGGTCTTTACCATCTACATCGCTCGCGGATACCCTCTGCGGATCACCGTTATATATGGCGCCTGAGATTTTGCGCTACGAGAAATATGACGCCAAAGCAGATCTATGGTCCGTTGGGACTGTCCTTTATGAGATGGTTGTTGGAAAGCCCCCGTTCAGAGCTGCAAACCACATGGAATTGCTGCAAAAGATCCAGTTGACCAAGGACAGAATCAGATTCCCGCGGGAGACACCAGTTGCCGGTGACATAAAAAAGCTAATCCGCAGCCTCCTCAAGTTCAACCCTGTCGAAAGAATTACTTTCCCTCTATTTTTTGGGAATTCAGTTATCGAGGGTGATATCCCTGGTCTGGTAGGTGAAGACCTTGAAGAACAAATAGAGAGAAATGCCGCCCGTGAGCGGCAACGGCTTGAAGGAGATGACCTGGAACCGGAAGGCCTCGAGCAAGAGATACTGGACCGATCAGACACCCAAGCCGAAGACATGGACGATGAGGTTGAAGAGACAACAAATAAAGTACCAGCTGCAGCTCCAACTCCAGCTCCAGCTCCAGCGACTGAACGAACTGAAACTCGACCTGGCCCTCGACCATTAGTGGAACATAACTCACGACCCGGCTCTGCTGTAAGCAGAGTAGATGGGCGAGATAAATACGATCTTCAGCGTGCCACAGGTCGTCATACGGAAGATTCCCCAGCAATTCCATCAGCTAGAAATGTTCACCCTGTTAGTGAGCCTGTGGTGAGGCAAAGCGATAACCAGCGGTCCTCCAAATCTTCCCTTACCGAGCAGATATCGGGGCCCTCGCAGACTGCTCGTTCCCAAAATGCAAAGCAGTTATCAGAGATAGAAAAGGAGCGTGCTGCTCAAGATATTGCTTTCGAGCGAGATTATGTTGTGGTGGAGAAACGAGCGGTTGAAGTCAATGCTTTTGCGGATGAGCTCGCAGCCAGTCCGAGAGTACAGCAACAGCAGTTGAACTCTCGTCAGTCCGGTGCCATTGTTCGCCGGGCTACAACAACAGCTACGCCGCATTCGCTCAAAACAAAACATACTCCCCAGCCCGATACCCAAGACAAACAAACGAAGCCAAGAGCCGATTCTACACATAATCGACGATATTCATACGATAGGAGATATGGCCCTAATCCGATTTCTGCAACATCGGCTATCTCCAAGGCTCTTAACATGGCTAGTGGGAGGCTGTTTGGTGTCAGCTTCTCTCCACCATCCGCGTTGACAAAGGGTGGCCGATCTCCTCCGCTAGGATATAGCCCGTTCCCAACATATCCTGTTGCACAGAGCAGCTTGGTAGTAGTTGATGAGAAGCCGCAACACCTTAGCCATGATTCTAAGACCGTACATATTATTGAGGAATGTGCGACTCGGAGTGATGTTGTTTATGGGTTTGCTGAAGTCAAATACAAGCAACTTATCCCGGCTACACCTTCAAACAAATCGGATTCCACCATCAAGCCAAGTACCATGGAGCATAGCCCCGATGATGACGGCCTGACACTTGATGCAGTGCTTACACTATCTGAAGAAGCTTTGGTGTTATACGTAAAGGCTTTGTCCATTCTTGCAAAGGCCATGGATATTGCAGGAGCATGGTGGGCACGGAAGAACCGAGAAGAGAGTATCGGTAGTGGCCTACCACCGTCGAAGACGGAGAAGGACATCGTGATAAGCAGTCGAATCAATAATGTTGTCCAATGGGTCCGGACTCGTTTCAACGAAGTGCTTCAGAAAGCCGAATATTCCCGTCGACGTCTTCTAGAAGCGCAGAAGCAGCTGCCACCAGATCATCCGTACCGCATGTCTCACGAAGTCGGCGAATCAGGAAGCCTCCCAAGTTTTGACCAATCTTCAGACCAAGTCATCATTAGTTCGGGTATCACTGCAGAGAAACTGATGTATGACAGAGCTTTGGAAATGAGTCGGACGGCTGCTATCAATGAGTTGACTGGCGAGGATTTGTCCGGTTGCGAAATAGCTTATGTCACCGCGATCAGAATGCTCGAGGCTGTACTGGAAAGTGATGATTCTTCTCGATCAACTAAAGACCGAGGAACTGCAGATGGAGGCAGTTCAGGCGAACCCCGGATGGAGGATAGTCAAATTCAAGGGGAGGACTGCGAAGTTGTTGCCAAACGTAAGGGACTTTTTTCTTTTGCCACGCTTATGTTGTACTGCATTGCTAACTGTTTTCCCACAGTCGTCGAAAGCATTCGGGCCCGTCTAAGAGCCCTTCGAAAGAAGATGGCTCTAATGGCAAAACGAACTTCCGCTCCACCGGCTGTACTTTCACCAAAACTCCCACCATCGCACCCACGCCCAGCATCTCCTGCCATGGCTCATTCGCCATCTAAATGAAGAAACATGCCATTACCCTCGGCCATTGCTAACCCGTGTCTAGTCCGTTACTTCAATATATTCTTAAACATCAATTTTGAAATTTTGCCTGCAGCAATCTATCCAGGAACCGGAGTTAGTCGCTTTCGATCATCTACTTTCTGGCATTGCATATCCAGCCCGTGGCCCTCATCATATTAATTACCTACCACCAGACTTCTACCAGCCCCTTTCTCCTCTATTCATCACCCTACACTTAAATGTGGACTGCCTAAATCAGAATGATATCCTTCAAGGGCTACGCTTTTCTACTTGTTCAATAACCCTTAACTTTCTGCTTTTTCTCTTTTTTTCTCTATCTTTCTTTTACTATGATCATGCAAAGGGCTATGGTATACCCTTCTGCATGAAGTCAATCTTGGCTACGGAAGTTAATGAAGGTGGCATATTTATTTCATTTATTTCATATTTTTTTTTTATCTTCATTGGGAGCCGCGTCTGGAGTGGTCTTTTAAGATTTGGGGCCTGGCTTCGATTTCTGCCTTCTGCCTTCCTTGTTTCTTCTTGCTGTCTCTCCATTTTTTTTTATTCTTCTCTTTTTAAGATCCAGTTTTGATGTGCATTTAACTTACTATGGAGGGCCATAGGTTAATATAAAAATATTACATACATGTACTTCAAACAAATCTATGAATCTTTTCATCTCTTACCCCTTTATATTCACGTAGACAAACCGATTGATATGTTTTACGATCATAAATTCAGATTTTGGGATATCGCCAGCCACGGGTGTTGCCTTCCTATGTAATGTCAATGTTGCATTTTTAACCGCATTGGAAGACTCAAAGGCCCTAAACACTGCAAAGACTGCCTTTGCTCCGCAATATTCAGAGGATAGCTTTATCGTATATCCATACACTGTTGTATACATACGTTTGTTATCTCTGGGGGCCGTCTGTCGGTGTTCAGCTTCATCTGCTTCAACGTCATGGCGGGTTCAAGCGATTCCACTTCCGAAGGGGCGTCCTCCAAGACGCTGAGCAATTCAGTGACAGAACTACCATCGCACAAGGCCTCGGAGGACTATGGAAGATTATCTTTCGGGGATATCAATCTTCCCCCAATGGATCTTACTATACCTTCTTGTGAGTTTGTGGACATCGACAATAATGCTTTATCGAATGGAGACTGAGGCTAATATGAAGGTATATAGTTGGCAAGAGTACATGTTCTGAGTTCGGCGGCGGAGACTGTGGTGCCAGCGAAAATAACACTGACGTTGATACGGTCGTGATCGCTAAAGGAAGGCAGATTGGTATTGTCAGTGCAACGTTCCTTATATTTAATCGAATCATTGGAACAGGGATATTCGCCACGCCTAGTGCGATCCTGGCCCAGACGGGTAGCGTTGGCATGTCTTTGGTGGTTTGGATTATTGGGATGTTAATTGCAATGGCTGGCACGGCGGTGTACCTTGAATTTGGCACCGCGATTCCAAGGTTTGGGAGTTAACTATACCCCCTTTTGTGTCTGTTTAAAATGCCGATGCCTATCTGGTTGCTGACTTATATTAACACAGAAACGGCGGAGAGAAAAATTATCTGGAGTATGTCTATCGGAAACCCAAGTTCCTTGCAACAGCGATTTATGCTTCGTATGCATTATTCCTCGGATGGGCTGCTGGAAATAGTGTAGTATTTGGGGAATACGTTCTGCATGCTGCGGGCGTGGAAGTGAACCGGTGGAATCAACGGGGTATTGGGTTTGGGTGCATAACGGTAGCATTCCTTGTCCATACCGTCGAGATGAAATGGGGTCTTCGTCTGCAAAATACACTTGGCTTGCTAAAGCTGGTTGTGATTCTGGTTATCATTGTCAGCGGAGCAGTGGGACTTGCAAGAGGTACACCGGGGAACGCCCCGAATAACTTTTCGAACACCTGGGGAGACAGTCGCCCAAGCGTATACGGCATGGTGACTGCCTTGTACAGCGTTATCTGGTCATATGTTGGTTATTCAAATGCAAACTATGTGAGTAAACTTGCTGGGAATATGCCAGGAATAGCTTCTCTGACATAAACTTATAGTCACTCAGCGAGACTCGAAACCCCATTCGAACATTAAAGATCGCAGCTCCTATAGGAGTTACGTTGGTTGGAATCCTCTATCTGCTGGTTAATATTGCATATTTCGCGGTTGTGCCAAAGGAAGACATCCTGGGCTCTGGACGTATTCTGGCAGCCTCCTTTTTTCGCAACATTTTTGGGCCGAAGGCAGAGAGGGTTCTGTCCATATTTATTGCGCTCTCGGCCTTTGGCAACGTGATGGCAGTGCTATTCTCTCAAGGAAGAAGTAAGCTCAATGTGTTTTATTCATCTTCCGTACTCCTTTCTAACTAAGTGGTTTAGTTGTCCAGGCACTCGGCGAGGAAGGGGTCCTCCCACTGTCCAAGTTCTGGGCGAGTAAACGCCCGTTTAACTCTCCAGCTGCCGGTCTGCTGGAACATTATATCATCTCAGCCGTAGTTATGCTCGCACCACCACCTGGAGATGCATATATCTTTCTTCTCAAGTGGGTATCCCATGACAGTGTTGAATTGAATATTGGCTAAAAAAATGGTGAAATAGCATGATTTCGTACCCGTTGTCAGTGGTAAACGTCCTGGTAGCTGCAGGACTGATGCATATATACCTTCGGCCGTCAAAGTATCCTAGTTGGGCTCCGGGTATTCGAGCAACATTGCCAGTTACCGGATTTTTCCTGGTATCCAATATCTATCTCACCGTTGCACCATTCCTCCCACCGCCAAATCCCAAGGACAATATATATGCTTACCTTCCGTACTACTCGCACTGTGTGGCCGGTCTGAGTGTCTTTGTGATTGGCGCGGTATACTGGGTGATATGGGCAAAGCTGCTACCTTGTATGAAGGTATATGAGATTGCCGAGCACTCCTTTGAGGAGGAGAATGGAGCAACTAGGATGGTGGCAGTAAGGATACCTTCGGCAGGGCCCAGTGCGCCAGATGAGAAGAGGAAAGAAAGCCATTTTGGTTAGAAGAAAACCTGTCCCTCCCAGCCCGCCGTTGGGAGCTTGATATCCCTTCCTCCCGTTGAACTATGTGATGAGTGTCATGTAGGGGAATCGTAGCGAGTTGTATTATCCTCCTGACACCTACCGTGTATACTCTCTCCTTTATACAAGAGTCCATTCATTTTATTTAATACAGCACAGCTGGTCAAAATCCAGTAATGGCAAAAGAGATGTGCCGACTATTCTATGGAGAAACAGTTCACTTGGAGCAGCCTGGAAAGCCGCGAACCGATCCCCTCAAACTAGCGGGAGGAGTAATCTGGCATTGAAGGGCGATAGACGGCTGCGATTGCAGGCTCGCAGCTGGTCTATATCAAAAAGACGGCCCTTCCTTTGCGTTGATGAGAAGGAGAGAAAAGAGAGAGAAAAAAATAAAATTAAAAAAAAAAAAAATACCAATTAGAAAAAGAAGCAAAACACGCCAAGACATCCAGGTGAGAAGAACGAGGTCGCCGCCGCTGATTGGTCGGAAGCTCGAGATTTTCTCCTGCAGGAGAAAAAAAAAAAGCCGAAGCTGAAGACGCAGAGAAGACGAAGACGAAGACGGCGACAGCTTGATGGAGCTGATTCTCTGCGCGAGGAGCAAGGAAGCAAGGACGGGGCTTGCTTGTGCATTTTGATCTTCCGCCGCTCGTTTCTCCTGGTTCAATCCGTCACTCCGTTTTGGTCAATTGGGCTGTGAACTCTCGCTGTCTGGACATATATGGCTGGTTTTTGATATATAGGAAGACCTCTATATATATATAAACTGCAACAGTCTCAAGACGGGCGTCTTTTTGCATGCATGAAAGCTCCCGATAGCCTGTCTACCGGTAGCTACTGAGCTCCCCCGTGCATCCCGGCCTGTCCTTTCTCCATCTCCCTGGCCATGCCCGCCGGCAGGATGCTGTCTCGTGCCGCTGGCCTTCGCAGAGGCCCTTCTCTCCTTCGACCGTCAGCGCCGTCTCTCTCTGCTGCTCCGGCTGCCTCGTCTCTATCATCATCATCATCTCTCTCTGCTATATCTCTCCTGTCGCTGTCGCCGTCGCCGTCGCTCTCTTTCGGTATTACTCAGCCTTTCCGCCGAAGCTTCGTGCGCCCAATCAGGCCCGCGACCTCCCCCCGCCCGCCATCGTCTTTCACCCCGCCAACTTCTGCTACTTCTGCTACCTCTTTTCTTCCTTTCTCCTTGACATCTACAACTTCCTCCCCTTCTGCTCGTCTTCCTCGTCAGTTCAAGCGATTCTGCTCGTATAGGAGAATGTGTCATGCAAGGCGAGGTGACGACTGCGCCGCGGGTTCCATGCCCGTGGCCGCTCAGGGTCGCGAGATCCTCCCGGACAACGTGAAGCCGCTGCACTATGACTTGACGCTGGAGCCCAACTTCGAGGACTTCTCCTTCCAGGGCTCTGTTCAGATTGAGTATGGCTATCCGTGTTGTCCGTTTTATGAAATGCAAGACTGTTATGCTAACTAGACGGTGACCGATAGCCTCGACGTTGTGAAGGAGACGAGCTCTATCACTCTGAATGCCCTTGACATCACTATTGATACTGCTGCTCTTGAGACCAATGGAACAGAAATTGCTACCTCCTCTCCAGTTAGCTATGACAAGGACAAGCAGACTGCTACTATCACCCTTGGACAGAAGATTGCTGCTGGCTCCAAGGCCATGTTGAACCTCAAGTTCACAGGCACCCTGAATGACAACATGGCGGGTTTCTACAAATGCTCTTACAAGGATGCCAATGGCAACCAAAAGTACATGGCCTCCTCCCAGATGGAGCCTACAGACTGCAGACGCGCCTTTCCTTGCTTCGACGAACCCTCTCTCAAGGCAGAGTACACTGTCACTCTCATTGCAGACAAAGACATGACCTGTCTGAGCAACATGGACGTGGCTTCAGAGACTGAAGTCAAATCCACCATGGTCAGCCATCCTCGAAAGGCTGTTAAGTTCAACAAGTCCCCACTTATGTCAACTTACCTTGTGGCTTTCATTGTTGGCCACCTCAACTATATTGAGACAAAGGCCTTCAGGGTGCCAATTAGAGTGTACGCTACCCCAGACCAGAACATCGAGCACGGAAGGTTCTCACTCGACCTTGCTGCCAAGACCCTGGCCTTCTATGAGAAGGCCTTTAACAACGAGTACCCGTTGCCCAAGATGGATATGGTTGCCGTGCCCGACTTTGCTGCCGGTGCTATGGAGAACTGGGGTCTGGTCACTTACAGAATCGTCGACGTTCTGTACGACGAAAAGACCACCGGTGCTGCTACCAAGGAGCGCATCGCCGAAACTGTGCAACACGAGCTCGCTCACCAGTGGTTCGGAAACCTGGTCACCATGGACTTCTGGGATGGCCTCTGGCTCAACGAGGGCTTCGCCACGTGGATGTCGTGGTACTCGTGCAATGTCTTCTATCCAGAGTGGAATGTCTGGCAGACCTACGTTATCGACAACCTTCAACAAGCTTTGTCTCTTGATTCCCTTAGAAGCAGCCACCCTATCGAGGTACCTGTAAAACGTGCCGATGAAATCACTCAGATCTTTGACGCTATCTCCTACTCCAAGGGCTCTGCTGTCCTTCGAATGATCTCCAAATACATGGGCGAGGAAAAGTTCTTGGAGGGTGTAAAGGCATATATCAAGAAGCACGCCTATGGAAACACCACCACTAGTGATCTATGGGCTGCCCTCAGTGAAGCCAGCGGTAAGCCTATCGACAAGGTTATGGATATCTGGACTAAGCAGGTTGGTTTCCCTGTTCTTACAGTAAAGGAGAACAAGGAAAACAGCAGCATCACGGTCCAGCAGAACCGTTTCCTTCGAACTGGAGACGTCAAGGCCGAGGATGACAAGACTCTTTACCCCGTCGTCCTGGCTCTGAAGGGCTCTGATGGCATTGATCAGTCTGCTGTCCTTTCACAGCGATCCGAAGAGATCAAGGTTAACCTCGACTTCTACAAACTCAACGCAGACCACTCGTCTCTCTTTAGAACATGTTACACTCCCGAGCGCCTGGAGAAGCTTGGAGAGGACGCCAAAGCCGGTCGCCTTACTGTCGAAGACAAGGCTGGTATGATTGCCGATGCCGGTGTCCTTGCCGCTTCTGGCTACCAGAAGACCTCCGGCAGCTTGTCTCTCCTTAAGGCATTTGATCAAGAGAACGAATTCGTTGTATGGAATGAGATTCTCACTCGCCTCGGTTCTATCCGCGGTGCCTGGATGTTTGAAGATGAGGAGACCAAGAACGCCCTGAAGACATTCCAGCGCAATTTGGTCAGCCAAAAGGCTCACGAACTCGGTTGGACATTCAGCGACAATGACGGTCATGTTCTGCAGCAGTATAAGGCTCTCATGTTCAGTGCTGCTGGCTCTGCAGGCGACGAGAAAGTCGTTGCTGCTGCCACCGACATGTTCAAGAAATTCTCTGAGGGTGACTACGATGCTATCCACCCCAATATCCGTGGAAGCGTCTTCGACATTGCCCTCCGAAACGGTGGCGAGAAGGAATGGCAGACTGTCTTTGACAGATACAAGAACGCACCCACCTCTGCCGAAAAGAACACCGCTCTCCGCTGCCTTGGTTCCTGCGAGAAGCCAGAAATTGTGCAGAAGACTCTCGACCTCACTCTTTCCGAAGAAGTCAGAATCCAGGATATCTACATGCCCATGTCCGGCCTTCGCTCCCACTCCGCTGGTATACTAGCACGTTGGAAGTGGTTGCAGGTCAACTGGGAGCCCTTGACTAAGAGGCTCCCTCCTGCCTTTTCCATGCTGGGATCTGTTATTCAGATCGCCTGCGCTAGCTTGTCTACCGAGTCGCAGCTGAAGGAAGTAGAGGAGTTCTTCAAAGACAAGGACCACAAGGTAAGATACTTTTTTTTAAAAAAAAACTCATCTAATGTTATTAGTTGACTTTCTGCTAACCAGCACATGTATAGGGCTACGACCGATCCCTGGAGCAAAGTCTTGACTCCATTCGCGCTAAGGCTGGCTGGCTGTCGCGTGACCGTGGGGATGTGGAGAGCTGGCTCAAGACGAACGGATTCAAAGCCTAAATCAACTATTAAATAACGTATCTTTCTGTGAGATGCATATTTTAAAGCTCTCGGCAGAACGGATACCCTGGCCATGAGAGTCTTCCTATAGGTTGACAAACGATCAATCTTACATTCGTTAGGACATTGTCCTTATGTTATGCATGACGGAACCTATCTATGGTTACCGCATCGTAGCCCAAAGGTTAGGGTGTATATAGATATATTTCGAGAGAAGCCACCCTCCTTTAAAGTCGTAGACGCTGCGCCTCAATGAAAAATCTTCACTTCTTTAGATCATATATATCGTATCTTACACATGGTTATTTACCATCCACTACCGCCACCCTTGCCGGCAAACCCAGAGCTCTCTTCAATTTTCTTCTGGCCTGCTGCACCCATCCCTCTAATCGGTTTAGATTGAGCAGCTTCATGCTTGCGTAGTTCCTCTGGTACTCTTGATATAGACGACTTCATAAGCATCTGTTTCAGATCATAACTGCAGACAAAAGTTAGTAATTAAGAACCAGAATCAATAAGAGGAATGTTGGGAAATCAGCATACAGGACATCATTATCTTCACTACCAAGGAATGTGATTGCAACACCACTCTTCCCTGCACGTCCAGTTCGTCCAATACGATGGGTATAACTTTCAATATTCGTGGCCATATTGAAGTTAACCACCAAACTGACGTCTGGAACATCTATACCACGACCAGCAAGATCCGTGGCAACCAAAACATCCGTCGATCCGTTACGTACGGATGCGAGAGCCGCTTCTCTCTGCTCCTGAGTCTTAGAACCGTGCAATGTGACAGCCGAGAAGCCCATGTGTTTAATATCTCGCGCGACAGCATCACAGTTTCGTTTGATGTTGACGAATACAATGATCGGAGGACGGTATTCACGTGAAGTGAGAATTTCCGCAAGACGTTTCTTACGCTTGTCTTCTCCTGCGACGAATTCAACCCGCTGCTCAACGGTATCAACTGCTTCGCCAATGTTACCTATCGTAACTATTGCGGGACGACGGAGGTATTTCCTTGCTATCCGTTCAACAGCTGAAGGCATGGTGGCAGTGTACATCATTGTCTGTCTATATCGGTCCTTGCCGCCAATATGTTGGCTCATTGCCTGGGCGTTCTCTGCCTCTTCGGTATCAGGTTTCTCATTTGATACCGGAAGTGCATCAAGAATTTTATTCACAGGTTCCTCAAAGCCAAGATCAATCATCCTATCTGCTTCATCCATAATGACATAGCAGCATTGACTGAGGACGAGTATTCGTCTCTCAATACAATCGACCAACCGACCCGGGGTAGCAATGATGATTTCGGCTCCGTTGCGTAGATTATATGCCTGCTCTTCAAGCGAGTGACCACCCACAATACTGACAACGTTGAAGTTAAGCGGTGCAGCAAATTTCATAGCTTCTATTTCGATCTGCTGGGCAAGTTCACGAGTGGGTGCTAAAATAATGGCGTAGGGGCCATCATTCCGTCGCCATTCAAACTCGTCTAGTCGTGGGAGCGAGGAGATGTAAACAAGCAGTGGTAGTAGGAATGCTGCTGTTTTACCCGAACCGGTGACAGCAACACCGATGAGATCCCTGTTCTGCAACGCAATTGGTATAGAGACTCTCTGGATAGGCGATGGGTCCTTGTACCCGACAGAGTCAATAATTTCAAGAAGCCTCTTGGGAAGGCCCGATTCAGACCACGAACGCATCGGGTTTGGCAAACCACCACCCTTTGTGCTGATGTTGAAGTCTTCTTTGAATATTCGCCAATCTCTTTCTCGCATGTGTTCCAACTTCTTCTCACTCCAATGGGCATCAATAGCATTTCTTCCACTCTCTTCCTTTCTTCGTCTTTCCATCTCCAATATCTCTCTTGCTCGGACACTTCCAGCTTCAAGGTCCCTGTCCTCCAAAGCCTTTGCATACTTTCTCACGGAGTCATCTACCACTTCATCTGCAAAACCAGCTAGCCTACCACGACCGAAAAAGTTTGCCTCAGAGCGATTCTGGTATAGTGGGTTGTAGTCAGGGCTAGTGTCTTCTTCCGCATTCCATTCAAAATTGAATTTCCTTTCGGTAGTTCGCCGCCGTTTCTTCTTCGCCGAAAAGCTAGATCTCTGGTCTGCTCCCATATATCTCTGTCGAATGAGCTGTGCCTGGGCATCTTCTGGTAAGGCCCGTTTCTCCCCTTTGTTTCCAGAAGCAGATGCCGAAGAACTCTGTGAATTTTTATCATTACCCTTCTGATTTGATCTCATGGAAGCCGGTCCAGTCGGTGCATCGTGTCTCAACGCACGGGGACCTGTAGGGATGTGCCTCGAACCATCATTCCTACCAGTCTCACCAGTCCGAGAAGCAGAAGCTGAAGAGAACCCATTTGTCTCTATATCTGGAGTTCTTGAATCCGACCCAGAATTACCATTGGCTGCTGACTTCGCACGGCGAACGCTGTCCACTTCTTTCATTCGTTTTTCGAGCGCAATCTTCTCCCTCTGTGCTTTACTAAGGAATTTTGGCTATTCACAGGAATATATGTTAGTAACTTGTCCTACAGATCATCCCTACATGGATGTTAAACAAGAGGAGGAAGAAGAGGCACGTAATGCGCTATGCTGGTAAAGAAGATTCGACGGATTAACATACCTTTGAAGCTGCCTCGTCTGCTTCTTTTTTCTTCCGCAGCAATTCCTCAACACTTAGAGGAGTCGCCGCTTTTGTAGTTCCCCATCCTTTCTTTTTCTTGGGCTCTGAAGGGGGAGGGGGGGGAGGAACAAGAGAATCTGGGGGTGGAGGAGGAGCCGGGATATCTGGCGGCGGCGGAGGCAAGCTATGGTCGGCAGGAGGAGGAGGTGGAGGAGTCGGAGGCCGTTCGACGGGCTCTGGGGGAGGCTGCGGAGGTTCTATAGACCCATAGTTACTGTCTGTTATCCCGTCCATTGTTAAATATAAGCAGTGGTTCTTGTTTGCCCGGAGGACTTGAAGGAAGCTCGAAGCTTTTTTGATAAAGCGCGAAAGTTGATCGTCTTACGTCAGCAATGCACTAAACCTAAACAGGACGTCCAATTCTACTACCACAAAAGCAAAAAAGAAGAAACGCCAGTTGATATATCGTTTATGTACATTGCAGGTCGTGAAAAGGGGTCTCATACTATATACAAAAGGGAGTGTTTATTAAAGCATTATTCATTCCTTTGACTTTTTTCATCGTGATAGGTTCTGAGGTTGGGGAGATGCCCCGTTCAGTCTGGGGCTACTCTGGCTTTCCTCTGACCTGTTGAGGCTCTCCTCGTCATTTTTAACGGGATACCCCCATTGCCGGAAGGCCATGTCTTTCTGGTTGATGAGTTCTTCATGGCCAGACCGCTTGGAGCGATTTATCATGCTAATTGTGGGGGTGAAAGAAGGACGTGAGTTCTTGGAGAAGAGGCCGGTACGCGAAGAGAAAAATTGCCTAACTGCAGGCATACTGGAAGCTGTGATGCCAGCAAACATCTCGATCTCCCTATATGTTTTTGTTAGATATGGATACAGAAGCAAAATTTCGGTTATATAGCTGGCTGCCTTACGTCCAGAGCAAAACGTATCCGACTTTCCATGATGCATCGCTTACATCGTTTTGGAGCAGGACACGATAATAAAGGTTCACACCCGAAGCTGCCACGGCACTAAGAATATGTCAGAAAAAAAAAGGTCCTGCGAAGCCTATAGTGGCTTGCCCGGAGATGACTTACAGGCCACCAGTCATGAACACTAGTATGATACCAATCTTCTTCGCAGTTGACAGCTGCAGCTGCCATACAGCGGGCATTGGGAGTATAAATAGGACAACGTCGACCAGCGAACCAATGATGCCGGTAGGAATGGAGAACTCGGCGAACTTGAGATAGTGCCATGAGAGGATACAGTCGAGGATAGACTCTCCCGGCCATGGACTGCTCAGCACGAAAGACGAGATCGAGGTAGCGATATAGAAAAGGCCGGATAGTGTTGCCCCCACATATACGCTAATTCTTACATACCTCCTTACTTTGAATAAGAGGTAGTATTGAATGAAAAGGCTGAGTTTGATCAGTCCTAGGGCTGGCGTTGCTGTGATAACTGTGATGTAGCTTTGCTGCTCTAGTTATCAGCAAGTTGTCAAACTAACGAACCTAGGGACTTAATACATACATAGAGATGGGCATTTCCAAGGAGCTTATCGAGGTGCACCTCCCACTCGTGTCTTCCGGCGATTCCATTAATACAACCTTTATAGGGGTTAGTCTGGGACGAGAAAACGTTGAACAGGAATTCGACGTCACTTACCATTTAGCGTCGCCGCATAATATATGAGACTGAATAGCTATATTTTATTGTTAGGCCTATTTTATTGACAGAGGGCATGATCGTGGCGGCTCACAAATCCTATGGATATTGTCACTTATGAAAAAGCAGTCAGCCTGGCGTTCACGCTTAACCATCTACCACCGCTGGAGTCTACTTACAGTCATCCCACTTCCATGTTTTCGAGATGGCGAGTCGAGTGTACATGCGAATGAAGAAGCAGAAGCAGGCCATAGCCAGGAACGCTGTCCCTACTCCTACAATGACCGGTACTTGAGACACTGGGTCATCGAAATTCGGCGTGACCCCAGGTGGTGGTTTACCGCCTGGGATAGTCGACAGAAGCTCTGGCGGAATGCTCTTGAGAGCACTGGCGTCTGGAGTTTTAGACATCGCCGCTAGCTTGCTAACTAGTTCGATCCGAGGTCTCGATGTTGCTGAGCGCAGCTTTCGATCATGCCAAAAGATCGCAGAAGGATTTGTAAAATTGAAAAAAGAGGCCTTACCAACAAGCCGGGCGCTTCGACGTTAATATTGAGAATATTGCCCTCCAGCAAGGCTGCGCAAGCACCTTATGTATATCAGGACAACCCGGAGGACTGCGAGGCTGTGAGAACCCACAATCAGGCCTGGTTGCCGCTGTACCAGGGTTTCGTTTCTTCTTCTGCCTGCCACATGTACTGCATGGTGAGGGGGGCCATGTTCGTTTCCTGAAGATTACTGGGCGCCTGCTGGTCCGTTGGGGGCCATCCGTCTAACACGATGCCCATGCGGAGCGGTCGAAAAGTCAGCCATTGCCAGCGGCACAGCAATGATCCCTGCCACTGCGGCTGATCTCTCACATATCGACCAGGATCAAGGCGTGGTATTTTCGCATCTGCACCTGAACAACACCCTGTATTGCCCTCCAGGTGTTCCACATGCACTCCGTATGTGCGTGAAGGATTTTAAATTTCGTCGGTTTCCTCTAGTGCAAGAAAATCGTACTCGCCGTGGAGAGCGGTGGATATTGCAGAGCTCTGTTCCAGGCGATTCTACGCCAGAAATTGGTCCGCTTATATTTGGAATTAAGGTAGACCGGGCCGAACTCCCTGATTGAATGTATTTCTGTCGCTCAATACACTTTACGTTTTACGAAGCCCACCACAGCCATGATCTGCTCTCCTTGCTACCCGCCTCTCCTTTTTCCTTAAAACTCAGCCCCCAAGCCCATACGCTCCATGGACCTGGCCACGGACATGATCAGCATGGAGGAGGCTGAATGGCCTTTGCCTTGCTGTGGATGATATGCATGTCGTAAGTATGGTGTATGTATGCATACTGTTTCTCGAAATAGGCATATGAAGACCTCGGATACGCCCAGCTCTTGTCCACCACTCAGCTTTCCCCATATCGTCGGGCCCCAAAAGTCACGCAAGCTAAGACACTGCCAGAACAAAGGCGGGCTGGCCAAGGCTAGCCAGGGGTGGGATGCTGGAGGGGCCAGTTCAGCGTCCCGCTGTGTCTTGGTCCATTGATAAGAGCGATGGTATCCATGTGGTGAGAAGAGACAGTTTAGCAGAGAGGGAGAGACAACGGCGAGAGACACAGGGATAACGTGTGGTTGAATAGATTTTGAACCCGCCCACCATGCATACAGAACCACCCAGCAAGCATATTGTCACAATGGCAATTCCAATACTACCCTCATTCTCGAAGCTGGCTTCGACTGTTGACTCTCGAGGTTGGAACTGGCACTGGTATCACGTAGTATACCTCTTTTTGGCATGGCAGACAGCGCAGATATTGTGGAAGTTCTGGTGGAAGGCTCCGGTATGCATACCTAGATTGGACCGGTAACACTCATGGTGTTAATATTGACGTGACCGTTTAGTCCAACGTCATTATTGCAGCATACCCTACGCCGTTAGGAAGGTTTTTGACGGCATTGCATATGGTATTTGATTCTGGAACGCTCCTTGAAAAAGCGTACGAATCGGTATGTGTTTCCATGAAGAGATCCTTTGGAGTCACTAAAAGAGCAAGTGGTTAATACGTTCCAGGCTGGCGGAAAACCGTTTGCGATTCCCATGCTAGATCGCTGGATTATTTTCGTTTCCAACACAGAGACCCTCAAGCAGCTCGACCGTGAACCTGAACATGTTCTATCACTTCAGCAAGCTCTGCATGAGGTAACGTCGCCCTAGATTCTTTGCAGTGGTGGCTGAAGAAATCCGCTAAATAGAAATATGTAGCTCGCGTCCACAGGGCCAATATTAGGACCCCATCAAGTAAAAATAGAGAACAAGGGAACACAGAGCGAAGTCTCTCGTGTTGTGGTTGGCGTGTTGAAGAACAAGCTCCGTTCAAATATTCCTTTGATGAGTGATACCCTTCGAGAACGAGTCAGGAAATCAATGGCTCTGGAGATGTCTCCGCCAGCAAACGGTATGTTGGGGCTTTGAAGGATAGCTATACGGGACAATTTGCTAAAACATTATACCATGACCAGAGGCTTGCGAGAAGAATGAATGGAGACAAGTTAGGCTTATGCCAGTACTCCTTCGCATCTTTACCAGTGTAAATCTCCTTCCTTTGGTTGGTGAAGAACAAGGTGTGTATGGTATCTCTCCATGTCTATTATCATACAGTGAAGCTGACGGAGGACAAAGCCAACCGCCCTGAAGTGTACGACGATGTGATGAACTTTTTCTGGAGCTGTGCCCGGGCTTTTCCCATCGTAGATATGATGCCCAGTTTCCTCACACCGTTAGTTATCACCCCCTGAACTATATCGAAACATAACTGACTAGGTTGCTGTAGGTTCATTGGGCCAATTGCCATGGGCTGGGGCGTAACGAGAACCAAAGTATACGACCTCTTGTTGTGGCATACTACGAAGGCTCTTGAAGATAAGGAGGTTGGCAGAGAAAAACAGGTATGAACGGTCCCCCTCTCTCTCATGGCAATAAGGAGGAGAGGGGAAAAACATAACTAACAGACCTTAAGCACGCTGGGGGCCACGTCGCACAATGGGCTTCCGAAATAACAAAACTTCGAGATGCAGCAGAAGTGGCCAAAATATCACTTGGACTGTTATTTGCGAGCGCATTCCAAGTGCCAATGGTAGGTCAAGGCTAATATAACCCCCGCGTGTGTGTCACCATCCATACTGAAGATCCGGCGGCACAGGTTGTTCAGTTCTGTATACACAGACTATGTAGGCATGGGGAGTACACAGACAAGCTCAGACAAGAAGCTCTCGAATGTGAGAATCTTTCTTTTGGCGCGATGAACCGAGAGATGCCTTACCTGGACAGTTTCATGAAAGAGACTTCTCGTCTAAGTCCAGGCCCGATCGGTAAGCCAACCCTCAGTTCCTCCATCTCCAGTATGGCTGTAGAAAAAAACCATTATCTAACCTCTACAACAGTAAGTGCACCTCGTACAGTCATGGTACCGTACACGATGGAGGATGGTTGCCACATCCCAGCCGGAAATTGGATTGCCATACCCCAGCTTGCCCTCATGCGTGACGAGAAAATCTGGCCCAATGGTAAGGAATTCGAGGGATTCCGTTTTGTCGACGAGCAAGGCGATGCGTCAGAGTCACGGTTCACTCATCCAAGTCACGAGTTCCCCTTCTGGGGTTCAATAAAGCATGCATGGTAAGTTTTACTCGAACTTCCTCGGAATTTCGGACTTGGCTGCGACAACGTGCTAACCTCCGGACCAGCCCTGCACGCTTCTATGTCTCCGTTGTCATCAAAATGGTCCTGTCACATCTTCTTCTAGACTACGAATTCAAACTCGAAAACCCAACAGCGGCCCCGTTCCTGACCTTTGGCAAGGTCAGAGTGCCTAGTCCCTTTATGACGCTGCTGGTCAGGAAGCGCTCCACTGGCTCGAGGGTGTAAACCGGGGTTCAGCCTAGCCGCGGAGATCCGGTATGCTCGTTCCCCTCATGATGAAGATTCTGAAGGATTTCTCCCCATCTATTTCGCTTCCGTGTCTTGTCATAGGCCCGGCATCAATCTTTCCTTCAATTCTTTGTATTAAACTTTCTGTAATTATTATTTTTTCTTTTTTATTTTTGGGTTATCGAAGGATGAAGGTTTAGACATGTGGGGAATAGAGTTCGCAAGACCGAAACCTAAATGCACATGCTTAAAATCTTATTTTTTCTTTTCTTAATAATGACGCAGTTGGTCGTCGATCTTTCGACAAGGTGAACGCGCGTGGGCTGAGCTTTGTGATGCAGAGCGTGCAGCTGCAGCCTTGGGAGCTGGTTTGAGATTAAGAGGGGGGCATTGTCGCGCATCAGAGGCAGCTGTCACACAGCTACGGGGTAGCTGGGTCCGTGTTGGTGCTTGTTGCAGGGCGCGCTGCTGCCTCTTCTACTCCAGCCTTGCTCCGTTCTGTACCTGTGAGAACCCAAGGCATTGAGAAACAAGAGCAGAAGACGACAACGACCATACAGGGCAAAATGAGCGCTACATCTGTTACTGCGGCTCTTCTGATTGCTGTTTCTATCTTCTTTGCCATGCGCCGTTTGCGCGGAAGCCCAAAGGAGCTCAAGGAGCCGGAGCTTATAGTTCGCTCATCTGAAGCTGCCATACGACTCAACAAGGTCCTTGCATCTGCTTTGCCTGAGGACGTTGTGGTTTTGCCTCAAAATGCTGCTACCTTCAGGAAGTCGATGAACACATACTGGGCCCAGCAGGAGTGCGAGGTCGTGCCTGCGTGTGTTGTCCGGCCTCGGAATATCGACCAGCTCTGCACAGCTGTCTCTATTCTTAAAGGGGAATACGACAGACGCAGGAGTTTAGAGGATGAGAAAGGTGGTATTAAGGCGGGTGGCTTATTTGCTGTCCGTAGCGGTGGTCATTCAGCTGTCTCTCATGCCGCGAGTATCGAGGACGGTGTGATGATTGATATGAGCCTATTCTGCGACGTGACCCCATCGAAGGATGGGTCGAGCGTCGTAATCGGTGCGGGAGCTAGATGGGGTCCAGTTTTCGAAGCTTTGGCTGCGAAGGGTCTTGCTGTTGCTGGTGGACGCAACTCACATGTTGGCGTCGGCGGCTTGACATTAGGAGGTATACGAGTATCATTCCCATCATTGCTTTGCTGAACCAGAGCTAACGTTGGTGAAATACAACTAGGTGGAATCTCCTTCTTTTCTCAACGTGTCGGTTCGGTATGCAACAATGTTCTGAGCTACGAAGTCGTACTGGCCTCGGGGACCGTCGCCACAGCCTCACCTACCTCTAATCCCGACCTCTGGCGTGCCTTGAAAGGTGGTGGTAACAACTTCGGTATCCTCACTAACATTACTCTACGCTGCTTCCCTTCTACCGACATATGGAGCGGTTTCCTCTATATGCCATCCAGTAGTGCTCAAAAAGCCCTGCATGCGTTCCACGACTTTGTTCACAGAGCTCATCCCGACAATACTGGAATTACTTATGATCGTCATGCGTCCGGTCCGATCGCATGTTTCACTTACCTGCAGCAACTTGGTATCCAGGCTGTCTCAGTCAACCTCGTCTACACGAAGCTCCCTGAGAAGAAGAACAAATGGCCTGAGTGTTGGGAAACTTCTGGCTTCAAATCACTTTGGCGCTTCTGGAGTACTTGCAAGGTCCGCCCACTCGCAGATGCTTGCGATGAGATGAACTCCCTTAATCCTCCTGGTAGACGCCAGGTGCTTGCTACCACCACCATCAAGAACGACATGGCAACGCTACAAGCCGTCTACTCTGCCTATAAAGACGCTATTGCGCCTATCAAACAAGCTAATATCAAGGGCATGTCATGGACGCTCGTTTTGCAGCCCATGCTAGCAAACTGGGCTGGGGAAGGCTGTGATGGAAACCCCTTTGGCCTAGCCGATACCAAGGAGCCTCTTGTGATTGTCTCATTTACCGTCAACTGGATTGAGAAGAGTGACGATAAACTCTCTGAGAAACTGACTCGTGACGCGATTGAGCAGATCGATGCTGCTGCCGCTGCCAATGGAACTGGCCATCGGTATCGATACATGAACTACTGCGGAGACTGGCAAAGCCCGTTTGAGGGATACGGAGAGGAAAACGCACAACTCTTACGCGATATAAGCAAGAAGTATGATCCGGAGGGCTTGTTTCAAAGAGGCTGCGTAGGTGGGTTTAAGCTTGATATAGAATATAGCTAAGTCATACGGTAAAGTCGATTTATTTTCTTTCACCGTATATGGTCTTTGACTCTGTAGTGCCTGGTATATTGAGAAGTCCCAAAGAGCTAGCTAGAATGTTAAATACAAAGCCGCAGTTCCATCTCTATTAGTAGCATTGTATAGGTTAAATAGAGACAAGGAAATGGCTTACTTTGTCTATTTGGTAGTTACTAGTTTTGCTTACTTCTTAGTTTATTACTTGTAGGCGTTTTACCGCGTCTTTTTGTGAACTTGTCTGGCTTAACTTCGGAGATACCAAGGTAGTATTTGACCATAAGATAAACTGAGTATCTTTTTACTGATCAAATGCAACGCCTCCATTTCTGCTAAATATAACTACTAGATATCGTTGTTGCCCTAGCCATAGCGTCATAATCGGTGGCGACTATTAGTTAACTCTCTCTCACAGGAGCTCATCGACATGATTGCGAAAGACCTTGACCTAGATTCACTCTGCGCTGCTTTCGAGTTCTGCCCTCGGTTTCTACTTGAACTCGAGAAGCAAAGAGAAAGTATCGTACCCTTAGTAGAACGGGGCGATGTTCCTTTGAACCGGGATTTTCGGATTATGGAAGCATTGCTTCGACCAGGGAAAGACAATCTCTACCTTCTACACATACCGGTTAGAGGGCCTTTGGTTTTGCTGTTTCCTCTATTTAGACCCCCATCGTTGCCGTTTTCAAGCCTGGATGCTAGTTACCTGTATGATTAAATTAAAATTTAAGATAACTACTGTAATAAAGGCCCTCTCAACAGTGAATTTGAAATTGTATTTGATTTATTTCTTGCTACTAAATAGGAGAATTGGTGGAAAGAGGAAGGGGGGGAAAAAAAAAATGTAAACCGCCCAGCCGACTGAGACGCCCATTGTAGATTACAAAGTCCAACTAATATTGCGTACGCCACTAATTAGTGAGTGGAAATTAGACAGTTGGAGTTGGGACAGAAACATCAGGTCTGAACATAGAATTAGGACTTTGTTGGCCAATCACAAGCTTGTCCTGTGTCTCCTTTGAAAGTGATGACTTCATAATTGATTGGACTGACGGCGGACCATTCACTTCACGGTTAAGGGTGATGTACTCTTTGGCAGCTTCACTGGACCCTCGCTCCAGCAAGTAAGTCATATAAAGCTGAAGAAGCTCCTTAGCTGCCTCGGCAGGCAATGAACTTTTGTTGCGAATATCATCGATAACCTGCTTGATGCGTTCGTATTGTGCGGGCTCAGTATCGGCGCTGGTTGGCTGTTCTAGCTCAAACATAAGATAGCTTGTCCAGAAAGGACGGCTATCAGGATACCAGTGTTGATTCTTGCGGAACACCTGTCGAGCTTCATCAGCGGTACCTTTGACCCTCCAAAGGAGCTTGGCCCATTCAGCCACAAGTGCTGCTTTTGTCTGAATATCACACTCTGCTGAATCTAGTTGGGTTTTGTAAATCTCGATGGCTGCATCTAAGCCACCATGGCGACGTGACAAGTTCGCAAATGATATTATGGTTTCAATGTGTCCAGGCATAGCAAGGAGGACAGCATTGTGAATATCCTTAGCAATATCGACTCTTGAAGCCATTTCTTCAAAGTAGGCATAGTGGAGTCGGATAGCTGGGCGAGATATGGGGACGTATAGGGAACTGGCCTTTTGATAGATGATTCTAACTTCTTCTTCCTTTCCTTCTTGGCCAGACATCCATGCTGCGTAACGCATCCAGAATTCATCGTAGTGCGCACATGTCACAAGACATCTCTCGTACAGAAACTGGGCGCGGGCGAAAGAACCCTCTGCCTCCTCAAAATCTAAGTACCTTCTCCAGTTGGATAACTGACCTTCATCTAGTTCAGTAACATGGAAGTAAGGCCGTTTGATTTCTGACTCGTAAGTCCATCGTTTTGTCGTTTCCGTCTGAGTGCGTGAAAATATTTCGAGGAAATGACCATCGGCTCTTAGTCGAATGTCTCTTTCGATTTCAGCCTCACTCCTCGAACCAGGAGGTACATTACCCGCCGCATTTTCTATTTCAGCTCGGAATTGAGCTAGAGTTTCAGGAGGAAGCAGCTCGTTCAAAGGCCTAGTTTGAGCGAGTTGTCGGTACCGTTCGAAATACCTGGCATACTGGTGCATTGGTATTTGGATAATTTTGCCAAGCACTGCAAATATCTTGTCAGGACATTCAACGCGCTCCTCGAATTCGAGATACTTGTCCCAGAATAGATGTGACAAGAAATCAAGACCGACACAACTGACGCCTCTCTCAAAGAGCCTATAGTAAGAGGGTCAGTAAAAATTAAGCCCAGAAAGAAGATAAGAAAGGGTAAGGAAGAGAAGGGGACAGAAGGAAGGGTGGTGGAAAGGATGTCAAACATGGCATATGCATTTAAAATCTTCAAAATGAGGTGCCGAGTTAGATCAACGATTGATAGAGGTAGGTGTTGCTATATCATCCGTGCGTGACATAGGAGAAGGATTCTCGAACAATATCCAAGTAGTGTGCGAAGCAAAGGCAGCCTGAATCTTATGGGTAAGAAGTAGCTTCAACGAAACCGAGGTGGCAGATGACTATCTCACCCATTTAAGGAACCTTGATATTATCGATCTGCCCCATATGACCTCAAGATTGCGAACGACTCATGCGCTATGTCGGTATGGTTATAGGGAAGGGGACCAACATATTATACTTACTCTCGAATAATATCGGTATCGTGCGAGGTTTCAACCTTGAAAGTACAGTAGTTTGTCCAAAGGTCAACCGAGTTTGTAATGCTAGCAACTCCGCGCTCATACACCTAAAGGGAAGAAGATGATATGGATCAGCATATGCGATTCTCAAAGAGAATGAAATGTGGAATGCTAACCATCTCGGCGGCCTCGGTGCCGGCAATAGAGAATTCTAGGTCCGCATATTTCTTCCAGTACCCAAATAAAAGAGGGAATTTCGCAAGGAACCGATCGTATACAGTTCTTGTAGCTGTGATAGCCTGAGGGCTTGAATTACGATTGATTCCGCCTTCTTGGCCCTCGGCTGCGCGCACCAGTTTCTCCCATGCCTCAAAGCTGTCGGTATCCTCGAGCTGTATCAAAAAAAATGTGTTAGCAAAGCCAAGTAGATTAAAGAGATTATCGTATTCTGCGAAGACTCAAAGAACTCAAGGTATGCTTACCACTTCAGCATAGAGCTTCTTCAACTCTTCATTCTCCTCGTCGGTCCCACCAAAGAGCAAGTCTGCCATGTTTCTCCAAATCACCAGCAATAAGATTTTTCAACTGATAGTCACGGTCTATACAGCACGAAGGTATGGTGAGCCGGCTTTTCTTTGTCGCTTTCTTCTGTAGAAATGAAATGTAGCTCAGCGCGCGTTGAGCGTCAAGTGAGAAATTGACGTCGGGAAGAACAGAGAGGCGCTAAGGAAAAAGCGGGCAAGGTTATGTAAGAAATAGGGATAGCCGCGAGTATCACGTGAGTCAAAAAGCTTTTGCGCGCAGAAAGACTGGAAAAGTGAACGGTCGAAGACGAGAATATTGGCTGAGCCTGGACTGTAATAATTCCAACAGGGCGAATTGAAACAGGCATTGTACCCCTTTGCAGCCTGAACATGACGACTCAAGCAGCAGTTGGCCTCGTTGAGGGCCTCCCGCTCCGGCTTCGAAATTTCTTCGCCCGCTATCCACCACAATACTATTCTTCGCAAGCTATACCGAAGGCCCTACCACAGCAAGAAACGTCCTCTGGCAGCTCTGAATCTTCCGCAGTCATTAAACCAGCTCCCAGCCCATTTGCATCACGAAATACCAAGGTCAAACTTTCGAAAACCAAAGACGCCGACTCCATTTCCTATACAGACTCCCTCCTCCGTTCCGACCCTAGCGGGCTATACCCAAACCCTTTCCTTCCATATAAGAACCCGGAAACTGGGCGATGGCGAGGAGCTGTGATATCATTGCGTCGACAGGCGGAATTGGTGAAATTAGGCATCAAATATGGCGTGGAAGAACTGTTGCCTCCAGGTCGAAAATCAACCGAGTATAAGCATGCAAGGCTTATTGAGAAGGGTCTCAGAGTCAAGGGTACTGGTATCGGCCAGAAGGTCAAGGGTCACAAGTGGGAGAGATCCATGAAAGGCAAGTTGGAAGAGAGGAAGAAGGCTATGTTGGAAATGCCAGAAATGATCCGGTTATGGAAACAGGTAAGGGTTCACATTCGTTTCTCTATTGCTTAAAGGTAATCTTGGACTAACATATATCTATAGCGTGGTCATGGTCGTGGCTGGAAGAAGTACCCTCGGTCGTGATTTCCCTTATTATGAGCTTGAAAACCCTTCAATTGTAACTCAAATGTACTATATTTTGGAGTTTGGCGGTTAACCCTGTTTTGTGCGAAGGAATAGCTGTTGCATCAGTCTTATAAAATATCCAATATATACTTAGAATTTCACTATAAATCTACGGAAAATGCATGACAGCCGCCCGTGGCACAGGATAGGAAACCTAAAGCCTACAAAAATTCTAGAAAGTGTGGGCTATATCGCCGTTATCAGTCATAGAATGGAGTTACCATTTCGCCTGTTCTGACTGTTAAACGCTTATCATCAGATGCGTTGGACAAACAAACATGTTTACCAAAGTAGACTTTTCCTTCAACCTTTCTAGTCTTTGCCAACGTAGAGAAAGGCTCATCGCTGCGTGTACCAGTCTGCTGGTCAATACAGATCATTTGACACCTCTGACAAGACCCAAGAGCGTCAAAATGAGCACCTCCCACCTGGAATCCGGTCCATAGCTCTTCTATATAGGGATGTTCAGAAGCGGCTGATGACTGATATACTGGAGTGAGTTTGGACGTGAGGGCTGGCTTTTTTTCGCAGACAATGATGTTGGCTCGGAATACGTCCGCTGCAACTACTTTAGAGGTGGAATTTGGCTTTCCCGAAGACTTTATAGTTTCGTTAACTTTATTAACGCTTGAGCGGGATATTATGAGGATAGGTCCCTCATTGGATAGGAGAATAGGACGCTGTGAACCCGATGCAACAGGTTCGGGAAATGAACCGGGGATCTCGTCCATTGTATTTAGCGTATGTATAAGTCCTCTGCCAGGAGTTCGGTATGGCTTAGAAAATCGGGCTAACGAGTGGTTCTGTTGCGCTGGAAATCTTGCAAGCATGCATGGAACACCAAGGAAATCAGAGAAAAAGGCTGAGAGTCGAGTGGATTTGTACACTTGCACAGAGACCGTATCTCCACATACTGTAGATTGCTGATTTGCGATATTTTTGCATATCTCTCCCTCAACGAGATCCGTGGGATTGACGGATAACGGTATTTCCATAGAATCTCCGTATGAGCCCGGGGTTGGTAAGGTAACTCGTAAGATTCCCCTGGCGAGATCAATTACCGGCCGTATCAGTGCCATTCGGGGGTATCTTTTCTGGCTGAGAGCAGAGCCGGTTCCTTGGTGTATCAAACACCACTCTCTGTCCCAGGCTAGCCCTTCTGGTTTGACATCCCATTCCATCGATTCAGGGATGGTGAATGAGCCGCAGCTCTTGATTGGATAAATACAGAGTTTCTCGATATAAAACTGCGAAGGTAATGCTTGAACGGAGGGTGCTAAAACTCCATCTCGAGGTTTCGGCTCGTTAACGACGGGGTCCTCCACATAGAAATTTCGAATGAAGTCAAGAAGGGTATCAATGTCTTGTCTAGATGTCATGGCACCTAGGCTGACCCGAAGACCACCTGTAGGTTTTCCAGAAATGATGTCATTGTCATCCCCACAGCGCTGCCCAGCGTTATAATTGCGTTTCATATCATCTGCCTTCAACCCAAGGTAATACGCCATCCCGCCAGGATTGCATAGGGTGCCGGACCGGATCTGAATATTTTTGACAGCAGCTAGCTTCTCCACATCTGACTTCCGTATCCAGCCTCCAGTGCTGTCCTTCAGATTGAACGATAAAATAGGGCCTTGGAGAGCACGTTCCATATACTCACCCGGTCCTTTGTAGATCTCGCAAACCTTTGTACCATTTCCATGCTCTAGAGATGACAGCCCAGAGTATAAGATCCTAGCCAAATCTGCAGTATGGCGAGATATATTATCCATGGAAGAGTAAATATGCTCATGTACGTCAAAGGCGGAATGCAAGGCCACGATGTTATGAAAAGGCAACGTGCCATCTTCAAGCTGATCATGAAGGGCAGAATCCTTTTTGGCATGCCACTGTTCTCCGATAGTCAGGACCATTCCGACTGTACCCCCGCCGAAGTACTTTCTGTTCAGGAAAAGATGACCGGCATCTTTGCGAACTATGAGGGCTCCGAGGTCAGGAAAGCCAAAGATTTTATAGAAGCTGATAACAGTGAAATCTGGTGCACAGGCTGTGTCACTTAAATCAAGAGGCGAGGTAGAGGCTAAAGATGCAGCATCAAATAAGGTGAAAGCTATCTGCTTCCCATCATTGTCTGTGAAGGCACGAAATTCCTGGCACCAGCTCAATGGTAACCGGCGACCGGTCATGTTTGATTGGCCTGGGTATGCAAAAAGGGTCGGGTGGGCAGACTCTGAAGTATTGTAGCCTTTACGAAGTTCATTAATCCAGTTGAGTACCTCGTTATCGGCCATAAAGCATCTGCTTCCACGATCTGCCACGTTTCTGACCCCAACCAAGCTGGTATGAGAATCGACATGATATCCGTACCAGAACCCCCCAGGCTCATAGTCTCGCAAACTTTCCGCAACGAGCTTTATTCCAGCTGTTGCGTTGGCCACAAAGACGACGTCAAAGTCTTCCGGGCTTGCGTTACAAAACCGAAGAACTCGTAGTCGCGCATCATCTATTAGACTGGTGGATAATTGGGAAGATGAAGACGCTGAGTGGGGGTTCCCAAAGAGGTTGCTTGTCAGGCGCTGGGAGAATGACTCTATGAGCGACTTTGCATAGAGCGTTGTCCCTGCATGATCAAGGTAGGTTGTATCTAGAAGTCAAGGAATCAGCACTGGGTTTCTCAGTATTATCAAGCAGCTTAGCGGCCACCTCCAAGGAATAAAGCAGAAAACGGTCATCGATAAGGGTTAAACATGCTGCTATGCCAACCTTTCAGTAGCGGATATTGATCTGCTCGGATCTTCTCAACGGGCTCCTTGTAATAGGAGGGCGAGTCTTCGATGGAAACCATCGCTACCAATCGATGTTGAATAATGTGACATTATTCTAAGCAACTAATGTAGCAAGGGGGAGAGAGAGGACAAGAAGAGACGGCTATTGGGTATATATAGTTATATGGCCAGCCTATGAATAGCGGGCAAGTAGTATCATTCTGCTCGTTGAGGCTACTTTATGCCTAGGCAAGCGTTAGACGTTGCGGCGCTCTCCGATACAGACCCGGCGGAGTTACTTTCCTTAAATGGTATGTTTGCACTGTTTGAATTAAAATTTCTGCTTAATAATAGACCGTCGGCCAATGGTTAATACCCGTCCGGTATCACGTGTAAGATATTAGTAATTCATTAGTCATTAATGGATAAACATTCAACCTTATAATTCCATTATTAGGTAAGCAATTGAGAAGTAAACAAATCCTTGTGAGCGACGCCGGCGATGCTGATATATATGCTGATATTGCCATGTCTTTCTATCTTCCAGGCGCCTGGCGGACTCGCTCGGAGAGATCTGCCTTTCTAGCTACCTGGTAGTGTGGTTACTTGACGCCGAAGCAGCTCATCTAGCTGTTGCTTACATACAGAGTATTGGCAGGGTGAAACGGAAAGTAGCCTCTAGTGAGAAGAAGGCTTCGTTATGCTACGATATAGAGAGCAAGCTTGTAACGCGCATCATTCTTTTCGTCTACGTAGAATTGTAGATTTCGTCAAACCCATCTAGATTGTGTGCTAGAAGAGACACAGTATTATTTCGAGTATTTAACATATCAATCATTATCTACAGAAGCCAAAAACCAACCAGTTTTATCCGCCAAAGTTTCCGTCGTCAGTCATGAAAGACAACAAGCCGTTTGCGCGTACCTAGGGAGTAGTCTAAAGGGGAAAGGAAATTTGAAGAGCAGGAAAAATAGCCAGGTGTTTTAAACATGGTATGAGTTCCGTCTTCCAGAGCTGCTTCGATGTCTGTGGTGGCTGCTTCGGCGGCTGGAGTGGCTTCCTCTGCGCGAACGCCGCTCGTGGTGCTCCTCATGGTGGGAGATGAAGTATGCGAACACGGCCGTCCAGAAGAACGAGATGATGTTCATGATACCGAAAGCAAAAGAGGCTTTCAGCATGGAGCACACCTTGTTTGGGTCGCTGGCGAGCGGGTTGCGCTGCTGCTGGCCATAGTATCCAAACGGGCCCAGACTGAGGAGGAACTTGCTGCGCGAGAAGTTGCTGCAGTTCTCCTGGGCGATGTCACGGAGCAGATAGACGCCTGCGATCAAGGCGCCGAAGAAGCAGAGGTCGATGAAGGAGACGAAGATGGCTGAGCGCTTGGTGTTCTTGAAGCGGAAGAGGGTCTCGAGCACCCAGATGCCGCCCAGCACGCTGACGATGAAGAGGACGAGGATGTATGTTGGAGTGATGATGTTGGCCTTGACGAAGCCATCGATGAACCATGCCTGGGATGCGGATGTCAGTACGGAGTTTCACGGGAGGTGCTTTTCCAGCATAGTGAGGTGGCTGGGCCGACTTACGAGCATGCCAATGGGCGGTATCAGCGTGATCAACTGGCCGATTCGCCAGCAGATGAAGAAGAAGCTGGAGAACATCTTGGTCGATGCGCCTTGAGGCCTTTGCTAGCCAGCAAGCGGAGGAGGAGGAGAGACTGAGGTATAAGGAGCTGCTATATGAGGCCCCGATCGATTCCAGCTCGCGACTGGGTGGAGTAAACAGAGCGTCGCCTGCGAGCAGCAGCAGTCTGTCTCGTTAGCTATGCAGGACGGTTGAACAGATCGACAATGCGAGTGCCCGGGAGGTATGTAGTTATGTCCTGATATAAACAAGGTCGCAGAGATCCAGCGCCCGACCATGCGCGCTACGGAGCTATTTAACTATCGCCGGGCCAACCCTTGCGGTCCCAGGACTAAGTAAATTAATGTGATAAATACTTGAGGCTGGGAAATGGAAGAAGGAAAAAAAAAAGCAAAGACAGGCAGATAAGCGGGATGTTTTAGCCGTGCTCGCTGTCATGGAAACGAGCCCTGTTGCCAATCAGCATCGCCAATGACGTCGACGGGCCATGGATCCCAAGCGAGTATAAGATGGCAGCGGACGGAGGAGGCTTCAGGCTTCGGACTTCAGGCGTTGGGCATTACTGCTACAGCCGGAGGAGTGTTACTATTACTATATGTATTACATTAGTTATTATTTAGTGGCAACGGCGGCTTGCGGTTCCACGGTTGCTCTCAGGCACCGGCTTCGAGAAGGCCTATCGGGATGTTTGTTGAACTTGGGAAGACTTGTTCAATTCAGCGTCTGGCTAACTAGGCACTTGATTAATCAACCGAGAGCAGAGCGGTAGACGAGCGTCCATCAGTGTGGCCTCCAGTGTCGGTAGAATGCAGATCAGCAAGCATCTTCCTCCTTGACTTCGTCCTTGACCTCAGTCTTGACGGCTCTTCTGCCTTTCTTCGGAGCCTGCTTGTCGGCAGCCTCGCTTTGCTCAGTCTCAGTTTCATCCTTGACCTTGCGTTTCTTCTCTCCTGCTGGTCTGGCTGTCTTTGGTTTCTGTGGAGTATTCGCCGGGGTCTCCGTGTCACTGCTGGGCGCCTTTGCCTTCAGCTTGATGCGGGCAATGCGGTTCTTGATGGCCAGCGCGTTGTATTCTGTACAGCTGGATGTCAGTTATCTCTCACTTGAGTGCTGCTTGAGGCCTCACTACTTACCGCCGCCCATCATCTTAGCGACAGCAGCATGGTCGACTTTGGCACTTGCTGTGGCCAGAATAGATGCAAGTAGCTAGAGTGTAGATGGATGGTCAGTTTGATACATTAATTAAAGGCAAGCATGGGAAGTGACGGGGTCACAGCCTACCAATGCATCAGCTTTGTCGTCCCACACTACAGGCATTTTTTGAGCTTTTGAAGACAAGATACAGCCTAAAAAGGTAGTAGATTGGAGGCTACAGGATGCTGTTTTGGTGCGTGTCTTCGATCTGCATGCAAGTCGAGTATGCGTGATAGCGGGATTGGTGAAGGATATTGAGAAAGATGGTGAGAAGAAGAAAAAAAAGAAGAAGAAGAAGAAGAAGAAGAGAAGTGAGGTCTTTGTTTTATATAGGGCAAATTCCTGTGTGAGGACAGCTCTGAATAACACAGTTGCCGGGTTACCAGCCAGGCCGAAGCACCAGGCAAGAGAAGTAGAACAAAAATGCCAAACGTGACGCTCAGGATTTTGCTATGTGCTGCCTCATGCGGTAGGTAGGTAAGTGATTAAGGTCATATCATCATCATAAACCGATGGCAAAGGCGACTGGAGAGTTGAGGATATGCATGAAGAAAAAGGGGGGTGATATCAAATAGCCGAGAAATCCAGTCCAGGCCAAACGAATACCCCCCTAGTAATCCGAGAAGAACGAGCAGAATATTCAGATTCTCATAAGAGGTGCTAAACAAGAAGCATGAAGAAAGATATAGACGTATGCGTTAGAAAGGGGGATTATAATATAACATCAAGGGGGTGGATTTGACATGAACACGAAGGGGGCGATATAGGTATCATTTGTGAGAATGTTTGAAATAAAAAACGTATAAAGAAGAAAGTACGAGACATGGCGCTATCATGGCAGAGATATTTCTTGTTTTATGATTTGACAATGGATGCAGGGTGACGCTCAAGAGGTGGACTGTTGGAAGAAGCTCTGTTATCGGGAGGATGGTAGGCAGCGTATCTGGGCGCAGCATCCGAACTGGTATCGGCGGCACCCTGGTGGTGTCTGGGTTCATATCTCGTCTGCTGCATCTCATAACCCTCCGACTCGCTGCTTGACGCACCATAGTCCGTATCAGCAAGGCGTCTGCGTCTCTGAGCCTTTTGGTGTTCAAAGGGGTTGCTCATAAGGGCCGGAGCGGATTCGGGGATTTCATGTCCCTGTGCCTGCTCCTGGGAAGCTTGAGCGGCCTGGTACTCTTCATCCGCGCGAGGGACCAGTTTCATCTGGTCGTTCTCATACTCAAGGAGCCGGCGGTGGGTATACACTGGAGGCTCTGGAATCGATCCCCAGGTGCGGATTGGATGAGCTCGGCCCTTTTTCCAGGGCTCTGCAAGAGATGGGAAGTACTGCCGGTACGCAACCCAGCCGCAACCAACGCCCAGCAGGGACCCGGAGATGACATCAAATGGGTGATGCCGCGCATCCATAATGCGAGACACAGCCACTAAGCCTGCAGAGAGTGTAGGTACCATGACAATGAACGCTTTCCAGACTTCTCCGCGGCTGTCCATGACATGCAGTTTTCCAGCAAGGTAGAGTGATAGATAGAATAGCCCAGCGAACGAAGCTATATATAAAGGTTAGCAAGCTTCAGCCTTTCTATTGTCAATGCAATTCCCCAATTGATACATACAGCTGCTATGTCCTAGAATAATAAGGGAAAAGTTAGTAAAAAGGGGGCTCTCTTCTATCCAGAGGGGACTGGTACTATACACACCTGATGGGAATGACCTAAACCCGTCTTTCAGGATCTCGTGGTCTGTCTGCGTGCAGATAGTATAGTTCGACAGGCCAAACTCCGGCTGCTCGAAGGTCCTGGGCTTGCACCGGTCGATCAGGTCCGGACGAGGCTTACCGCATGCATTCTTCAACGCACCGGTGATAACGAATGCTGCTCCCTGGGCCAGCACCAGCCCGAGGATGCCGCAGTTGAGCTCCCACAGCCGGTCCTTGAGCCGGTACTTGCCCATCAGCTTCCGCTTTCCCGTCGCAATGTTGACCGGCTTGCTGTGCGAGAACAGCCCGTCCAGGACGATCGTGTAGACGACGATGACCAGCACGGGGAAGCCGCCGGAGATCGCGAGGGCGAGCGGGATGGGCACTCGTTCGTGGACGGCATACGGGTAGTGCAGCGTGTAGTTCTGCAGGGCAAACGGCTGGTGGAAGGGCTCGACCCGGTCGAGGATGAAGAAGCCTACGATGAGCGCGCTGCCAGCGAAGAAGAAGCAAAAAAACAGGAGGGAGTCAGTCAGTCTCGATCGGGAAAGCTGTCGCATGCCTTCGCGCCATCTTGAGGAAGCGTTGCAACTAACATGAGGATCACATAGTCGGAGATGTATCTGCAGGCGCGGGCGTTAGCTGGACACAGGCTCCGTCGGCGGGATCTTGCAAGGCGTCCGTCTTCACTCACGATAGGACTATCCTTGCGCGCAGGCGCTTCTTCGAGAAGGGCAGCTTGCTGGGGAGCTGTGCGTCCATGGCTGCGGGTGTCTGTCGAGGCGATGGGACGACGAGCGCTGGCAGAGCCTGGGACACAACGGGCGACAGGGACAGCGACGGGGATAAGAGGGATCGATCAGCTTCGTCTACGGGGTCTCGCGAGCATCCCTGGGATATTGACCGTGAAACCGTCTGCCGGGGCTGGAGAGAGGCGAAGGACGCAGACGGACGACGGCGACGAAGAAAGGAGAGGATGAAAGCAACGAACGAATCGAAAAGAGAAAAAAAAAAAAAAATTCACCAAGGCGACGGGATGGACTATGTGGAATTCTTCAGTTGAACTAATGGTCAACGAGCCATATTAATAGTTAGCTGGCTTTTTCTTTCTTTTTTCCTTCTTCGTGCTTGTGCAGCTGAAACGCTTCTTCTCGCCAGACGGTTGACTTTTAACGGAGGCGGCTACGTGGTTGCTACAGTGAAGCAAACTGCTACTACTACTACTACTACTAGTTACTACTACCGACCACCAGAACAGAGAAAGCGGGTTGGTTTGGCTTGATACAGTGCGTCAACCCCCATATTATTATTATTAGTATTATTGACTTCTGGACCTGTCGAGCTGATGCAAGTCGCAGGTTTCCGCCGCATTCTGCAGGCTGAGGGCGCAGCAAGCGCTGGCCCATCCACCATCCTGCCCTTGTCCCTGCTGTGGGACGCGTCATGGAGAGGGAGAACAGCCCCCCGGATTTGAAGCTATATTTCATTCATTGCCTTGCTATCCACAGAGCTAGGAGTGGCGGGCGGGCGAGGACTGCGTTCTAGGCGCTGTGGGGAGCGGACAGGTCGCCGCGGCCACGTAAGATCATTTGCACCGGAATGAGGCTTGGATGCACGCTTTGATATTACTATTTGACTATGGTATCACGGGAAGAAAACAGACAGAAGCAGGGCAAGAATGTCTGGTGAGAAGAGAAAAGGGGGGGTGTTTCGACATGGCAATATAAAAGTGATTTGCTACTACTACCCGTGGTAGACAAACTGGCCGGGCTTCCAGTCAATAGGCCGGTTGCAGTACCACGTATCGGCTTCAGCGTTACTCGAGTCCTTGGAGCGTCTGCTATTATGGTTGATAGCTGCATACAGGCTGAATCCCTGCTGTTCGAGGACGTCCATAATCGCCAAAAGGATAACTCGAGTCTTCACCGTCTTCGTGCCGACAGCTCGCCAGGGACTCCCGTGAAGTTTGATCTCAAACATGGTTCCTCGCACTTGGCAGTTTTCGACATCTGGGCCCAGGGCATCTGCCAGAATCAAGCCAAAGCCGGATGGTCCATCGACAATACGCAGTTTATCGGAGTGGTGGAAGGAGATGCTCGTCCATATACACGGCGGCGGCGCAGGCTGTTGGTAGCGAAAGAATAAACTGTCTTTTTTTTACCCAGGGGTACGTAGTTACGCCGAAATCAGCAACCAGCAAAGGGTGGCGATTATCCTCTAGATAGGGGGTGTTATATCCCCTTGATAAAAAAAAACGGGCGATTACTCACCGACATGTCCGATATCCACGGAAACCTTCACAATCCAGCCTCGCTGGTACAATCCATCGAGGAGCCCTGCCATCAGCTTACGGGCATGGATCCGAGACTCTCCCCACGAGTGTGGCGACCATGGGTTTCCGTTCAGTTTGATTTCGAGAGACTGGCTATATTCACGCGGAGTATTGATCCCCCTTGGCCAGCCTATCCGGATCATCTCGATTATCTCAGGGACTATCGGCTCTGGAAATCTCAACAGTCTGATGCGGTCCGTCATGTGCATTGATAGACACGCAAAAGCTGTTCTCGGCCCGGGTCCCGGAGGCAAAGGCCTTCTCGAGATAGTTGAAGCCGACGATATTTGTGAAGTAGACATTGACGGCGCATGAGGGAGAGTCGGACGGTGGTGTTCATCGTACGGTGACGAAGATATTGCAGATGCCACGGTCGTTGTATCAGTATGATATGGGGGTGCTGTAGGCACAACGTTGAGCTCTGGTGCCGCGGCCGCTCTTTCGGCTTCGTTTGCCTGGAGTTCGATCGTCTTGATGCTCTTTTCAATGCTGGGGATGACTATCTCGTGCTCATTATATTCTGGATCGGGGGCTTCCTTTCGGTCCATCATCAGGCTGAATATCAGGTAAGAATTTACCAACAGCTCTTCTTCTGTTCAGAGTGCACAGAGCATCCGCTGTTACTTCGATGAATCAAATTTACCCTGGGATTTAAATTATAACTCCTTCACCCCAGAGCAAACTGGTGGATGGTATTTATCCTGACGCCTCTTTCTTTGATATGACGCCCTATTCTCCAAACTCGGCTGAGTTACTGTTGGCATGGCTTGCCCCTCGTATTCCCGCCAGTACCGTCCAACTAACTGCCTTACGACTCTCTATGGCTTAGACCCTCAAGCCTTCGTTCCGTACTTCCTCCCGTTCTTTGCTGACTTTCCATCTCGGGCATTGGTTGCCGTCAGAAAACGATAGCGCACAGCATGTCCCTTTTCCGCGTTATCTCTTCTTGCTTTTGGAGCTTTGTCCCCAGGCTGTACTGGGCTTACCCAATGGAGCTTGCATGAAGCGAGCTTATCAAAGCCATATGGAGCAATTTCTCGTATGCAACAGAGAAATTCTTACAAAGCCCCCCCGTATTGATCATCAGCATGGAATTTACTAGCATAATTCTAGAAAGCTGCCTCATGGGCGAGCTATTTTAAGGAAAGACGTTTTCATTAGTCAACTAACTAGTTAATTAATACTTCTGCTCACATCGGAAGCCAACCTTTTCAGAAATTCAGCAGCACGAAGTGTTTCTCAAATTAAAGGAAATAATAGAAAGACATGAAAATTCAGAATCGTTTTAAGACATGGCTCCTCCATCTACTTTGCACAACGAGTGATGTAGAGTCCGATTCTAGAAATGAGTATCAGTATATGTCTTTGCTTGGTTCTTCAGCTGCAAGCCTTTGAAGGATTGGACGCTACTTACGGTGGGTTTCCGTAGTCCTGGAAATACTTGAGGTTTGTTGATCCTGCATTGGACATCTTAAAGGCGATTGCCTGGCCGAGTGGGCAGTCAAAGGTGGCGATAACGTTCGATTTTCCGGCAGCGAGCGTCTGTATGCCCAGCTCAGCGGCTACTTTTGGCGCATTCTCGTAGGTTGTTCCATTGTTAGCGGGTCCTTCCAGTCTGGCCATGCTAACCTTCCCATCACCCTCGAAGGTATAGGTCCAGGCAGGACGTTCCTCCTTGCTAGGGAACAAGAAGACCAGGGAGCAAAGGTTGGGACCTTGCGGGGAGATGTCGAAGTTGAAGATGGAGGAGATTGTTGCTGAGACTTCGCCATAGTATGAAGTTCCTTTGGCGACCGTGGGGGCCGACGAGTTGACTGGGATGATCAAATGTGGGAACTCGAATGGTCCAGAGAGATTGGTCGGACAGTCCTTAGTTGCTCGTTCCTCGATTGGCCGGGAAGGGATTGAAAGAGCATTGCTGCCCATCGCTAGGCATGCTGCCACAGTGAGCCACTTCATAGTTGACGTTGGAGAGAGCTGCTTTGCTTGCTTTCTTTAGGGAATCAGGATTGATTATTGAGTGGTAATGTGCTTTTCTGTCCGATGCCCCAGGAAATGAGGGAGGTTCATACCTGGACGACGTGCTGGTATTTATAGATTCTCATTGTCAAGGCCCATGGCATCCAGATGCTTGTTCAATTGCCGAAGCGAGAAGCATGTCTTGAACCAAAAAAGCCACAATAAGAACATCTACATGCTGTTTCCCATGGACTGTTCCATCGCCGAGTTGCACTCGATGCTGCAGCGCGTGTACCTCCCGACATCTCGAAGCGGCAAGCAAGTGCTAAAAATGGAAGAACGTATGATCAGACATACAGATCAGCCACAGTAAACAAGCAAATCTTGTACCAAGCTGCAGGAAGTGGATAACAGATCTGCGTTGGATGTCTCAGAGCTTCCCTCATTGCAGTAGCCATGTGATGCGATGCTGCGGTTGTAGAACCTGGTTATGCACATCTCCCGGTTAGTTCGCAATTCTCGTGCCAACGACAGTCGATTTTGGAATCCTTGAAGCCGCTACGGAGTACTTTGTTTGTTGATAGGAGATCACCCGTAGAAATGTGGATAACCCGGTGTCTCCATGTTTCGTTCAATCCGCTTTGCTGTTACCTCAATGCGGGGAGCTTGCATGTCCAGCAACGGATTGAGACTAACTTCATGGCGATATCAAAAGTCGTACGATAGCGCCCCGGAGAAGCACTCGGTACCATATATCCCGTACTCTGTACCCTCTTTGCAGAGGAAACTGACTGGTCATGCAGGAAAACAAAAGCCGAAATGTGGTTCTTCTTGCTGCATGACACAGAATATGCCTCGGGGTGTAACTAAGACATTCTCTGTACTGTACTCGCATCCAGCGAACGGTCGGGCCATGGCATCACGGGCTCATCGAGTGACCTCATTGGTAGATACGTCTCTTCTGCGCTTGCAATAGCCCTAAGATGGACGGCAGATGCTGGGATTGATTGACCGGGGTAAAAGTTGCACAATCCCCTCCCTCTGGAATATCCATGTAGCTGACCCTGTGTGTTCAATCAAACATCCTGCTGTCACTTGCTGAAAAGGGCCTGATAGCGACTGGTATCAGGCGGATGGCTCTAGCGGTGTGATTAAATGGGCGAGCGAGAGCAAGATCCTTCACATTGTTTGTTGGCAAACCTGGGCAACAGCGGATTGTCAGAGTATAATGATGAGATTAAAACATTGACCAGAGCCGATTCTGGATCATGACTAGGATTCAGATTACTGTCTGTCGTAAAATTTTATCATCATTATTCAAATTAACCCGTTAACCATATTGTTATATGATTATTACCTGATAAAAGGTTGAAAATCGCGTACGAAAACTTTTGCAGGCCGCCCGAGGTTGCTTTAAGCCTCATGAAGTTTAAAAGGGATAAATTTTAGTCCGATTTACTTACATAATCACCCGAAACTCTAAAATTGCAACCTCCGACTTATCATTGGAACATCCATGTTTGCTCCGGTGGTGGCAAGGGGGATAGTTAATATGGCCTTCTTAAAACAGATACCCCCTGTCAACCACTGTTGAAGGTTCGCTAAATCCCTATTTTTCCATTATATACCCCTTCCGGAAAAGTTCTACTTCGGTAACCCAATGGCCATGTTTTCATTATCCTATTGACGATATGTCAAAGGACTTTTACACTTCATGTTGGTGGTAGACCGGGTAAAGGTGCGAAGGCAATATGAAGCTTCACAAATGCTTGCTCAAACCCCAGGAGGGACCAACGGCACATTTGCGGCTGCAAGGACGGAACTAGAACTATCCTTGCGAACGGTCATGGCCATTTGTTTCCAGCACGTCTGTATTTGCAACCGTATCCATCCAAATATCAACCAGGTTGATACTGTCCATTTTTCACATCTCATCCACTCTGTCTAGCTCTGCAGAGATGAAGAGTTCCAGAATAGAGGGATGAGAAAACCGGAATGGAAGGAACTTGGCAAACCCTGGGCTCAAAGGGAGAACAGCTGGATACCCTTGAGGAGTTCTGTTGCACTGTGAGTCTTTGCCGAGGATTTGATGTTGTATCTTCTTGCGTATCGGGAAGGACTGCTGGATAATCAACATTGAGCTGTGGTTTCCGTTATAGCTCCTTGTATAATCTGAATTGCCCCTGCCACTCTGCTGACGACTGGTTATTAAATCTCTACTTCTCTGCATCTTTGGAGCTCTGGATATGTATATAGACTATAGAGGACGTAGAACCGGGATTTGAAAGTGAACTGTTTAACTAGTTAATTATTAGTTAGCCACTGGTTAATGATTATCAGACTAGACTGATTCTAACAAAATACAAATACTCACATCTTCTGCTCGCCCTTCGGAGTCGGCCATTAGTGATAACGTTCACAGAGACTCTGCCGTTCGCATATTCCACAGAGCAGGTCTCTGCATGGCTCGGGCATATCTCTCTCCCAAGGGCCTACGACCGCTACGTTGCCTACCCAAGCTAAACCTGGGAAGGAAGGCGGGCATCGTCCGCTCGTTTAATACGGAAGAAGAGAGGTTGAAAGCTCTCTAGGACTGGTTTAGAATAATGCTGACCCAGAAAAAGGTTGGATATATCAAGGGGTGGATTATGGCACTCAGAAGGAGGATCAAAACCTCTTGAGGTCCTTCCCTGCTTCCGTTGATGCAAGGGATAGATCTAGAAGACTTCGTTTGTCAGTCAAATTCAGAAGTGCCTTACGAATATAAAATATGAAAATAGCCGGCCTTCATGGTCCAGCCCATTTGTAAGCTCATCGTATTCTGCAGGCTAGTTAACGATGTCGCTCTGAAGCGAGAACGATGACATATTCCCGACATCTAGAATACAATGATTAGACGTCACAAGGACGCTTATGTTCTGCCTTTTCTAGACTCTATCTAAACCTGCCGAGGAGATACCTACCGGGAGAGGCTACTTAAGGAGGCTCTGCACACCCTGACGAAGGACGAAATCATGGGCCAGTGCCACAACTCTGCTCTGGTTGATTTTAACATCCTACTGAACACCGTCACTGCCCATTGCTGCTTATAAACAGTCATCTTCGAAGATGGATCTTCCAATCTGCGGAACATGTGGTGCTCAGTACAGCTCTTCATCGGTGAAGTCCTGCAAAATATGCGACGACCCTCGACAATACGTTCCTCCTCAGGGGTAACTAAATACGAACCATCAGTGATCTCTTGATTTGCTTTTATATACCAAGCAACTGACATTGTGTTACTAGGCAATGGTGGACAACCTTACGCAGCCTGCAAGAGTCAGGAAAATATCACGTCTTCCATGAATATGAGCAGTCCGGGCTTGTGAGCATCGTCACTGTTCCAGCGGTAGCAATTGGACAGCGAGCATTTCTCTGCCGTACTCCCAGTGGTAACGTCCTCTGGGACTGCATCAGCTACATCGACAGCGAGACCGTCCGCCATATCCAGGAGCTCGGTGGGATTCAAGCAATCGCTATTTCCCATCCTCACTTCTACTCCACGGCGATCCACTGGGCGGAAGCCTTCAACTGTCCAGTCTACTACTCAGCAGAGGATGAGCAATGGATCCAGCGTTTCCGCGACGGTGGCCCCTTGAGGGTGACTGCAGGCTCAAATCTTCAAAGCCATACTGGAACTCATCAGATCCTATGGGAAGGCGAGCAATTGAGCCTTCTCGACGGCAAAATTAAGATCCTCAAGGCCGGAGGACATTTTCCGGGAAGCGCGGTTTTGTTCTGGGAAGATGAGAAGCGGTTGCTGGTTGCTGACACTATCATGGTTGTGCCCAGCGGCGTCTACCACGTTGATAGACAGCCAGGGACGACTTCATATACCTTTATGTGGTCATATCCGAATCTGGTATGACATATAGAATATGGTTCTCTCTCAACCCTCAACTCCAGGTGAACTAACCGCTGTTGGTGCTGTTATTAGATACCGCTCTTCCCAGATGCCATCCATCGCATCTGGAAAACAGTGGCGCCGCTCGACTTTGAACATGTGCACGGCGCCTTTAATGACCGCGAGACTATCGGCAATAGTAAGAAGAGAGTCCTTGAAAGTGCCCAAATATATGTAAAGGCCATGGGATACACCGACCACCCTATCCATAGGGAGGCTATATAGGGGCATCTCTGTGCCAGCTGGTATCAACTCATTCACCCGATAACATAGTTATCTTTGCGCTCCAATTGAGAATTCCGTCAAGTAGGCATCGTTAATAAATGAATTTGATAATTGCAAGCAAGTTGAATAAAAAAAAAAAAAAGGAAAAAAAAGGAAAACCCTGAATTCGCCCCCATTGTAAAAAAAAAATCTACTATACAATCAATGCTATGATTACATCATGATATATCAGGGACACTGAGTGTCTCACTATTTTCATATCTTGCTTCCAGTAAGTTCCTCAGCAAGCCTCTTGGTTCGCCGTTGTACAGTCTCCCATTTAGTCAGTTCGTCCTTCGTCTGGTTACCTAGGACAGCCATTGTAGGTGGAGGTCCCAAGTTCCAGATGTTCTCTCCAGTGCGGCGTCCGTTAGCCCAGTCAGGGTTGTTGTCAATAGGGAATACACGATCGATCTCGGCGTTAAGTTGCTCTTCGTTGATGATAAACTGCTGCGCATTCAAATAAAGCTCGTGAATCGAGTTCACCACGTCGTGACGCCGAGCCTCCTGAATCTCCTTGACTTTTGCCATAGATCGGGCCAACCGTTCTTCTGCGCCTGGATTTGGGAGTACTTTGCATTTTAAAGGTTTCATCGCCGAAACAGTGGTCGAGGCTGTGAGTCGGTCATCATCTCGCTCTGGTTGATTGAGGATCTGAGTTCGACGCTTCTCTTTGGCATTGCTTCGCGCAACCATTCTCTGGTGAGCAGATTTCTTGCGTTCATGAAGCTCTAGAAGACCTTCACGCAAATGCTTCCTCCTAACACCAGCCATTTTCCGCCTCCATTCGAGCTGTTCATACTGGGGATGGCCTGGTGCGACCTTTGGAGTGTCGCTAGACGGCAGTGGTGTAGCATCGGCGATGTATGATTCGGTAGGTTTATCTGGTCGGCGGGATGGAAACAGCTCTCTAGGGACAGGTAGAGTGCCTTTGACCTGTGGTCGACGGGGTAGATCTGGTTGAATTGACTGTGGTACATCGATATAGCCTGGCGCTTCAGGACCGACCATCATGCGAGCAGTCGAGGAGAATAAACGAGACTGGACCCCGGGGGCTGTGTAGGAGCGGCATAGTGCCATGGATGATTTCGTACTGCACTCTCGTAGTAGGGATGCCATCGTGAATGTCAATTGCGGCGAACTCCCGTCCTGTCCAAGTCGTTGCAGCCTGCACGGAAGGGAAGGAAACGTCCAAAAGATTCAAACAGAAAAAAAAGCGATAGAAGTTTTAGCATGGCCCGTGCGGTGATAAGTCTTGGCACAGATGCACACTTTTTTTTTTTTTTTTTTTTTTTCTAAACCGTCAAAAGATTTTATCAGCGTCAACTCCAACGACCAACTCCAACGGGAGGCTTCAAACTGCAAAGCGCCTCTCGAAACAGACTCCTTGCTCAGTAGTAGCAGAGTTTCTTGTTACATCTCTGTGAAAATGGGTACAGGCAAAAAGGAGGCGTCTCGACGAGAGCGCCAGGGTAAGAGTAATGATGGGATGGGCAATGTTCGAACCAAGGGCGAAAATTTCTACAGGTATGGATTTCTCTCCCCTCCAGTATTTCTTGGTTCGGCATTTGCTGGTGGTTATGTTATTAAGTCTTGGACTAACTGTTGTGTGTGTGTGTTTATAGAGATGCGAAAAAAGTGAAGACCCTTAATATGTTTAAGGATGGAAAGGCCCAAAGGAACGCATCTGGAAAAATCACCAAAGCCGCATCATACCAGTCTCGAGATAAGCCAAGTGCCCGGATAGAACCGAACAGAAAGTGGTTCGGGAATACTCGAGTCATTTCTCAAGAAGCTCTGAGCTCCTTCCGAGAGGCTGTTGCTGAAAAGGCAGCTGATCCCTATCAAGTATTGTTAAAAACCAATAAACTCCCAATGAGTCTTATTCAGGACGGCCATGCACCAAATGGCCTGAAGCAGCACAAGGCTAAGATTGCCGTTGAAAATGCCCCATTCAGTGACACGTTTGGGCCCAAGGCACAGAGAAAGCGTGTTAAGCTCAGTGTCGATACTCTTGAGGGCCTCGCCGGGGAGACAGTAAAGATGCATGACAGCTATTTGGATCGCTTAGAGCAGGCAAAACTGCTCAGCGGTACATCAGGCGATGCCAATGCTGATACCAACGGTGATGATGCAGAACTCACCGCTGCCAGAGAACCGATCTTCTCAAAGGGACAGAGTAAACGGATCTGGAATGAACTGTACAAAGTCATTGACTCCTCAGACGTTATTGTCCATGCTTTGGATGCCAGAGATCCCGAAGGCACTCGGTGTAGAAGTGTCGAGAAATATATCCAGGAAGAAGCGCCACACAAACATTTGATATTTGTTCTAAACAAGTGTGACTTGGTGCCAACAGGCGTTGCTGTAAGTTTATACACCTTCCGCATTATCCCTTTAAAATATCACCTTCAGCCCCAGAACCGCTCAAATTATGCCATCGCGTTTGTCAAGGCTGCTTCCAGTGCATAAGTTATTGCCGTTTTTTACAATGGAAGACGGTCTGTTACCGCTATGGCAGATCAATCCCCCCCGTAACTTTGGCTTCTTTCTGAAGTCGAGGTTGACTTGCTTTCGTTTTGAAGGCATCGTCGCAAAGGGCATGGTGTGTCTTGTTTTGAGTTGAGTCCCGCTTCCACCTCATCGTGGACATAATAGCTGTTCTCTTAGTAACATTTCATATATCTCTACGTCTATCACCTTCGCCGTCATTATATACATACACAATATATATCCTGGCGCATTTGACTAACTTCTGGTCCTAGGCTGCCTGGGTCCGTGCTCTATCTAAGGAGTACCCTACACTTGCATTCCATGCAAGCATCAACAACTCTTTTGGCAAGGGATCGTTGATCCAGCTACTACGTCAGTTTTCAATTCTCCATTCAGATCGCAAGCAAATATCAGTGGGATTTATTGGCTATCCCAACACTGGAAAATCGTCCATCATAAACACTCTTCGAAAGAAGAAAGTGTGCACTGTTGCTCCTATCCCTGGAGAGACTAAAGTATGGCAGTATATCACATTGATGAAGAGAATTTACCTCATTGACTGCCCTGGAGTGGTACCCCCGAGCAATAACGCCACTGAGGAGGACATCCTTCTACGTGGCGTTGTTCGAGTGGAAAATGTTGAAAACCCAGAACAGTATATTCCCGCGATACTTAAAAAGACGCAGCAGCGTCACATTGAGAGAACATATGAAATCAAGGGATTCACAGATGCTACTGAATTTTTGAGCATACTGGCTAGGAAGGGTGGCCGACTGCTCAAGGGCGGTGAGCCCGACGTGAACAGTGTTGCAAAGATGGTGATAAATGACTTCCTTCGTGGGAAGCTGCCTTGGTATACACCTCCACCTAAGGCTGATGACGCTGGAGATGAAAAAATAAATGGACGTGAGGGTCGATTAGGTGAGATGGGCATTAAGAGGAAAGCGGATGAAGCTCAAGGTGACGATGGAGATGAAGTACAGTCTGGCCCTGATGCGAGCGAGGATGATGTGGAGAGCGTCAAATCCGGGGCTCTCGAAAACGGATCGGACGGCAACGAAAATGAAAGCGAATTTGAAGGGTTTGAAGATTCAGACAATGAAGATGGGGGCGCTCCAATAGACACAGACTCCAGCCGATGATGTGCGCACAAAGGGAAATACTGAGACTTCCCTCATTTACAGCGTCCCTGCGTTAATCCTTCGTGAGGTTTCGCATTTCCATTAATGTGGTATATAAGTTGGTTGTCAACAGCTTTAGCCATGTCTATCCGTTACCGTGCCGGACCGGCTCATGCCAGCAAACTGAAGAGTGTGAAAATTGGGGATTATCCACGGTGCTACTTACTATCGTATGGAGTACGGAGTACACCAGCTCCTCTTCCCTCCCCCTACGGGTTTTAGGACCCCAACCTTGGTCAACAACAATGTCGTGACCGAGGCTCGGAGTGAATGAATCACAAGTAATCTCTGAAGGATTCATCCCAAACCCCTCTATTTCTAGCAAGCCACGCTGAAGTGCCAAAGCCCGTAGCCGGAACTACTCTATACAGCCTGTCTCCCACTTGAGACAGGAATTCCGCCCAGATGGCACTGTCCTTGCCGCGAACAAGGGGCTCAAACATACTATACATGAAATTCTCAATGATTAGTTACGTACACAAATGCATTCTCCACAAAACGAAACGTCTCTACGTACAATTAGCCTGTTTCTTCACTTCCAGGTACCAGATTAATCTGAGCCAAACAATGCCGTTTCCCCAAGCCGACTGGCGGCGGTTCGTTGGATCCAGCTGCGGAATCCCAAGGAACAGCGAAAGCTTAGCCGATCAAGCATTTAAACAGTCTCCACCTCCACTCCCAGACAAACCATGATGTGCCTGCTTATCACAAAGGGGTCGCTTGGTGGATATGATTTTCACGGTGTTTTGTCACTGTGCTGTCCATATCGCGAACTGAACGCATTCCGCGCTAGATAATGCATTTATATTCGTTGAAAGTTTAATGGCACAAGCTGCAGGAGCTGCGAAGGCCTCGCCGGCCGGCCAAGCAAGCCGAGTCGGAAGAGCGAGAGAATTATAGGGGATAAATAGGACTGACCCTGGACATCCCACGAAAAAAAAAATACATATAAAAATAACCCCTCGACATTGCAGTGGAGGTTTATATCTATTCCCTTCTGCTCCTCCTGCTTGTGCCCTCCCTTTCCCCGTGCCTTTCTTCTGTCAATTGCCTGGAAAGCCTGTGGTTTTCTTCCGTATACCAGTCCCGTACCGCCGAGCTAGACAAGCCCAACCAATATGTCCAACGTCGTCCCTCAGCCAAGCGCAAAGGTGCCGCAGACCGAGTGGTCTTCACTCTATGAGCAGCAAGAACACAAACCCTCAACCGGTTCCCATGTAGCTCTGCCATCTTTCGGCAAGCTCGCCAACCCAGCCCCTTTGGGCCTCTTCGGGTTCTCGGTCACAAGTATTGTGGTTGGGCTGTACAACTGCGGTGCAGGGTAAGTGTGTGCCAGAGTGGGGAGGGTTGTGGTTGTGGCGTACTTCTTCTCAACCCTTCAGAGGGGACTAATGTGGTCATTGGTATCATAGACTGCCCAACTCCAATCCACGAGGAAGCTCTGGTCCAGATCAAGCTGCCTTTGGCCTTGCCTTGTTCATGGGAGGTATGATCCAGATCATCGTCGGCTTCATGGAGTTCCGGTCCGGCAATACTCTGGGTACCACCATTCACTCTTCGTACGGCGCATACTGGATGGCCTACGCAATGCTCAAGATTCCCGGATTGCACATACGTGAGGCATACGGAGATGAACGGTCATACACATTCGCACTCGGTATATTCCTCATCATTTGGGTACTTCTGACGATTGTTTTCATGGTTGCGTCACTGCATTCCAATATCTTGTGTCTGCTTGTGTTTGTATTCCTTGCGCTGTCATATCTGTTCGCCGCCATAGCCAATTTTATCGCAACGTCACTCCCAGAGCAGAGCATCCAGATAAACAAAGTCGGAGGTGGATGCGGTGTTGTCTGTGGAATGATAGCGTTTTACTGTGCAGCTGCAGGATTGATGTCGCCCGAAATGACTCCTGTACGGCTTCCGTTAGGTCCTGCTCCATGGGCTAAGGAACATATAGTGTGATAGCAATGTAGTGCACCTCGGTGCCGCTAGCTTCTCCCTTTCATTGAAGGGATCGGCTGATATTTTCTTCTCCCCAGTGTGTGTGTGCGAATTAGCGAGCGTTTTTGCATCTTGTCTTTTCATTGGAATAAAGTCTGCATAGCAATAATAAGTTAATGAACCGATCAGCATTCTTGCTACTCGAGCAGGCCCGTCAAAATTAAGAATGCGGATAAACAACCAGAAGTTGTTCTGATGATATATAGGCATTGACCTGCAGTGGCCATTCTAGGGCGACCTTGCATGGTCTCACGGCGCAATAGTTCAATGCTGCGCCTTGCTCGTTCCTGGATTCTCCAGAAGCCTCCAAGGTGGGAACCCAGAAACTGCGCCGTATTCGACATTTTTTGGTGGCAGAGAGTCGAGATAACTTTGCACAGCACATAGTGTCAGCTGAAGGAATAACGTAGGAATTAGATGCAGCACTGCTGTCATATCCCGGGCCTTATTTGAAACAATGTAACTAAGATATAAGCCAGGATTGCTGCGAGACATCTGAGGGACAGTTACAAGGTGCATACACAAAACCACGACAAGGATGGCCCTGACTTGGGAGCTCGTTCCTCGGACTTGCTGCGAGAATGGTTCATAATCGAAGGGACCTTTTGACAGAGACCCTTGCTTCATCATGGAAGCTGAAGCTCTGAAATTTGCCCGTGTGTTAACTAGTTGACTAGTTAGCTCCAGGGGTAAGGCCAGGTCTGTCACCAGCCATCAACATGATCGGCAGTCCGTTTCAAGGGGAGCAGGTGTAAGTATGTGCTTCGTGTGTCCCATGCAGTGTCCACAGAGAGGTCCCCAAGGATTTTCGGCTCAACAAGCCGCCCAGTGTTGTGGTAGTTAGTGTAGTTACTTAGAAAAGGGGCGGGAGAAGGGCAGAAGTTCTCGATGCCGGGTTGCAGGCGGCTCTAACGCCCAAGTCATGGAGAACTCAACTCAACCATGTATCTGTATCTGCCTATTATTCATTGGTTATTATTCCCTGTCACGCTAAAGGCATGCTGGATGCAAACGGATAGCTAGTTATGACCACCGTATGGTGATCTCTCAGCCGCCAGGTTGGACTCACGAACTAACTTGCTCTAGGTTGGTCGAGTTCTCGCGAATTATGCAGTGTCCAGGCCGAGGGGCGAAATGTGCTACTCTGTGCTGGCGAGTCGCTGCGGCCTGTTGATGCCGTGACAAGCAGTCCTGATCCCCTCCTCCATATGAATGAGCCTTAGTTATATGGACACCGTTGTGGGAGAAGCGGCCTGGATGAGGATTTTGGGCTCAACCAAGGCTTCGAGCCCGGCTGCCTGAATGGAAACTCGTGTAACCGCAGTTTAATAAATACACTGCAGTCGAATGTGCTACAGTCGGTTATTAGACAAGCTGGTGCATTGCCTGGCAGGATGGATAACTAGTCTCGTGTTCAAGACTCTGGACAGGCATTGCGGCTGTGCCGTTGCACTCAAGCGCCGAACAGCATATATTTATACCCTATGAGGCCTCCTCCTTCTCGTTCTATTCACAGAGACACCAGACATGCTGTGCTGGAATAATCCTGATATTCGCACAGATCCAAACCGACACGATGGATACTTCGCTCCGGACACACGCCTTCATGTCTGCCGTAATGGCGCTTCCCCCACTAGGATCGCTTTACCTTGGGACAGACGCCATGAAAGGTTCATCCTATCTATACCTTTACCATACAGCTATCTTACTGGTATGGGCTGTCGCGATAAAAAAGATAGTCTATAATCATTACTTTGGTCCCCTGAGAAGCATTCCAATGGCACCAGGAGATTGGCTCATCTTCGGTCATACACCCTATATGTATCGTGCAATTCCGGGGAGCTGGATCTTCGACTTTGTCAATAAACGCAATGCCAGAGACTATGGAATGATAAGAACAAAGGGCATACTGCATCTAAGTGATACAGTCGTCCTAACCGACCCTAATTTATTCAACGAAGTCTTGAGCGCTCACTGTTATGACTGTGAGTGTCATTTCGTGTATTATTGTCCTATATACCCGCATTTCAACTAATAGGCAGAAGATATCAAACCGCCTAAACGCACTGCATTTGTTAAGCGAATGATAGGACGGGGTATTGGCACTGCCGAACTTGCAGAGCACAAGGCACAACGAAAGTCTGTTCGACCAGCCTTTCTCGGCCATGTTATCAAAGAACTTGTCCCGAAGATGTGGCTTAAAGCTCTTGAATTCTCAGACTTCATGGCGACTGAGTCAAAGGCCACTGACGGTGCCATTGAGTTCCACAGATTAGTCTCCCTGGTGACACTTGGTAAGGGATATAAAACCAATAGGAGAATATATGTAGATGTCCACACCTTCTGACTCATTGTTATCTAGATATCATTGGAGTTGCTGCTTTTGGCGAGGATTTCAAGTCTCTTTATGGTTCACAGAATGAGCTCGCAGTTACGTTTCGTCGAATGTTAGATCCAACCTGGGATTTTATCAAATACTTTGTTGCATGCATGGTACTACCGAGCTGGATTTCCGCCATGCTCCCCATGGAGGGAAACAAAACGTTGGCAGCATGCAAGTCTAAACTGCTGAGTCTCAGTCACCAGCTAGTTACAGAGAAAAAGGAGGTAGTTAGGAAAGGGGGCAAGTACAGCACAACCGTCTTATCGGTGCTTCTAAAAAATGGGGAATTTTCTGATGACGATATACGGGACCAGATGTTGACATTCTTGTTTGCAGGGTACGACTTTTCATTCAACCCCCCCTAGAAGGATAGCTTTGCTAACAACAGCATCTAGTCATGAAACTACGAGTACATCAACCACTTTTGCCATGTACCTTCTTGCTACACACCCTGAAATTCAAGAGAAACTTCGACTCGAAGTTCAGGGAGCATTATCACAGTGCAACCCACATGAGCTCACGGATCAAATGTTTGAGTCAATGCCACTCCTTGCAGCGGTCGTGTCCGAGACTCTCAGACTTTGGCCGGTGGCGGTAAGTCTTCAATGAACTTAGTGAAGATGCTAATGTCCTTTGCTGCTTCTTATACTAATGTTTCCCCCCTTCCTATTTATCCAGCCATTACAGCTGCGAGTTGCCATAGTAAGTGCTATAGTTCAAGTTTATCTCACATTGATAACATACCTCGCGACTAACGGTATTTCTAAAGAGGGACAGCGTCATTCGGGGTGTCACAATTCCTAAGGGAACATGGGTTAACATGTCCATCTTAACAGCCAATCGGTCACAGTCTATCTGGGGAGCAGATGCAGCCGAATTCAGACCTGAAAGGTGGCTCGGCGAGGGCAGAGAGACTCATGGAGGGACTAACAACCGCCTTGCAAGTAGCATTACTTTCTTGTTTGGACCACGAAGTTGTATTGGACAAAGCTTTGCTAGGGCAGAGATGAAGTGTCTGATTGCAGCTATGGTGGGAAAGTTCAAAATTGAGATGCTGCATCCAGACCAGCAGGTTGTGGTCGCCGGGGCTGTAAGTCTAATTCTATCACCCCCTTGCCCGGATATGCTGTGTCTCGCTAACACTTTATATACTGTTAGCTCACGATCAAGCCTATGAATGGCCTACATCTTCGCCTCACAGATATGGGCCCAAGTCATAATAAGTGAGGAGATAGCCATTGCTCTGGTTACTATGTTTAATACATCCGAGCCTGTTCTCAGGCGCATTTGGCTCCTCTTTAGCTACTACCTTCGGTTGATATAAGGTAGGTAATTGAACTAATGGGTAGATCCGTATTTCAAGCTTCCCCGTCTGATATGTCTCTACTGATGAGCCCTATCAAAAACTGTTCTGCGCCGTGAGTAACATTAATATCTGGCGTACTAGCAGTGCATCAAGAACGGTCGCCATACCCTTTCAGGCCTGTCTTTGGGATGCTGGCTCTCGGGCAGTCTTCCAAGAGCACCCATGCCCAACGACCATACTACGCCGATGACCACCTAACTCGAATGTCCATCTGAGACAGGGGACACGCATCTGAAGGAACTTCGCCTTCCTGTTCCTCACTTATCTATCTCCTGCTCGGTCTTGGGTCTCCTGGACGTAGTTCACCCCCCAAGTCTCGCTTGTTGAAAATACGAGCCAAAGTCGATGATTCCATTATTACGGAGTATATCCTGTGGCTCTGCCTGACTTCATTATGATAAAGTGATATATCCGCTCTATCAGTTTGTATAATCGTCTAACTTGTCCTATTTGCGTATACATGCAATGCCAATGTTCTCTAGATGGAAGACTTTAGCTGGGACACAACGCAGCAAGCTCTGTGAGACTGCGAATTCCTGCATATCACAGATCCCTAGTCAGGACTGGCTCGATATAAGCTCTGCCTGTTTGCTGTCTGTTCTTTATACTTATCCAAAGCTGCCTGCCACTGCTCGTTGGCTATAGACTAAGTAGTTAGTTAGCTAAAATCACCGCCGGGACAGCATGAAAACAAACAAACCACCGGGCAACCGGGAAAACTAGAACTGATTTTCTCTTGATAACAAACAGGCTGCTCCCATGGCCCTTTTTCTCAGTCGAGCTCAGCTATAACTGCGCAAGAGAAGCTGCTGAAGCTGCTTGTGCCCATCTTCCGTGGCCTTCTTACGTTGACGAGCTCTCTCTGGCCGAGAGAGGCCCGGAGCACGACCGTCCAACTGCTATCTCCAACGACCGATCTATCGAAGATGCCCTGACGTAATTGCTAGAGCCTGCATAAGGATGGCCGACCACGACTCGCGGAGCATGTCGATTGTTCCTTATAGCGGCGGAGGGGACGTCGTACTGTAAGTAGAGAGAGGAGAGCGACGCTTGGTCGCATCGCTGTTCACTAGTTAGTTGCGGATGGGAAGCTGACAGCTGGCCTGCCTTGGAACAGCCGCCATGACGATGCGATTGTCGTGTTTGACCCGAATTCACAGCAGCTCGTCCTCAAACCCGCGAACCAAGGCGTCGAGAACATCGGGGACCGAACCGACTGCCCTTATTGTCATCGTCCGCTGCGTGATGGCAGCCCTGAGCACTCGCAGGAGCCGCACCGAGGGCCCACGCCCGCCACCGCAGCGCCGTCGAGGTTCGTGAACCCGGAATACTTTCGACTCCTTGAGAATACTATCCCCCCTTCGACTGCGGCAGACCAGCCGCCTTCTTCTCCTTCCTCTCCCCGACGTCAGTTAGTACCGCCTGGCCGCGAAGAAGGGACGCCAGCTTCGGGTAGCGAGCATGGCAGCGGTGGGGATGGTGAGTCGCCTTCTACCACCCACGGGATCTCCTCGACTGCGTTCAGTCATGATTATTTCAAGAGATTCTTCGTCGAAGAGCGTGAACTAGGGAGAGGTGGAAAGGGCGTTGTGCTGCTGGTAAAGCATATACTGGATGGCGTGTCTCTGGGCCACTATGCCTGCAAGCGTGTCCCCGTTGGTGATGACCACGAATGGCTGAAGAAAGTGTTGATTGAAGTCCAACTGCTACAGCATCTCTCACATCAGAATCTAGTTTCATACAGACATGTGTGGCTAGAAAACGCCAGGCTCAGTAATTTTGGCCCAAGTGTACCGTGTGCATTCATTCTACAGCAGTATTGCAACGCAGGAGACCTGCAAAAATATATCTGCGGCTCGATTCAGACGGCAGCAGATACACCACAGCAGCTCAAGGCTCGACTACGGCGCAGATCTCGAGGCCAGCCAGAGCTACCAAGCGCTGCCAGTGGGCCAAGGCGGCTCCAGTTGGAGGAAATATATTCGTTCTTCAAAGATATCACCTCGGGACTCCGTTACTTACACGTCAATGGCTATATCCATCGTGACCTAAAGCCAAGTAACTGCCTCCTGCATGAAACTGGCCGTGAGCTTCGGGTATTGGTCAGTGATTTCGGTGAAGTCCAGTTCGAAAACACCGTCCGCAACTCCACCGGTACTACAGGCACCATCTCCTTCTGCGCACCCGAAGTGCTTCGAAGAGTATCACCCGGCGGTCCGTTTGGCAACTTCAGCTTCAAGTCAGATGTCTTCTCTCTCGGGATGATTCTGTATTTCCTTTGCTTTGGCCAGCTTCCCTATCGTAATGCAGATGTGGTTGATGAGGACAAAGAAGATCTCGATCTTCTTCGTGCTGAAATTAGTCAATGGGCAGGATTCGATGCCGCAAGGCGGATGAGACCTGACCTTCCTGATATGCTCTACTCTTTCTTAACTCGTCTCCTGGATGTGAACCCTGATATGAGACCAACTGCGGAAGATGTCTTGAGCGGTATCCAAACCGGTGGTTCCAGTGGCCGTTTTCATAGGACATCTCCTTCCCCTACGGACTTACAACCTACTGCCCGAGTACTTCCTGTAGATAGCCCGGCTACAGGATCACCGTCACGGCGGTCTCATAGTCCCGTGAAGAGAGCACCCCCAGCATTAGACCTTCCTTACGCAATGGGCCGTTCTGATGCGCTTGTGACCGGAAGCTCAAGCCAACCCATATCCAATGAATCAGAGGGTTCTGTTGAAGACCGGAGAGGCGGCCATACCAATAGAGAACCTACCAATCTTCTTGTCCGATCTACTGCCACATCTCCTCGCATTGTGCGAGAATACCCCGAGGGCCGTAATCGGAGATTATACAACATTAGCAATCGTCTTCTCCTCCCTCCTCCAAGCAGGTTCCCTATTCTTGGCCACATTTTACGAAGCCGGCCTATCATACCAATTCTAATGAATTTCACCCTCCTTACTATCAAAATAATCTCACTTACCCAGCTGTGCGCTCCACTCACGGTCAAGACGTGGATAGTATATCCACTTATTTTCCTCGCAGTTCTGGACTTGAGTGTCCCAAAAAGATGGCTTCATGTAGCTACTTTTTTGATTCATGCTTTAGTTCTTGCCCTTGCACTTAAAACAGGTTCTCTATGTGCACAAGGGTTTCATGATTTACACTCCCTGAGGTAGCTATGCGAATTACGAACCGAGTGATGACAGTTGTACGATTGGCCTTTCGGGTTGAGGAAGTATGAGGATTCAACCCATACCCCCATCAAAGGCAATGATAATGCCTTCTGACTATTATGATTGTTCAACGATATGGACGTAACCAATAATATACCTATTTATCCCTTCCAAGGGTATATATGTACCCGAACCAACTGGTCTTCATAACCCCTACCTGACTTGCATGATACTTAGATGTAGAGAGAGTAACGCAACGACAATCTCATTTGAGTCCCGTAATGATCCCATAAGAAGCAGAGCCATCCAATAGGGACGAGAGAGAAGCCAGAGGTCTCACAAAATTTATCTTGGAATTTATGCACGGCAGTCAGATGGTAGTTGACAAGGACTTATCTCCATCTGTCTGTAGGTACCACAAGAGCATCGAGATCCATACGGGCCGATGTCTTGCGACATTTGAAAATTCCTTGCGCATTTTTACACTATAACCGCACCAACGGCGATAGAAACAATATGCACTAATTAATGGTAAGGGCATGTGGTATATATGGTATATTATTTTTATTTATATTGTCTTTCAAAGAGACTTATTTAGCCCTTGCAGCCTTAAAACGGCTTACTCTCTTTGGTTTTCCTTTTTCACCTTGCGAGTGATCATTAGCATTCAAGGAAACAAGAGACTCAGTCTCGCTCTCCTGAAGGAACCCTCCGCTCTGCTGGATTTTGTGATTTCGTAGTTTATAAAACTCTGCTGCCACTTCTCTCCTGTGGATGGCTTCGTCCAACTCATCCGGATCGGGGGGAACAACGGAGTCTCTATGCACGGTTCGTTCAACGAGGACATCAGCTAGTGGCTTATTACTCGCTTTCTTCCCATTCATGCCACCCTTGTTGTGCTCTTTCAAGGAAATGGTATCTGGATCAGGTATAGGGTGTGAGAAAGGCTTTGGGGTTGAAGGGGTAGCCGGAAACAGCGGAGGAGTAACGACTGGGGCTCTTGAATTTAGGGAAGAGCTGCTATTAGCAGGCTTTAAGGTGGACTGGATGACTGTAGCTGTGCCTACAGGGCTAGAATTTTCGGCATTCCGAGAACTCTTGAAGCGAGAAACTTTCTTTGCTGATTCAGTATTCCTTTCCTTTGTTATATTAGCAACCCCTGACCTTTCGACCACTTCTTCCTGAATAGGTGGAGGCAGAACTTCTGCTTTGGCTTTTGTAGGCGCGGGTGGCGGTTTGGGGGATGGCTCAGGAGCAATATCGAGTTCTTTTGCGAATGCAACTGTTTTCTTTTTCGCAGGACCTTTCTTCATTGCAGACGGGGCTTGGTCAACCTGAGTTCGAACATCTGACGGTAGGATGCTGGAATCAGGGCCAATATTTTGTAAGCTCTTAGCATTCAATTTTTTCTCGAGCTCGCGCATTCGCTTGATATAATCGTCATCCAAAACCTTTCTCGTAGTTCGTCCATATTCATCTTCATCCTCGCTATCTTCTGCGTCAAGATCGTAATCTTCATCATCAATGGAAAATTCGCTTCCATCTTCATCAAGTTCTAGCTCCGCAACAATTGCGCCCACTTCTTCTAGTCCATATTGAAGCATCTCCCTGCGTAAGGCAGCATCCTCCGGCGTATCTCCATCAACCTCAGCCATCGCCGGCCACTCTTTCTCTCCAACATCGGTGGAAGTTCCGTCTGATTCCAAAGGTCCCATCCCTGACGTAGAGTCTGGAGCAGCTACGGGTAATGAAGAAGTGGTACCATCCTTTTCTCGGGCAGAAGTATCAGGAGCCTGAGATTCAACTTCCTCTGGAGATTGTGTCATAACATCAGATTCAGAAGCCCGTATAGATTTGTTCCGACTGGTATCAGGCACAGGTGATTCTTCAGCTTTATTTGTGTTAGAAGCTAGTAAAACGGAGGAGTCTTTCACCTCTGTTGTTACTTTCTCTTTGTTCAATTTTCCATCACGTACTTCCAACCCGGCTTTCTTCAAAGCATTAAGGAGTTCGTTTGTCTCCTTTCCTGGCATTGTAGTTGAGCTTGAAATAACATTTCCATCTTCATCCAACTTTTCCACAATATCAGTAATGGGTAAGCCTTCTTCATTTAGTCCATCATCAGGTTGTTCCATAACAAGAGTATTTAGTTTATCCTCCAAGGAGGTGGCGCGCCTCTCAAGAGTCTTTATATTTTCCAGAACATAGTCAATCCTCCGGTCAATCGCACGGGCGACTTGTTGAGGTGATCTTGATACAACAGGTCCAGAGGAGCCTTCTCCTAGCAGGGCTCGCACTTCTTTCTCAGTGACTTGAGACCCTTCGAAATTTCGCCCCACCTCAAGTATTTGCTCGCGAGAACTGTTTTCTGGCAATGACAAGATTTCTTCCTTCAAACCGTCATACTCCGCATTCCAAATTTTCCAATGATAGATTGAGGTTTGAAGATTTGTTATTTGCTTTTCTAGCTCCACTCGTTTTTCTTCGAGGCTCAGTAGGGGTTCATTTGAGCCAGCCATACTGAAATATAATGGTTAAAAACAACGAATATAAGACCATAAAGTTAACAGGTGGTGAAGTCCAAAGCGAAAACAAAAAAATCGAGGTTCAAGTTGAAATCGAACGTGCATAAAATCAAATCACGTGCATGAAACGCTTAATCTTTAAATTGTAACATTTAATCATTACGTCATCAGTTTCTTTATGACTAATCCACTATTCTCTAATAAAATGACACAATAAGCATGTGATAGCACTATAATGTATATAGCCAGAACTTTAAAACGAAAGTTTGCTGGACGGAGAGAAAAACGATGATTCAAAAGTTATGGAAATCATGCCCATTTACCCAAGACTCCCATCAAAACCATACCACTGATGAGAGCCAGTAGACCGGTCATCATTCGGCCAATACTAGCATCTTTGAGATCTCCATGAAGCCAGTCGTGAGTCCACATATCAACGATGGCAGCCCACGCAAGTATACCAGCAGAGAATGCGTCGAGGGTACCTATGGCAACGATAGTGCTTTTATCATTGCCATTGAATGAGTGAAGGACGCCTAGACCAATGGCCATACCCAGAGGTGTGATGAGGGCAAATATAGAGGACATGACAAGTTTGGTAGATATGTTCGTGTTGGCTAGATCAGCGATTCGGGAGCCCAGAGCCAGGCCCTCAAACATCTGATGAAAGATTATCACAATGAATAGAGCAGTGTATCCTGAATCACCTGAGACTACCAGTGTGACACCGAGGACTAAAAGCTGTCAGCTTGTTGCCATGTTATTTCTTATGGGAATGTGGCTTAACTCACTGACTGAGTGGAAAACGATGCCCGCTTCCATGAGAAAAACGCTAATCTTATCGTCCGGGAAACCTTGATGGCCATGACTGTGACCCAGGTTTGCAATTGCTGAATCTAACCCAGTTTTTGTTCCTGATACTGGGCCGGTGTGGCTAGAAGTCGCGGAAGGTTCCATATCGTCTCCCTGAGGATGCTTCTTACCGCGTGACAAGGCTATCCTATTTCCGAAATATTCGATCAAGAAGGTTATGAATAGGCCGGCCATGAAGATGGATGTCGCGGTGGCTTCATATTGAAGAGTGCCAAGGCATTGGTTGCCAAACATGAGTTCCGCGTGTGTTAGGAGCTAGATGCAGTTAGACGTAGTTCCTAGCTTTGTTGAAAGGGTATACCAACATGGATGAAAGCAGTTGCAATCATGATACCTGTGCCAAGCTGCTTGATTATTGTGAACACAAAGATATTCATAGTCGATGCGAAGAATCGCTGCATCAAAACGGGACCGAACACGGCGATTGCGCTTGTGACTAAAATGGCAAATAGGGAGCCAATACGGTAAGGAATATTGTAATCTCGATCAACTCGATCACAAGACATAGGAGGTGCCTCAGATCCATTTTCTGGGATACAGTGCCTGACAGCTGTAAGCAGGTGACCTTTTTTCTTTCTTTCTCATAGGTATCTCAAGACTTACTCTACTCCTGCGTGGAAATGACAGTTGAGGCCTTCATGTCCACCTTTTCCATGACCATGTTCTTCGTGGCCGTGTTCTTCATGGCCATGGTCATCACCTGAAGACCCTTCAGAGAGTACCTGGACCTCGTCCCCGTCCGGTCCCACACAATATCTAGGCAGTCCAACAGTCAGAATTGATCTTAGATCTTATAATAGAGAGAATAGGGGGGAACAGTGTATAAAAAAAAAAAGGGGGAGGGGGGGGGGGGGGCTGGATGTCTAATTACTTTTGCGGGCCGTGACTATGGCAATCCGTGAATTGGGGAGGAGGAGGGCCTGTAGCTGTAGCCGTACCAGATACAAGCACCTCCGCACCAGATCCATCTAGACAGAATCTGGAGTACATATCAGCCAAGATCCCACGATGAACCCCTAATTATGATCACCCACGTTTGAGGGCCATGATTATGGCATCCGGTAACTGCGGTTGACTGTGCGGCGGCGGCAGCAGCAGTAATGCTTGGATGAACAGTCACAGGGCCAGAGTGTCTTTGTCCCAAGACGAAGAGAGAGCACTGCGCCAGGTATAGGCAAAGCAGAGCGAAGCGAGCCATCTTTTCCAAGGACAAAATTCACTGGCTTGGAAAAGGTATAATTAAATTCTGTCTGTGAGAATGAAGAGGAAGGAAGAGTGAGATTTCTTATATGTAGCGTCCTGCGCTGCATACTTGAAAGGATTGGAGCAACAGGAGAGCGTTCACCCCCAAGGTTACAGCCAACTCCTGGGGTGGAAAAAAAAATCATAGAAGAGAGTAGTCTCCACAGAGCAGCTATCTATATGCAGGAATACCGCGTACACGGACTATTCCTCTCTCTCTCTCTCTCTCTCTCTCTCTCTCTCTCTCTCCACCCTGTAGAGTGTGTATGCAGAGGGCTGCATATTGGCGTGGGGTACTCCATTCCTTGTGTTTTGTCGTCGAGGACGCTGCCTTTGATGGGAACATCGTTTTCGTCCCGAGGCACGATCCACGAAGGCGCAAAGCAAGAAAATAATGGGCGCCCTTTGATCACGCTCAAAGCTCTCTCTCTCTCTCTGTTCGAAATGTCTCGTTCGCCATTTGTTCACGAGCCAAGCGCAACCTTGTGGGAAAACCCGACTCCATTGCCTGAGCTTGGCGGGTGGATGATGGCTGGACCCGAGACCAGCACGGAGGGATGTTTGAGGTTTGGCAGACGCGATACGCCGCCCGCAGCAGGGCGAGGCAGCTGGGCGGGAGATGCCACCGGGCCGCCGTGGCATCGCAGGCGGAGCGCGTGACGGCAGCGGTTGAGCACCGTCGAACGCTGGCGGATGCAAAGGCGCCCATGGCCTGCCCTGATGCCAACGCCCGCGAGGATGAAGTCGAAGAAGATCTGATAGTCAAACAAGCATCGCCGGGGAGCTCGGGCCAGGAAAAGTCCCGAGGGTTCCCATGTCGCTATCACGTGATTAGAGGCTTTTTAGTTGGTTACGAGCGCCTCCCTGGCAACCTGAAGCAAGCGACGCCAGCTCTCTCCTCTGTGCTGCTCGGGCGCTGCAGTCGGCGCACTCCTCGATGCTACCAGGCCCTGCTACCTGCCCATCTGTCTCCTGAAGGGCCCTGCGTACTTGCTTGCGCGCCACGTCAATTACCATGCCAGCCCGAGCAAACGGCTCCCTCCAGAGGGGAGACGATGACGGTACGTATACCTTGTGCAGCTCCGATCACCACATCTCAGGTAGCTAATACCTGCACGGATATCTAATATAGAAGTATGTCCCGTCTGCAAGTCGTCCAGATACCTCAATCCGGACATGCGATTTCTCATCAACCCAGAATGCTACCATAAAATGTGCGAGTCATGTGTCGACCGCATATTCTCTTCAGGCCCTGCTCCTTGCCCAGTTGCCGGCTGCCGAAAAACCCTGCGGAAAAATAAATTCCGGAAGCAAACCTTTGGGGACCTTGCGGTTGAGAGGGAAGTCGATATCAGAAAACGGGTAATGGGCATGTGTGTCACCCCAGGAAGTCTCCAGCCAACCTTGGTAACCGCTGACACCTTCGCAGTTTGAACCGACGAGAAGAAGAATTCGACAATAAACGTGCATGGGATGACTTCCTTGAACAACGAGAGGAGATTATAGCCAATCTCGTAAATGACATCGACGTTGCCAAAACGGAAGCCCAACTCGCCCAGTACTCCGCAGAAAACTCTGCCTCTATTCGTCATAACAAGGACCTTGCCAGAAAGGAGAATGAGTCTTTTGAGTTTCATCAGTCCGCGGAGCAGGAGGAGCTTCGTCGGCGACGTGAAGCCGCCAGGCTGGACTACGAGAACGAGAGGAAGGCCAAAATTGCCAGTCGCGAGGATATAATCTCCCGCCTCGCATCTGGAGATGCTGAGGAGGCCAAAGCAGTTGCCCGTGAGTCTGAACGAGCCCATCAGCTGAAGAAATCTTCCGCCAGACGCAGCGAGGAAGAGAGGTTGAAGCGGAAGCAAGCTGCCTTACGAGCTGCAGAGAGCGCGAACAAAGGCCCATTGGCTGCCGGGGCAGGCAATGCTGCAGCCGCCGGTGGAGGGTTGATTAAGGGCCTAAGGAAGATCAAGACTCCTGAACCAGAGAAGCCGTATGATCCGTTTGCCGGTGCTGCAGCACTAAACAGCCGTGACTATTATGAACTCCGTGATCACTACCCGTCAACATATCTTGACCCGCTACGTGAGGATACGAGGGTTCTGGCTGGTGGCTATGATTTACGAGAATATTATGAAAGGACGCTCCTAGAGGCCTTTGCAGGCCTTGCTTGTTTTGTCAGTGAGGAGATACCCGTGAGAGACAAATCAGTCGCAGCACCGGCGTCGAGAGGAACACCACCAGCACAGAAAATACCGGCAAAGCTTTCTACGCCGTCTTCATTGCCTGCCAAACGACGGGCGCAGGGAATGGAAACCATCTCAAAGAACAGCGATGATGTGTTCTAGCTTGTCATAAATTCCTTAGTTGTCTAGCTTTAACGTGACCACTGACCAAACAGGAAGCAGCAACAAGAATCCTGTATAATGGCATGCCATACAACCTTGGGAGCTATTTTCAATCGCCCGGCTGAAACAGAACTATCATGGGGCAATGGCATGAGCCTATACGGAGCTCAACAATGACCTACTGACCAGGAGTACAGTAACCTTCAAGGTACTGCTGATTACTAAACATGGCCACAGGCAGGCTCACAAGCAGGCTCCATCGGTAAAAGTCCAACATACCGTCCTGCAGTCCCAGTCAAAATGATTCTCGCCCCAAATACAATGGCTGTGTCCAAACGCCTTCATAGGCGAATGTTCCTCGGCCCAGGCAATTATGTACGTATTCAGAATTTAAGGAGTACGACGTCGTCTCAGGCGTTGCATATCGTGCAGGGGAGATTGCAAATGCAAGCAAGCTATATACTGGACCCACGAATACTATCCTACTGGACAGACCATTCTACTTTGAAAAGAGAGACCCTGGAAATGGTTTCGTCAGGGTCTTCAAATGGTGAACAACCGTAGACATTAGACATCTTTCTGTAATCCACGCCGCACCCATTTTTTAATCGGAGGTAATGTGCACATGTCTTCCTCGCTAGCAGAAGAATGATATTCTTCCTTTTCTACTCCAACACCGATATTCGCAAGAACTTGAGATAGGGGAGACATGGAGATGTCATGCTTAGCGCTGGATATGTGATGGATTTTGCCGGCTGTCCGGTCTATCCGTGATGCTTCCAAGCTTCTTCTCAGCTCTTCTACTTCATGATCCTGTCAAATGGATTAGCAATTGAATTCTTATGGAATGGAGATAGCAAACAGACATACATCGACTAGGGTTAATATGGTGTAGTCCACGTGTGCTTCACCTAACGAACCACTGATAGGATCGACCGACTCCCCTGCGTTTGCCGTACTTGTAGACAGGTCTGTATCTTCCAGGACGTCAGTTCCGTCCTGGAAACGACAGGTCTTCTCATGTGTGGCTTCCTGGCCACATAGACCTGTAACACCGCTGGTTGGCATTTGTGCTTGCGTGCCTGGAGACCTTTTGCCCTTTCCAACGGGTTGCAAGAGAATATGCATGCTGAGATCTTCGTTGTTTAATTCCTCTCCTCCTACTCCCCCAGTGGATTTGGCTGCTTCCAAAACCTGAACTCTACCAGACAGTGCAAGATTCTCACGGTTTAGTTGTCGGATACTCTGGTTCAGACTTTCCCTTTCGATCTCTAAACGTTGTAGACGTGACTGAAGGTCAAATAACATGTCGAGCGGCTTATCAGTGTCCCTATGATGAGTATTATCTACGGTGGCTCCTTGACCAAATGGAGTAGACGAAATGTCTGTAGAAACAGTCAATGTTAAGTCCACGCCTGCGGGATGAAAGTCGGTGATTGAAGCGGTAGAGTAGCGAGATCGAGAGAACCGAGCAGTTCGTGGTAAGGAGCGTCGCAGTTTATCACCAGCATAGGTATCTGCAGTGGTATCAGGCGCACCAAATGGCAAGAGGCTCGTTTCGGGAGTCCGCAGCACAGTTCCAGTTTCATCATAATGTTTCGAATCTAAATTCGAAGAGACGTCGTCGGTTGAGGACAAAAAGTCATGGTTGCCATTCGATTTACTTCGATGGAATCGTGTTGCTTGCTTTCCATGGTGACCTGTGTTGCTATCGGAAGCCGGGCTGCTGGGGACCTTATGATTTCCAGTAAGAGTATCAGCAAAATTTGTAAAGATTTCAGAAACATCTCTAGTAAAGTCTTCTCCTCCGCCTATAGGACTATTTTGCCGGGTGTCTCTGGACCGTTTTCGTGGGCGGAGATTTTCCTTCTGTGAGCTGGCAAGGCTAGCACGGCGTGTCTGAGCTTCTTTCCTAAGAGTGTCCCTTATCTTCAACCCATTACTTGAAAGATCCCGTAAAGGAGCCCTCTGCCTGGGTATCGACCCCAGGCCCTGCTTGGATGGCCTACTGTCTGCAAACTTTGAAGTGGTAGTATCACTCTCAAAAAGATGAACTGGTGTCGGATACGCAGTCTTTGAGCTATTGTAACAGTGATCCCAACCATTCCAGAATGTATCGGGTACATTGCAAGACTGAGTTGAAGGCCTTGGGCAGTGTATTCCATCACTACTGTGGCCTTCGGTGCGGGAATGTGGTAATGGAAGACCTGGAGTAGATGCTACTAGCCTTTTTGAGCCGTGAGCTATAGGTGGGCAAATGCCCGTTGAAGTATGTATGATGGAGCTCGTCCCATCATCATACAGCATTTCAGAGTGTATAGGTGATGAAGGGGAATTGGGATGAAAGCGTCGTCTACCTGCTCTTGGGGTATCACTCGTTCCATCGATATGTTTTATCCTTGCGCCGAATCTACTAGAGCCACTCCGTCCTGATGAGGGATTTGGAATAGTCTTGTTGGTCTTCGTTGTATTATGGAATCGGGCTCGATCATTGAGACTTGGTGGCTCTTTAATATTGGGCTTTATCGAACTGTCAGGTATTCGGGGAAATGGATGTGGTTTTAAAGTAGGTTTATCCCAGAGTTTTCGTAATTCAGCAGTTATGTTAAGATCCGAAGTGGGTTGTGATGGATAGAGAGGATAGGGTTTCTTGTCAGCCAGGCCGCGTGACAAAGTGTCTTGGATAAGCGCCGCTTTGGGGCCTTCGGAGTCCTTAGTGTTAACATTGTGCTTGATATGGTGAGCAGTGGTTGAATGCCCTTCGGACCGCGAGTTGGATAAAAAATCTTTTGTTCGTTTTTTTGGAATATTATTGGGTAGGCTGCGAAAGGGTTTGGGTCGTACTGGCGTAAGTAAGGACGAGATATCAATTGCATAATCCTTTTCAAAACCATCCGCGATTTTCTGTCCTGTAGATGCACTGCTCTCATCTGCGTCCAGCCCCGTTTCAGTCAACTCATTGTCCAGGGACCGCCAGTCCGAACTCCCACCGGTGGATACTGTAAGCTCATTCTGAGTCTTCCGTATTGATCGAGCCATGCTGCGCTCTCGAAATAAAAACTCCTTGGGTCGCTTGACCGAAAAGGCTGACCAAGTTATCAACGTTGAATGTTTGTTGACAAACGCGTTCTCCAAGTTTGATCGGTTAACTATGAAACGCGTCTAACTAAGAAACGCGCGCCTAGTGACGTCAGATTACGGTCACGTGGGTGATCATGACAGGGGCTGGGAGTTTCCACTAACTGCGGCTAATAGTAAAGCATATACTACGCACCCTGTGCGTATCCAAAGCTGCTTGGTCATTGTTTTAGAAGCAGAGCGTTGATTACCGACAATCAGATATCGTGAGGTCAGAATACTGGTGTATAACTGCCAGATTGATATGTTAACCAGGCAAGTTAAGCTGACTAGCTGACTAGCTGACTAACTTTAAGTAGTACAACTAGTTAAGTTCTAAAGAGACTAGTTATCGGCCTACCAAAGAGCTTCTTTCGACTTCAACCCCTCTGCAAGTCGCAAAGCATCCAGTTATTCAAGGATTATCGGCTAAAACTTCAGAGTTGGAAATCATGGTGTGGGAAAGAGTATTTGCGTGTATAGGAATTTTGACAACCGTCTGTATCGTTGTGAATCTCCTTTCCGTGGCATACAAGTTCCTGCGTCCATCAAAACTACACAAGTACCTACATGATGGCAAACAAACATATGCGTTTGTTACCGGAGCCACCGATGGAGTTGGTCGTTCCATGGCTTATGAGCTAGCAAAAAGTGGCTTTAACCTCATCCTCCACGGTCGAAATAGCGAGAAACTGCAGGCTATAACCGAGGACCTACAGAATCAGTACCCAACCATCAAGACCCGCAAATTCGTCTGTGATGCATCGAAAGATTTACTGGACTCGTCTACCCTATCTAACCTACACAAGGTGCTGAAAGACGTCCACATTTCGATTCTAATTAACAATGTTGGCGGGATGGGTTGCCTACCGCCTTCTTGTCTTTATCAGGCCTACGAGTCCTATACTGGGGAGCAGATTGACGTTGTACTCAACGTTAATCTCCGGTTTATGGTACAACTCACGCGCATCCTTATCCCATTAATGGACCACTCTACCTCTATGACGGCTGCAAGTAACAAACGGCTGCCTTCTTTAATCCTGAACATGGGGTCCGTTGGGGCTCATGGATCCCCTTATATCAGTGTATATGCTGGTACCAAAGCATTTGTTGCTTCTTTCTCTAACTCATTAAGCATGGAAATGAAAATTGAGGGGAAAGATATCAATGTCCAGGCCCTAATAATTGGTGAGACTAGGAGCGCCACTCACATTGTTAAGGACGGAATGATGGTCCCCCATTCTAACTCACTTGCCCGTTCTGCATTGAAAATAGTTGGCTCAGATAGGGAAACATTTGTTTCAGGCTGTTTCCCTCACTGGATGGCGAAAATATTTGTTCAGGTTATGCCGGTATATGTTTCTAATGCGCTCTTTGTTGATGCTATAAAGAAACTTAAGGCAGCCCATGAGAAACGAGTGGCCTCCCTTGCCGACTAAATATCTTTATTTTTATCCGTACACACTCTACTTAATCTTGCACCATTTCTCTGCTGTAGACTCTGATATATCTCATACTCTTATTGCTAAGATTGTCTATATGCAGCTAAATTGATGAACCACATTCAGTATTCTCAGGAACTGATAATATTGGGTAATAGAACGGGTATTTAATTTAATCAATATCGAAGGGAAGTGTATACAGTAATGGTAACCAAGGAGATAGTCTTACAACCAAGAATTCAGGTTCAATCATGGCTATTGAGCAGGAAACGAATGAATTAAAAAGACAATGAAATAAAGAACCACCCCACGTTAATACTAGTTAGCAACCACGCCAGTCATGACCATCATTTGGATGGCCCTTCTGCGATCAACCTCTCTTTTCAACATCAACAGGCAGGTTCCAACAATAACAGCTTCGTCAATGTTGAGGTGAGCATCCTGATCCAGGACCAACTCTCCACCACACCCGGCTCTATGCTTTGAACTCCCTTGCGGAATCGTTTCCTTAGTTCGAAGGAGTTGCGCAACTCTCGTGCGCGATCCATCTCCTTCACCTTCAATCTTCTCAAGGACTAGCAGCTTGCTTCTACCACCCCCATCGTAGCCCAGTCGAACATATCTCCATTCAAACTTTGAGCCATCTGGCATTTCAAAATCAGCACTTCGAGAGATAAACTTCCCAGCCACAGTGATGTCTTTGTTTGTATCAGGGCTGCCCCCATTAAATGGTGTTGGATATAGCTGACGGAGGACAGGATGGCGACCAGGCCCAAAGAAGTAGGTGGTACTGAGTAAATTGCCGAGTTTTGGGGATGATAGAACTGCATCTCCTGAGCAGAGCTTGTCCCTGGTTGACACATAGGCTAATGATCCATCTTGGTTGTGGATTGCGATCTCTAACTCCGATGACGGGGTTGGGAAACGAATCATGCCAATTCCGCGAGAGCTAATATAGAGCGATCGTCCAGGAGTAAAAGCTTGATTTATACTCCGGGGGGGTGCGATCGTTGTGGACTCTGAGTATGTAGGTGGTGCCTCGCCTTCCACATCTGTATCAGACGCAGCGGAGGATTTGAGAATTTCCATTTCCTTCTCGGATAGTTGGTTGACTTCAGTTTGAAGCTCTGCCGACTTCCTCGAGTCCATAGCATAAGCAGTCATAATGACAAGCGCTAAAGTCTTTCCGTTGTATGGTATATGTGGAGGATATATCCGCAGTAATAAGGGGGTTCAATGCATCAACTGGCTGGTTTTTCGGTGAGTTGGGAAGACACCCCAGACGGATAGCATGGCACATTACACCATTTTATACCCCAAGTCAAGAGTCCCTCGATTGAGACTAAAGAGAAAACAGGGATATTCATCGTATTCAGAAGGCGGCTGTGTGAGGCTGTGAATGAGGCTCGGATACGAGCAACTCCCCGATCGGGCATAACTAACTTGTTAGGTATTAGCTCGCTAGCCGGTAACTAAGTACTCAAGTTGGTGAACTCAGTAACTAACTAGTTAGTTAACTTAGCTAGTTAGTTCATTTACGAACTGGAAGTTAACTTAAACGTCCTATCCTCAAAGACAATAATAGTACTCCGTACGGCGGACAAAATGGACTATGCAGTTAAAATCGATACTATAATGAAATGAGATGCGACAACTCCAGCCTGATGTAACAAGAAGGTATATGAGAGTAGAGTAGGGCGATGAACCGAACGATAGACCAAATAAGTTCAGAAGAAATTAAGAAGTACGTTAAATCGGTTAACTGGTTAGTTAACTAGTTAAGCCATCAACTAGTTTACTAGTTACCTAACTTGGCTTACCCTACGTAAGTTAACTGCTTAGAATTTGACCCGATGGCATATATAGTCTGGCATAACTAAACTAACCAGTAAATAATCTCGGGATTTTAAGAGGGTACTATTAGTTGGTTATAATTAGAAAACTTTTAGATTGAACTATAAAAATAGTTTAACTAATCTATTATTATATCCAACTCTCAATATGGTCTGTGGGACAAGCTTGCATCGCGCCAGCATACTTCTGAAGCAATTCTTGCTGTGTGAGGTCTCTCCTGGTAACAAAGCGATAGTTTCTACCAGGGAACACCTCATCAGACTTTGGATTGGACTTACGACAGAGGAGTGCCTTCCTACGCGGCATTACACTGTCTGAGAAATCCCCAATGCCGATCATTTGTAATGATGGAATGCCCTCTGGACCGAACGCCCATTGAACAAATTCATCAAAGGCCTGGAAGTTTTTGTTTGGCTTCTCATCTTCATTTTTTATGCCTTCTGGATTTCTTTCTACTCTTTCGGCTGCCTTGAGGCGACCAATCACCACAAGGGGGCTCCTCCGGATAAGCAAGACTTTAAGACTCCTAATATTTGCGATTGGAGCCAGGACCGGAAGCTAAAATATCAGCTTGGGAGTTAGTAACTATTCACGGTGGCAGACACTGGTCAGAAGGCATACCAAGTATTTAAAATCATAACTGACTCCAAGAAACTCTAGGTCAAGGTGCCTAAGAGGGTTCCATTCCGGATTTGTTTTGTGACTCTGAGGCATCGAAAATGACACATCAGCTATACAGAATGGACTAGAATCTTCACGAGTATCAACCATTGGGTCCACGTAGTAAACAAACGTTCTTAGGGTATTCTTATGCCGCAATAATGCTTGCCATAATTCTAGCGCCCCATCCTGTTCTCTCACAGCAATGTAAAGGTTCTGTAGTGACTCGCAGCCATTAACAAATCTCGCTATGTCCGCATTTTCAGAACTGAATGATTCTGGGTCTTCCCACGAAAGTATCTCAACCGTATGTAGGCGGAATGGAGGTTCTGAGGCATTGAGACGATCAAGGAAATTTGGCCATTCTTGACCACAGAGCCTGATTGTTAGGGTATCTAGAGTCGCTGGGTTTAGATCACCGACGATGTTAACTGCCGAATATTCAAAATTAAACCCCGTCAAGGATAGATGTTGTAGCTTCTGAAATTGAAACCTTTTACCGCCAGGGTTGGGCTTCATGATTTCTTGCGAAATAGTGGCTTCGTCATCGTCTGAATCATAGAATGAATACTCCCACATTTTAAGTCCAAGTTCCAGGTAAACTAGCTGGTGGGACAAAACCTCTAGGCAGTCTCGGAGTCTTTCAAGGTCATCTTTTGCATTGTCAAGCTCCATATTATTCCCCAAGTTGTCCCATGATAACCTTTTGAGTTTTGTGAATAAATGAGGGTAATAAATGTGGCAACCATATCCACTATTGGCGCGTATAAAAAGGGTCTCGAGAGATTTTTGTCTCGTGGGTAGGTAGCCCTCTTTGCCTAGAATTTCAGGAGGAATGAAATCCATACGATCCCACCTAAAACATTGTATGTTAGCTTGGAACCGTAACACTCTTTAGGGGTACCTAGGTAGCTAACTCGCCTAAAACTCCTTAGATGTCCCTCCTTGCATCTAATTAAAATAGGCAAAACTCTACGCCTCAGCTCCATGTAGCCAAGGATGCGGGAAAATCGAGGATCAGGCTCCACGTCAATCCATCTTAGCTTGTCTTTCAGTTCAGTGCTAGTGAGGCTTCCATCTCGAGTAGTGCTCGCACCGTCTTCTACACCTCTGGCATTGCGGGTGTTGATATTCTGGAAATCGACTTGAGCACTCGGATCGTGAGGATGAGCCCACTTCTCTTTATCTTCGCCCGCAACATGGATATCCGTGGTATACTGAAGCACCCTAGCCCTTTCATGTGCGTTTATAATCCCGTTTGCTTTCCTTGCGGTTGTGATAAGGATAGACTGGTATAGAAACGGGGCTGTCATGCTATTGAGTTGTTTGGACGCTTCAGATAAACATTTCAGGTCCACACGGTCTTCGACCTTAGAAAGTATGGAGAATATAATTTCTCTAGGGAGATTTTCTAACATTTTGACCCCTCATGTAGTACATAAGCGACCCGAATATGAAGTTTTCAGAGGAATATTCTATGAGTTGTGAATGTGTGAAATTGAAAACAGTTTCTTGTGCTATTTTCATGGATGTTCAACTTGCTATAGTTAACTAGTTAACTAGTTAGTAATCATCCCGTCGCTTTCTAACTAACTAACTTACTCCAGCCTATCAACGATTGCGTTCGCTAGGTGTGGGTTAAATTGGGAACAATAGACCTGTTGTTAGTTAACTGGCTCGCGAGGCCGCCCGCTGCTGAATTTTTAAGAGCACACTCGCTAACTGGCTTCAGTAGTCAATATAGGGCTTTATGTATGAAGCTCTAGCTTCTGGTTAGGTCACTTAGGAGGGGTAACCATTGAAAGAACAGGTCTCTTCATTGTCTGTTCATTAAAGGTGACCCCATTTTCTAGAGGAGCCAGGTCAAGTAGTTACAGGTAGCTTAACTAAAAAGCCAGATAATGTTCAAAGTTGATATTGACACTACTTGCCAATAATTACACCTGTTAACCGCCATTGCCTACTTCAACTAGAAGGGATTTGGCCAATTGGGCAAGTTCGAGGCAGCAGTCTCAAGGCTTCGGATCTCTTCTATGGTCTTCCGCATCATCTTCTTCTCATCAGCAACCTGAGGTGTATCGCCAGGCTTGTCTTGTGCAGCCATAATGTACTGTGGGTCAAGGTACTTGGTTTTAAGCTTTCCGATACCATTGTTGATCAACTTCATCGTTTTGCTATGAGCATCAACGTATTTGGAATTCATGAATGTGTCCCACTGAGACTCTAGTCCTTGGGTTTTCCAGGCATCGTATGTCGCGGTAACCGGCGTTGGAGTCTCTGTAGTTGTAATTGTTGTCGATGAACTCGTTATAGTAGACACTGGGGTTGTCGTATAAGTCACAGTTCGCTGGCGGTTGCTCAGCTCGTTATCAAGCTTTCCAAGGATGGCTCCAACACGTTCTTTTTGAGCCTTTAGTATTTGGGCGACTAATGGGACTTGGTGATAGATAACAGACCCAAGGCCTGCACGTATGTTTTTGATAGCCTCGCCAGGCATGTTTTCAACCCAAGTTTCCATTTGAGAGTCTCCGATAATAACCTCATCAGAGCCCCAAGCCTGCGATTTAGTCACGGTGTTAGTTATCATAAGCCACCTGAACTAGGCGTAAGAGTCGCTCAATAGCTTGAAAGCCATACCTTTGCTTTGGCTGGGACATTGACAGTATGCTCTAGGACAACGAATTCTTCCTTTTTAAATTTAGGTGCCGGGTAGGTGTCTGCAATGTGCTTGCCTGCACTGGCCATTACGCCGTCAATAGTGAGAGGGTCTGGCCATAAAAGTTTCACGTATTCACAGAAGTGGATCTTTTTGCGCTTTCCGTCTGCTTCTTTCTGATAAGGATCGGGATGATCAAATATTTCTCCTTTTGACGAGTTCAACTTGAGCAGAAACAGTCCGGGAAGCTGGAATTCGAGAGCGTGTTCGGTATCATATTGTATAGTTGGGCTTTTGTTAGCAGGGTAACGCGCAGGTAGAGGGGTACCAAATTTACAGTCTTCACAGTCAGGACTAGTGAAACCGTACGTAGGAGATTTCTATCCAAATAAACAAGAGTCATTTTTAGTGTATCATGATTAGGGTTGTCATACAGCTAGGTATCGGACAGGCTAAACAAATTAAAGTTAATAGATAAAATGCACTTACCTTCAATTTACCACCAGCAGGATATGTACGTTGCATATAAAGATCGTCAATAAGCTCATTCGACCATGTATGATGATAGCAAAGTCTTGAAGTTTTGAGGCCTCGTTTAGCCAGCTGGCCATGACGACGCGTGATGCCCCTTGATTCGTCATTTCCAGCTGCATCCTGCATGTATTCTTTGCCATCGCCATCAAACACTCCACAGGTAACATTTTTGAGATTGGCACCATCAGTAGGACAAAATAGGTCACCGATAGGAATTTTAAAGGCCGGCCCATAGACAGCGGCGCGCTTCTGTAAGCCATGTCCAGTGGCGCTCAAAGAGCGTCCCTGGGGAATGTGACTCTGTTTAGAGGTGATATTATTCTTAATCGCCCAAGGCGAACCGAGTGACAGGCTCCTCTCGCCAACCGATCCAATACCGAGATTTGGACACTCTCCACCCTTGATAATGTCCTTATCCCAACTGGCAATTTCGTACTTGGTTTCAGGCCACTTGAATATACGTGCGTCAGCTTTGGCATATAGATAAGTGCCGAGTTGCATGCCGTAAGTAAACGGGCATTCAGCCGTGGTGCTAATGCCGGTGGCTATCTTGACCATGACACGACCTTCACCCACGACACCGGCTGTGGCACCTCCAATGCCCCAGCCGTCATCAAATCTTACACCAAATTCTAGTAAAATGGGGTGCAGGTTAGTACTATTCCAAAAGGGCAGATATGAGAACTTGTCCAGTTAGAATTTTAAACCTACCTGCTGCAGCATTAAGTTTAGCAACAATATCTCCCGCTGCCTCAACTCCCGCGTAAAACTCTGGCCTCTGGATGCCAGTAAAATCTCCTGATTTGCTTAAGTCTGGATGACCTTTTGCAATATCCTGTGGATTGTACTTCTCCGAGCCATCAGATGGGAGCGTCTGTCGGATCTCCCATTTTGCAATATCAACCTTAGTCTCAAATTTGGCGGCTAAGGTAGCCTGGGCATCTATAGACCCGGATATATGCACTTGCGGCCCGATAGTCACTATCCCAGGAATACGAAACGTTGCTCCGGGGAAAGGAAGAGTCAGGATTGTTTTGTGTTTGCTATACGTGAAACGAGCTATAGCATCAATGGTGAGAGTGGCGGTGATTTCTCCTTTGTTGTAAAAAGTGAGATATGATTTGGTGAGGTCAAGGGGTGGGAGCAAGCTGGGAACAATCAATGTAAAGCCGAAGGTCGTGGAAATTTTCATGTTAGTGAGAGCTTTAGCAGTAACATGGCCATCGTACTTGATACCATTCCTCTTGCAATCCCAGTTTTCATCAACTATTATTGCGGTGACAGTCTCATCAATACTGTGAGTGTAGTCACGCTTGATTTCAGGTGTGACCATCTTTTTTAACCACTCGATGACAGAAGAGCCAAACCATCTCTCATGAAGGTCCCGTCTGTTAAGCCCCCCAAAGTGATAGTCATCTCTAAATTCGTCTTCCAGCCATTTCAAATGATCGCCTCCGACGTCATCGAGAGACCTTTTCCTCTTCTTAGATGGCGATGCAGCCACAACTTCATCCCAGTAGTTATCCTGGTTGCTGAAGTCTACTCGCATCTGTGTATTTCCCATGCCACGAGGAACTCGAGAGAAATCATAGTCAAATTTTAAGTCGTAAACAACACCCTTTGATGGTACACGGCTCGCCAAATGACGGGGTATCAACTGATGTTTAGCAGGTTCCATTGATATGGCAACGGCGTACTTACCAGGGCCACAGCCTTTTGGCATTTGCAAAATCGTTCCGGGTACTCCCTTACCAAGGTTTATCTTGTGGCAGTTGCTATTTTCCGAAAAATCGGTACATACCATCTGGACAGTGTGCTCGCCCTCCGTGACAGCGTCATTGCAGCCGAATACCTCCCAGTGTGAACCATCACGCCTATCGAGGGACGTCTGGATCTCGTCAGGGGAAGTCATCACAACGAATTGAAAAGCTGTAGAGCCTGGGTTACTGTCCTCATCGTCCAGATTAAGATCAAAGTCGGTTTTAACATTGTCACCCGTTGGAGGATGTTCGAAAAGGTTCTCTAGTGGAACTGGCAAGAATAGATGTTCGCCTTCCTTGGGATCGCAGCAGAAAACACGTTCCCGCTCCAACCTAATGCCACATGAGCCACCACCCCCTCCGCTATCTGAGGTGAGTTGAACACCAGAAAGCACGTCACAATGGTTGTCAAAGCAGCTATCTCTTTTGCCATGCCAGGCACAATTTCTCCAAGTCTCGAGTTCTTTCTCGGGACAGCAGTAGAATCGTAAATTCGATATGTCAAGCCCTTTTAGGACCTCTTTCAACTTATCCCCTGATACCTGGTCGATGGGTTGATTCTTTCCCGTCACCTCCTTGACCTTCTCTTCGATCTCTATGTCGAAGGACAGCCATTTGCCAGAAAATGTCTGCAACATTTATTAGCTCTTATAACGGGAAAGTAGTCATATGGCTATCATATCTCGTCGAGAACATCGAATATTGACCAAATAACGAAGGTATTATAATGTTTAGGTTAAGGGCTCCTTACCAAGGGCTGGTCTCCACGTTGACAATCATCAGTCTGCCAGTAGCATGTGTTGTCCTTGGCAAGGGAGCTTTTGCAACAGAATGCCTTGTTACCATCCACACACACCTTTCCGTCACCCCATTTGTTCAACTGAAGGGTGACTTCATTTTCATGGCAGTGGCCGTTGCAGAATGGTGCCGTTCCACGCCAGGTACAGTCTGCAGGGTCAGGAGCACCGGATAAGGGACAGCAGATCTTACTCTTTTTATCACCTTCGCCACACTTCTGATCTGTAATTTTGATAAATCCTGCTTTACAGTTGCCATCGCACCCTGTCGTGTAGCAGCTCGGAATATGAGCGTCCTAGACTGAATCATTAGCATAACGCCAAGACCTACGGAGCCGATAGAAGCGCGGCTAAATAGCCTGCGAAGGTTTTTATCACGTGATTACCCGATAGCGCCGGATGTGTTCGCCCAAAAATAAAAAATAATCAAAACTGACCTCATAATACGATGCATCTTTGGCTGAATGCTTGAACGTATCCAGAGCTTTTGGTGAAAGGACGGCTTGAAGCGCGCTACGCTGGTCGTCGTCCTGATCAATCTATTTTTTATTTCAATTTTAGCATCATCATCATCAGCACCTTTCTCCTTACTTTCCACTTCGTGACGTACCGCCCATATCAAATAACCCCCCAACCCAAGTTCTGCCGCAAATTCTTTCTTTTGTTTGAACGTTTCCTTGTCGTCCTAGAAGGTGTTAATAATATTGTTCCGCGGCATTGATACCGCTACTGCTGTTGGCCCTCAGGTATACTAGGAAACTTACGAAGGATACCCATTGATCATGGCCAAAGGTGACGTACTTGACGCCAGCTTCTTTATCATGAAACGGCTTAATTGCGTCCTCCTTGGCCATGCTCCTCCTTTGGTTCTCCTTTTTGACCATGCTCATTATCTCACGGTAAGTGAGGATACCAGACGCGCCACTACAAGCACCTGCTGCGGCCCCTCCTTTGAAAGGACACCCTGGCTTGTCGCATGATGGATCCTGAAGCTGGAAACTGCGTCCATAAAAGCCGAGACCCATATTGACTTTGTTTGCGGGAACATTGTTGCGCCAGAGAAGATCCAGAGCCTGGGTCATCTCTGTGATATTCGAGTGGCCATATATATGACTTCCTATCGGGTTGTCACTGTCCCATACACCATGCAAACTGAATTTCAAGTTTGGTCAGTCTTGTCCACTCAACAGCAGTTTAAAGTATGCCGAGAAATAAGGTTGGACTTGGTCTTACTCATAAGTCATCATGTTTACGAAATCAACATGATTAACGGCCTCAAGGTCAAAGTGCCGCAAGTACCAGTAACTGCTGGGAGCAGTGAAAGATACAGAGTAATGGAAGGGCTGTTTTTTGTTCTCCTCATCCAGCTCTTTAAGGAGTTTCACAAAATTTTTCCCGTCGCTCGGGATGCCACCGCGATCAGCAGCGCCGGGATATTCCTATTCAAAGTTTAGGTTTTGGATTTCAATGACAATAAAAGGAAAATTGCCTAGTCAGTGACATACCCAGTCAAAGTCAACACCGTCGAAGGCATATTGTCGCATGAACGCAAAAAGGTTCTGGATGAACTTGGAACGGTTCACCTTGGAGCTAACCATATCGCTATACACCTTCTGTGATGGGCCTGTTCCTTGTTGTCAGCAACTTAAACGGCTCGTTATCTGAGGTGGACTCCAATAGCTATGGGTGTGGAGGATACTGGAAGTGAATATCATCCACTTCCCTTCAACTTGGGCCTGGCGCAAGTAATGAAAGCAGAACCTACCTGGATCATTGAAGGTCCAGCCGCCGAGAGCGATGACTGTTTTCAAACCTGGATTTTTCCTTTTCAAAGCTGTAAAGTCGGCGAACAACCTATAAGGTAGACCATCCATCCCTGTGATTTTGAACTCTCCAGGAGTGATATACCCAAATGAGAAGAAAAGATGGGTGAGCGAATTGACCGGGATATCTTTTAAGCCCTGGAGCAAGTAACATTAGTTAAAGGTCAGAACATCACTGCGTGGCACACTCACCATTCCTTGACAGAGGACATCATGTCTCCACGCTTCATAATAGCCAACGACCACCTTTTGTTCTCCTGATTTTCCACTAGGACGAGGCTGGTCACAATTCGATTGACAACCCTTGTTCTTCCCGCTCTTTTTCTCACAGAAATCCTTGGTGAACCCGCAGAATCCATACTCGCTGCAGCATACATTCAAAGGACATTTTTTACCTGGCGGATCGGCAAATCTACCACACTCGGCTTTGGCATCGCAGTTGGACCAGCATACTTCATTGGGGCTTACATTATTGGTACCACACGCTTCTGGACCATAGTTACAGTACCCTGTTTTCTTGGAACAACATGCTCCTATCTTCATGTCAGTATCAAATATATTTCTCACTTGCATTCAAGAGAACATACCATTTGAACACGGGCGACCAGGCCCGCATGAATAATCTTCAACGGCGTTGAAGTCCACGGAGACTAGGAGCTCGTTTCTTGTTTTCAGACTCGCCGCTTTGGCGTTGTCTTGTTCCACAGGACAGAAAGGGAGATTGTCATCTTCATGGGATTTGGCAGAATAATCAAAGACCCTATGGGAATTTCCACAACGTTAGAAAATATCACCAAGGCTTTTTATCCTTCTTGTTGGCAAATATGATTCCAAGTTCTTACGAAGCAAAATCACGGCATCTGTTGGCATCGTTATTCTGAGTGGTCAAAGAACGATGTAGGTGCCTATGGCGATTGGCATGACCATGAGAGTTGGGAAATGCCCACGCTAAGGTCGCTAGTTCAGCGTAAGCGGCGAGAAGGATTAACGAGCGCATCTTGGACGAGCAGCCGCTGGGCTACTGTCAAGACTGGGGGAGAAAAGATGAAAAATGTTACTATCTAGAAGGATGAGAGAGGATACGGAGTGCTGTACGGAGTACTTCCTGCTTTCATTTTCAGCAAGGGGCTAACGCCTTATATATATCGATGGCTAAGCTGCGGCAAGTGAAATGAAAAGGAAAAGTGCCGGGCGCTTTTTTTTTTTCTCCAAACTGAGTCAAGAATAACTGGGATTGCTGGAGTATTTTTTCCGTATCTCCATAGCTTCCCATGAGAAAAATACTGCAATATCTCCGCTCCACTAGCTCTCAAGCAACTGAGGTTGATATTCCTATTTTGGCAACTTCAAATATTTGTCGCCTTGGGCTCCATGTCCGCAATATCGGAGCTGCCGGTTCAATCAAATCTTTTTGATATGCCTCGAAACTGTTGCCGAGCCTCATGGTTTACGGGATCATGAACTCGACCGGCGCATAATCTCTTGGATCTCCCTTGTCAAGTGTGAGCTGCTGAGATGCCAGTCCCACACTCACTGCAGGGGATACGCTCCCACTATATTACTTGAATAGTTCTGTTTGCATGGACAAGTTGCTGAAATGCCCTTCCGTTTTCTACCCACATTGAGTAAGTCAAGATCCATTTTTCAGGGGTATATCATACGCTGCTTGAATATGCATGTCCCAACCGTCCATTCTACTGGGAAGTTCTTGTGGATATTGTGCGAATGAGTGTACTTTCAGCTGTCCTAAGGGGCCCAAAGGCTTCCGATATGATGTTAACTATTTCAGAATAACAGTCCCGTCGGCTCCTGAGCTGGCTGCTCACATCTGTACTGCGATAAAAAGCCTGCGCATCCTACCTGCCAATAACTAGTTATCTCGCTCGCAGTCATTTTCCCGAATAATGGTAAATAACTAGTGATACATCCTTAGAAGAGAAAGGCATTGTATAATACTACGAGCCGCAGATGGCACAGTTAACTGAAACAAGAGCATCCCGAGTTAGTTACTGCTTTTGCAAACGAATTTGGGCCTAACTTTTTTCTCAAACAGGAACATCAGAGAAACGGGCTGCAAAGATATCACAAGACATGCGTTGTGGCTCTTCGCTGTAGTTATCCGCTGATCACACACCGCATGGAGCATTACTCCGGTCTGTACTCAAATCTTCTTCCCTGTTCACCCAGTCATAATAACTAATATATTTCCGAGAGGATAAACCATTAAGACAAGGTACGAAGGAGGTCTAAGGACAACGGAGTATACATAGTCTTTTTCCTGTGTGCAAGGATGTGGAGCATAGTTCCCACGCGCAAAAACGTAATAACAGGGTATCCGGGACATTCTGTGGATATCAAGCAACTATCAGACATTACCACGCCGCGGTATGTTAACGAGACGCCGGAATCCTACGCAAGGACCCAACCAAATGTCTAGGGAATACCAGCGCCCATTAACTAGTTACTCGTGGAACCCGGCGTGAATCCATCCAATGAGTGAGAATCCCTGTCCGGCGGGTCTGTGCAAACAAGGTTGTGCCTGCGGCGGAAGTCAAAACTATGAGACATAAACTTACTGAGTTAACTACCCAGGGTCAGGTTGCTCCAGGCGGCGCATCACCGCCAGTAGAAAAGAAAATAACTAGCATTGGAAGTTTTCCTGGCTGGGCTATCAAAACTCGACATGTTGACCTGGGGCGCCCTTTATAAACATGCCTTCCGCACAGGATAACATTCAATATGAATCCATCAATGCCTTCTCCCCACTTGACTATCCGTACAGAGTACTATCAGGATGCTGTCCTCGGTGCTATTCCCAGCTATGCGGACATTACTGCTTCTCAAATATGTGTTTTCCCTTATTTCTCTTAGTGCGATCTGTTGCCAGACCGTCTCTGCCATCCCGGTTGTTTCTAGGGAAGGCCTTCCGATGACACTGAGTGACAAGTGTGCTGAGGCTTTAATTTCTGATGTTGCCTGTGACCCAAATGTCCTGGACTTCAAGCCGGGATACTACTATTCTCCAGAAATTCTACAGCGAGCATGCACAGACACTTGCAAATCTGCCCTTGACTCTTATTTGGATCGTGTCAAATCGTCCTGTGGTACCGAGACTATTGTCGGTCCATTCGACCTGGAGGTGTCGGCTCTTATAGTACCAGGCATGCGCAAGGACCTCTTTCAGAAAACGTGCCTTCAGGATAACGGGAGATACTGCAATAATGTTGCAGCTACGGCAGCGGTAATTGCTGATCCTGGAGGTATGGCTTGGTTCAAAATATTTCTGTTTCATTAAAATTGGATATCAAAGCTCACGCGAAGTGCAGTTTCTCGATTCAATTATCTCAGCTCGGTTCCTCCAGGAACTGTTCCACCAGATCCTTGTGACATGTGCTTCATCAAAAGCCTTCAGCTAAAAGCTGGTTCCCCATATTTTGATGGTCCTGACCTAGCCAGCATGTCTGTTTATATGTCGATGACCAGTCAATGCGGAATATCTGGGCAACCATTGACTACTACTCCTATTGGGTATTATACGTAAGAATACCTATTCTACACTTGATATATTGACCTCTTCACCAACAGTCCACATTAACATTCTAAGTGAGGCACCACCGACAACAACGCCTGCTCCCTGTATGGGAGAGAAGTATTCAATCCAACAAGGTGACGATTGCTACAGCATTTCACGCAAGAAAAAGATCGGAACTGCTTGGCTTCTTTCTGATAATAACCTGGCCTCGTATTGTGCAGATTTTCCTAAATCTGGCGAGTTATGCATTTCTAATGCCTGCGATACCTATACGGTCAAACAAAAAGATAGTTGCGGCTCAATCGCCAAAGCAGCCAATATAACTGTTCCACAGCTACGTGCGTGGAACCCAATGAGTTAACCACAGAGTCCTTCTAGGCAGACTGGATCTAGCTAATGGACTATTCTAGATTATCAATGCAGGCTGCTACAACATGCACAGGCTGAATGGCACTGAGTTATGTATTTCTGCACCGGGTCAAAAGTTCGTACCTGGTGATGCAACGGACCTTCCGGGTGCAACTGTGACCACACCCGTGCCAGCTCCTAGTGACGCTGCTTCAGGTTCAAACCGTTATTGTGGCCGTTGGTATGGTGTTAAAAAGGGTGACTATTGTAACCTTATTGTGCTAAAGTTTGGCATCACTATGGATAATTTCATATTCCTGAACCCAGCACTGAATAGCAACTGCACTAATCTGTATGCTGAGGAGAGCTATTGTGTTCTACCAGTTGGGGATAGTATGTTCTCTTGATGCCCTGGCAATTTCACCAAAGAGTTGAACTGACCATGCTCGATCACAGTTAATACATATTCTGGAAAACCCGGGTATGTGTCTACCCCAACTGGATCTGAGACAACGGCCACTGGGATTCGATTTGAAGATCTACCTGATGCGACTGAAAATCCGTATCCTAGGCCGCCCCCAGGCCCACCTATTGCCGAGGGCACTCGGGATGACTGCAATTACTATTTCGATGGCGCTGAGTTTCAGTATAATGTCACAAATACCTATTGGAACAGTAACTGTCAAATCCCCCCCCCCCAGGTTTACAGAGTGGACCCCGAGTCTTTCGAGAGCTGGAACGCAGGGCTGGGTAATATTAGTCGGCCAGAATGTTCTTTCAAACCAGGCTTCCGGTATTGCGGTCGGTACTACGCATTAAGTGACGACTCAGATGAGCCCACGCCAACCACTCCTATCACAACATCTGATGATCCAACTTCGACCTCTGCTACGCCCACGACACCCACGACATCCTCTAAGCCATCTCCTGGCGCTCCGACGATGACAGGCCAACCATCGGCCTGCAATAAGTGGCACACTGTCACCAACGGTGAGAGCTGTACTGTGATCCCGAAGACATTCGGTATCACCTTAGAACAGTTCCTGGCTTGGAACCCCACGGTCAAGTCAGATTGTACAGAGAACTTTTGGGCTGGATACGCATACTGTGTAGGAGTCAAAACTCTGGGCCCTAGCTAAATTATTGAGTACCTGTATTAGCTAGCTGGCCAGGTACGGAAATCCTTTGTAGCAGAGGAGCCGTAACTTAGGCAGAGCGATGGTCACAGTGCTTCGTAATAAATTCCAAGTGCATTACGGCTGGATATAATGGATTCCCGGTTTAGTTGCCATTAATGTACGGATCTTCTGTCTATGGATTTCAAAGCAGCAAAAATTCTAAGGCCTGGCTGCTAGTTAACTACCGGCAACCCCCCGGGTCTGGACCCAACGGTCTCGTCCAACAAGTAGCGTACTCAGCACCGCGGCGCTGCCCATCGTTGAGGCAGATATCGGAATCCAACCAAGAATGTGTCCAGGAATGCAGATGTCGCAGACAGTAATAATAAGGTCCTTGACCAAAGCTTGGTAGATGATGATAAACTCAGCGCTGCTGACTGTCTGCTTCTCGGCGGATGGTGCCTTTTCCAAGCCATCTGCATTATTCTTTGCATTGGGGCCCTTTTCCTTCTTCTGGATTGATGATGGTGCCCTTGGAGCCTGGCGTAGCTGGGCCAACTGCCACAAGGTGCTCAGGAGTGAGAAAACGAGGGCATATAGCCAGAACTTGTTACTCTCAAGCAAAGCTCTATCACCCCATGACGTTCTTTGAACGCCCAGCGCATCCAACTATGGGGACTGTCAGCTACGAATGGAAACCATGTGCTGGTTTTAAGCTACTGCTTTCAGGTGCAACATACGATCGTTACGCCTTCTAGCAAGAGGTATACGCCGAGAAGACTCCATTTGCTGAACTCGAGGGTTGACGCAATTGACCCTCGCCGGTGACCCGGGGCACTGTCATTCAAAGTATATGCTGCCCATGCATTCTCAAAGTAGTCGATAAACTTGAAGAACCGAAAATAGCGGCGACCTAGACCCATGGTTAAAACGAAAAGTGAATTGCTCTCCCACCGAGTGCACCCATGTTGAATCTATGCACATGTTGGTACATACTCAGCGCAAACTGGCCACTTGCCCTGGACCAAGGCGAGGGAGAGGCCCGGGAAAACGACTCGAGGATGACGCAGGAGAACTGCAAGAGCCGTAGGGTGTTTTCTATGCCGGGTGCGGAATTGATATACCGGGAGAACTGGGCCATCCAGGGCTGGGGAGTCGTCGCCATGGCGGGTTCAAGCTTTCAAGCTGTCCAACAGGTCCAATGGCCTGCTGTCTAAGTTACTCTGTCTGGATGTGTGCAATTGACCAACAACCAGAGAGTAACTAGCGGGAGCAGCTCAACTCCTCCCAAGAAGAGAACGGGAACAATCCTCCTCCTCCCCCCTTTTTTTTTACCTCCCGGGCATCCAGGGTTCCCGACGGGGGGGGTTTCAGCCCGAGTATCACATGACCTGGCCAACCGATTACTAAGACTTGGTCATGATTATTCGATCATCTTTAATGCCTTTTTTTTCCCTTGCTAATTGCTTTTTACTCACTCGTGAATGGATCGGCTGCAAGTAAGGGCTGCGAGCGGTAGCTTGCTCTCGAGAGCTGCGGGCAGCATCGAGCAGTGTGGGTGGATAAGGTCCCGGGAGGGCACCAGCAATGCAAGGCCACAGGGGGATCCAGTCAACGCAGTAGGGGTAGCTAGTTATGGATTTCCAATCTGTTAATAAGACGTGAGTAAGTTGGCAGCGCTGGAGCTCCCTGCCCCATAACTAACTAGTAGTTAGCTAGCTAAGGTGCTATTTTGCCTCCCTTTGTAAGGTTTCCGTAAGCTGTTCTGGGCCCGAGAGAACCTGCTGGCTGTGCCGGTACGTCATTGCTGCGACTTCCGGGCGTGTTTGTTTTTAATAATAATGATTTTATTAGCAGCAGCGCAGGTTAACTTAAGGGTCGTAACAGGCTTGTGTGGCCGACTATATATAAGAGCTGCCCCTCCCCCGCCGTAGCGACAGGCTTCTGACTCCCAGCATCGCCATCCACCACACCAAAACACCAAAGCAGCTGTCGCATTCTCTGCTCTGCCCTCGTCGAGATCCTTCAATTCCCCGTTCGAACTTATACAGTCGGTTTCTGCACACCATGGCTTGTCCCAAGATCGCAATTGTTTATGTATGTTTCCCCTCCCAGTCTCCCAGAGCGCGCTTCCACGGACATTTATTTGCATGCGCCCAAGTTCCAATGCTAACAAGGACCTCCCGACTAGTACTCGATGTACGGCCACATCAAGACGCTGGCCGAGGCCGAGAAGAAAGGAATCGAGGCCGCGGGAGGCACCGCCGACATCTACCAGTAAAATTAGCCCCTCTCCTCCTCCCCTTTTCCGCCCCATCGCATCTGCGCATTGCTTTGGGGCCTGGTCACAACCCCACGTACTAATGCTTCATGAATCTAGAATTGCCGAGACGCTTCCGGAAGAAGTTCTGACCAAAATGCATGCTCCAGCCAAGTCAAACCACCCGGTTGCTGAGCCCAGGGATCTGCTCGCGTATGATGCTATCCTGTTCGGCATCCCCACCCGTTATGGAAACTTCCCTGCGCAGTGGAAGGCATTCTGGGACAAGACCGGCGGCATCTGGGCCAAGGGCGAGTTCTTTGGCAAGTTCGCAGGCGTGTTCGTCTCTACCGGTACTCCTGGAGGTGGCCAGGAATCGACTGTCATCGCCTCTATGAGCACTCTCGTCCATCACGGAATGATCTTCGTCCCATTGGGCTACAAGAACACTTTCCAGATGCTGTCAAACGTTTCCGAGGTTCGTGGTGGTAGCCCATGGGGTGCTGGAACCTTTGCTGTAAGTCATCGCCCTTTTGACATCTTTTGGTCAATCGAAAGCTCTTTGTTTCAATGATCCGTCCACGGTTGCTAACGTTCATCAACCTTCTAGGGAGCCGATGGTTCTCGTCAACCCACTGCTCTCGAGCTCGAGCTTGCTCAGACACAGGGTAAGGGATTTTACGAGACCGTCTCAAAGGTCAAGTTTGCATAGACACTTCCAGTCATCGATGGGTCAGGGGGAACTTTTGCTTGTATTCCCCGTAAAGTGAGAAATAAATGCAATACTCATTACCCTTAGCTTGTGCTTAATGATTCATGTGAATTTTCTTCAAGTTCAACCAATCCGTTCACTGAAAACATAGTCTCAGGAGAGTGCTAGTGTTCGAAGCATCCGGGTATATGTAGTTCTGTCATAGTATCCAGCCTGAGCCGAACCTCAGCTCTGTGAGTGCATAATCATCTCCAGTGAGAGCATAGTTATAATAATAATGATAATAATCCAAGAGTAAAATGGCTCTGCCTGAAAGTTGGGGAAGCATCTTGAATTCTTCGTATCAATTTGAAATTAGGCCAGATAGTAACCTTTAAAGCGGCGCTGGTTTTCTTTGAGTTCATCAACCAAAATAGTACCCACAGTGACGCCGCTTTTAAGCCCTGCTTCTGCTATGACGAACTTCGAGCTTCTGCCTTCTTCCAGCAGCATCAAAAACACTTCAACGGCCGAAGAAAAGTCCGCGGCCAAAGAGGCATTTTCACCACTTCACTCTCACCATAAAACCTCCTAGACTTCCTCTGACTTGCTCCTGTGGCTATATACTTCTCTCCTAGTACAGCAAATGATACAGTTTGAACTCATCTCACTCCAGACATGGCTTCCCCGCGGCCAATAATTCTAAGATTTGAGAGCCGGAACGGCCAGTTTCGATTGACGGTTAGCCCGACTGAACAATTTACGGCTCTACTGCCAAAGGTATGTCTATAATGCTTTACATGCCTCCGAATTTTACCCTTGGTGCTCTTTTAGGCAATAAGATTTTAACAATGCCATACCCGTATTTACTAGATCCTTGAGAACCTACCTAAAGATACCGATCCAACTTCAGTCTCTCTTTCGAACAAACCAATAGGCACCGGTGGCCAGGAGAGAAATCTTACAACATTAAAGGGGATTTCTATACAGAGGGTTGGGCTATCGTGAGTGGCTGTTCGGTTTAAAGCTGTTGATCCCAGTGATGACTGACCCAAAAAATGCAGACACGGTGACAAGCTGTTCGTTGGCTATGAGGAGCAAAAATCTACAGCAAACGGCTCCCTAAATGGACAGACAGGAGCTACAAAAAGGCAAGAGTCATCGCACCGTCTTGATGGCGGTGCCGTACCTGAACGGGATGATTCATCGTCAACAAAACGGCCAACCTCTCCCACAGCCATAATAAAGAATCCCTGGGAAATTGTGAAGCAATCGGATTTGGATAACCGATTGGACAAAAAAGATGGGAAAATTCCACGCTCTTTTGACCAAAAGATGTGTCGACATGGCCCCAAGGGAATGTGTGACTACTGCATGCCGTTGGAACCGTATGCCCCAGAGTACCTGGCTGAAAAGAAGATAAAACATCTTTCATTCAACTCATACCTTCGGAAAATCAACTCCTCTACCAACAAGCCAGAGCTGAAGAGCTCCTACATGCCCCCTCTTTCAGAGCCGTTTTATAGAGTGAGGAAGGATTGTCCATCTGGGCACCCAGCTTGGCCTGAAGGTATATGTACTAAATGCCAGCCAAGTGCCATCACTTTACAACCACAACAATTCAGAATGGTTGATCATGTCGAGTTTTCCTCTCCCGACCTTATCAATTCACTCCTAGACTTCTGGCGAAAGACAGGATCTCAGAGGATTGGCTTCCTCTACGGAACATATGAAGAATACACAGAAGTCCCGCTTGGTATAAAAGCCGTGGTACAAGCTATATATGAACCACCACAGGTGGACGAAGTGGATGGCGTAACCCTTCACGAATGGAATAACGAAAAGGACGTTGACCATATAGCCAAACTCTGTGGAATGGAAAAGATAGGCGTGATCTTCACTGATCTTATCGATGCTGGTGCCGGAGATGGAACTGTCGTCTGCAAACGACACATTGATTCTTACTATCTTTCCTCATTAGAGGTTGTCTTTGCATCCCAGCTTCAGGCACGGAACCCCAAACCGTGCAAGTGGAGTGAAACAGGCCAATTTGGCTCAAATTTTGTTACCTGTGTCCTGAGCGGAGATGAGAACGGTGCAATTTCTGTGTGCGCCTACCAGGCTTCCAACTCTGCCGTTGAAATGGTGCGGGCAGACATAATCGAGCCATCCGCTGACCCATCCGTAATGCTGGTTCAACAAGAAGACGAGCTTGACAACGCAAACATCACACGCTACATTCCAGAGGTTTTCTACCGGAGAATAAATGAATACAAAGTCAGTGTTCAGGAGAATGCCAAACCGAGTTTCCCGGTTGAATACCTCTTTGTCACTCTCACACACGGATTCCCTACCACGCCAACAACAGTCTTCACGGACTCGTCTTTCCCAATTGAAAACCGAGAGGTCATTGGGGAAAGCCAAGATCTAAGACGTGTTGCGAGTAAATTGACCGACAGCAGTGATCCCAACGCAGTCATCAAAGCTGTTTCCAATTTCCATCTCCTTACCTTCTTGCATGGAATGGGTATCCTTAGCGAGGTGAGTAAGAATATAAGTCATCCCCCCATAACTACAGCGTTTTCCCGAACTAAGACAGTATTCTTCCTCACTTGAAACAGGATGAGGAGGCTCTTCTTTGCACGGTGGCTACAAAACATGATCCCGCCGACGGCATACAATTGCTCAATACAGCTGGCTGGGCCACGCTCGTGACAATACTTCAGGAGAGCGGTGAGACGCCCCCAAAACGATCCTGGCCCTTTAAGCGTCAATCCCCAATTTCTTCCTCATTCCACAACTCTTCTCACAACTCCAACTCGGATGGTGAACAACTTGCTAAAAGGTTCCGAGGGGCTAGCCTAGAATGACCGCTGTCATCCTCCCACGTTAGACCGTCCTGTATACCTTCGCCCGAGCTCGAAATTAACCGACCTCACATCCGTTTCATTGTTAAAACATGTTTTCCTTCTACCAGACATTGATGGACTGAAACTCAACCATGGCTTTCCTCTTGTACTCCCGCTGATTGATATCCTTCTTCTTGGCATATCTTTACAATGTTACTTCATATACCATGCCATGATACCTACTCCGTCTGTTTATCCGCGATTTTTCGAGTTCGCCGCCCTATTCCGAGAAACCCCCCCTGAACTTTAAGCTGGAGTTGCTAGCTGCGTAATTAAACGAAGGAATAATACGTTGGCCTATTATTCTGTGTGACCAGTAGATAATCTTGAGATACAGTGGAGATGGCCTTTTGCACGAGCCATTGGTGGCGTTTTGGATATGAGGCTGGCCAACTAGCTAGCAATTGAATAGCTACCAGGAAATCAAGCGAACGGCTTATTCGATGCTGACAATGATGATATCAATAAAACTCAAGGAATATTGAAGAAGTAGACAACCCTGATCATTAGAACGTCGTAAACGAAAGTACATTCTGTCAAGAAAACTAAGTTAATACAAAGGAGAAATGACAACCGAATGGCAATGCTAAACTGCTTTTCCACACAACGCCAGCCACAACCTCACTCACGACACCCCCTTGCGCGGAAATTTAATTGGTATAATACTATGTAAGAAATAGAATGAAGAAAAAATTGGGGGATGGGAAGAAATGAGAATGATAAATCACCGACATGCATTGGCTGCTGACCCCTGCAAGCTCGGTCGAGGCTGACCACCAGAAGTCATGGTAGGTGTGCTAAATCTGACGCCGTCTCTGCTTGAATTGCTCACATCTCTGATTTTCAGGTCGATGGATGTAACTCGTCGTTGGCTGCCTGATTTAGTGACCGGAAATGTCCTGGGACCCAAGACACCGTATTTCCCTTCCTGATCCTTTTCGCTTTTTACCATTCTCCGGGCCTGGGAGGCAGTGAACATGGCATTTTCATTCGGTGGGCTATTTGATGAAACGCTTGGGCTACGGTGACGAGGCCTATTGGTAGATCCGCCGCATCCAGAACCAGCATTGGAGATACGTCGCATCGCAGAGCCGATTTTAACTGCATCCATCTTATCGATTTTGATAGGTTCGGCTTCAGAGTCAGGGGGGTGGCTGTCCGGTTCATGATCGAGAGACCTCCGATTCAGAGTGCTGCTATTGCTGATCTGACGTAGAGGAGCGGGTTGTTCCGTATCCGATAAAGAGAGTCTGGCTAAGCTAGGAGGCGCGGGTGATGGACCGGGTGAGCCCTCATTGGCTTTCTTAGACAAAAAACCAGCCTGGAATCTCGAGTTTTTGGAATACATACTAGGTAAAGATGGTGGAGTTGGTATTGGAGAGGATTCCCTCGAGCCAGACCGTAGAGGGATAGAAGAGCCCGTGGTCGGAACCGGGAGGGACGAGGGTGAGCCTGACGATGGCAGTGGGGATGAAGGAGCAGCTTTTTGCGGAGTTTTCGAGAATTCTGCTAGAGGACCGTCCGCCGTGTCATCTTTCCATCTAACATTTCTCTTTCCAGGCTTGATTGCTTTCTTGGGAGTAAAGTAAATACTCTTTCTGAGTCCAGGCCCCTTTCTCCTCCGGGGAGATCCCTTCATTGGCGTCTGGTTAGCAGGTGGAGTTATGGTAACAGGAGGAACAAGGGGCTTCGAGAGCGAGGGCCGTCCAACCAGGCTCACTCTCTTTCGTCTCTTCGGAGTTCCAGCCTTAGTAGGCGGAAATGCTTCTGCTCTGATAGGGCTGCTCCCGTTTGGCTTAACAACGTTAGATGTGCTAGCACAACAAGATTCCAAAAGTTTTCCAAGAATTTTCTTTCCCGTTTCAATGGCCTCGTCTTCCGAAAGCTGCATTATATGTTCAATGGCTGATATGGTTTCAAAGTTCGCTTCAAGGAGCCGTTGGGCAATCTCAAATTCACTGGTCTTGTCCTGTTCTGACACAGCACTCAAAGCCTCAGATTGAGCATTGGATTTCAATAATTGAGCTTCCCGTTTGAGGTTTTCGATATCTGTATGGTCACACGTTTCCAACTCGCGGAGCTGTTTTATACCCACTTCCAGGGCAGAATCCA